ATAGAGAGTTTTGAAGGGAGTGCAGAGGCCTGGAGAGGGAAGGAGGAAACAGGAAAGTTGCCTTGCGGAAATTCTCTTCTCATGCTATTTATGACCCGTAGCAAAGTGACTGACGGGTGGGGTATATATTTGAATAATGATCAATGAAAATATTCCAAGAGTCAGCTTAAAAGACGAGAGAGAGTCTGGAGTGCTAACTTCATTTGATTTCTCATGCATTTATTTTTCATTATATTTCCCTTTTCCCAATTGATTCTAATTCAGAGGACTGCCAGTTGCTTCCTAGCAGTCATGGCTGAAAAGTTGCATCTGTTGTTTTGGGGAAGGTCTTGAGTCCATCCTCACTATTAGAATGACTATTTCCAAAGTCTACATGAGCTGCTGCATGCTTGCAAATAAACCACTAACTGGCTCTTTGAGTCAGCCTTTTCCTAACCTGCATTGTTGTGTTTAAGAATGGGTTGTAATAAAAAGGAAGATTATAAGCCCCAAACAGATCACGGGAGAACAAATGTGTCTTTGCAGGTGGTCTGCTGTTTGCAGTTAATGGAAAGCCGTACCCTGGAGACACGGTGCCCGTGCAAGCATTCGTGATGAACTTTTCAACTGGAGAAATCATTGACACTTTCATTCCACTTAGAAAGGTAACACGTCGTGAAGCATCACTTGGTTTTATTAAAAATGCATGAACACTCGTTTCTTTTTCTTCCCCTTCCACGTCTTCTGCACATTTCAAACTTCAGCATGAATTTTTTTTCAAATTACCTAGCAGGTGAAACGAAATTATTCTTCCTAGTTAGATTTTGGATGTTGTGTTGTAAGGCTGTAGTTAACGATCTGTCTCCTAAAAAAGATAGTTTAGGATCCTGATGCCTGGATCAGAGAAGCACCTACCAGCTTATTCACTGGTCATTGACAGTGAGTTCAAGGACATCACAGCCTGGTTTGGAAGTGATGCTAAGCTATACTTATTGTGCCACAGGAACAAGCCTCAGACTTGCATGTTCTTCCTTCCTCCTCCTCCTGTAGTGCAGTTACTTGCTGGCTTTGACTCTGAAATAAGATGTGCATATGGGTGAATTCAATACTGACCTTGCTGTGAGTGTTGCCTCTCACCTAAGCTTGAGGCAAGCCACCTTTTTGTAAAGCTCTGCATGAACTTTCATGCAATCTATCATGCATTGCCTTACTAATTAAAAGAGGAGAAGGAGGGGGATTTTCTAAAGGGCAAGAGGGATGAGGATGAGGACAAAAGCTTATTGGTGACCACAGGAGGGAACGGGAGCCAGTCACTGCCATGTCTGGCTGGCTTGCATTTTGAGTATGCAGAGGAAATGTAAATATGGATTGAATTTACTTGCACTCTTCATGATCACCAGCAATATGTTTAATCTATGTGGATCTTGCTTCCTCAGAAAATAGTGGTAGCCAACAATAAAACAGCACTGGGGCAGTGGGGGGAGGGGGGAAGCATGCTAGTATTTATCTTTTCCCCTTAATCATTATGTTGTAAATGATCAGTTTAACCTAAGCCATTAGTTACATAAGATGCTTCCTGAAATATGCAGAACTGGATTTGGTCACAGCTGGGATACTGGGCTAATTACAAAATTACACCGAAAGGGCTTCAATTCTAAGTGAGCAATAAAACAAACAAGCCCCAATTGCAAAGCAAGTTGAGAGCATTCTTGGTTGCTGAGTAAGAAGGCAGGTCCTTTTCAGATTTTCTTAGTGATCTCTGTTGCTTTGGAATTTTAAATTTCCATGAAATGAATCTGAAAGAGAGTGAATTTAAGCTGCCTGCTGACAAAGGGCCTACATTAATAGGAACCAGTGTCTGTTGAGGGATCAATAAGCTTCTGTGGTCAGAGAGATGTGAAGGGTTTCTAAAAGGGGAGGGAACTTTAAAGTAAGAGAATGCCCCTCTAGAGAGAAAGAGAGAGAAAAGCCATCTGTGTGAGAGTTTCACTCCTGGGTCCCAGTTCTGCTTTGCAAGGCTAGCAGAGCATTCATGAAAGTATTTGGAAACTTGGGTTTTACATCATGCTGCTGGATCTTGTTTTGTGTTTGAGTTGATCTTATCACTGTGGTGTTGTTGATTTTTAGCTTTTTTAATATTGTGTAATATCACCTCGAGGGTTTAGACTGGGTTGAAAAGCAGTATAAAAACTGATTAATAAGAAGAAGAATAGCTGAATTCCGGTTGAAATTGGTTCTCAAGTAGCCCTCCACTAAAGAAGTAAATCTCCAAAATACCACCGTGAATCAAGCTGAAATGATTTCCCCCTCCTTTATTTTCCACAAGGCAAGCTAGCTTTAAATTGTGCCACACACAGTTTCTAACTCAGAAGTTACTTGGCACACAGCAGCTTATTGCTTCATATGAAAAGTCATTTTATTTAATTAGGCTAGAGTCAAAAATAGACAGGGTTAAATTTGATTTGTTAAGCCACATAAAGGAAAGAGATTCCGCTAGACTGGGGCCACGTCACTGCATTATTATTATTTGTTTTCCCTTTCCCATTTCTTTCCACTGCTATGTTGTCTGAAACTGCCACCATGCATGTGATGTCAGCATGCCACTGGATTAAAATTAATTAGTACTCTGGGATAGCTGTCTAATTTGAAAACTTAAACCCAATGTCAGATTGGCTTTGAATAAATTCCCTCCCAACCCCCGCAGCATTTTAATGTCTGGTTATCTAGAATAGGAATCAGCATTGCTTATTAAAATCTACATTTGATCAGTTTTAAAGTAAGGATGCAGGCTCCAGTATAATCTAAGATACTTCCCAGTGTTGTGTGTCCTTTCTACTAGTGACTGATGTTATCCGTGCTAGGCACAGAGAGAGTTGGTGCAGGGAGAGATCTTATTATTGAGAAATGGGGAACATGAGCTCTCTAGATGTTGTTCAACTCCAATTCCCATTAGTCACTGCCAGATTAGCCAGTGGGCAGGGATGATTATTATTTGGAGTCCAGGGACGCGGGTGGCACTGTGGGTTAAACCACAGAGTCTAGGACTTGCTGATCAGAAAGTCGGCGGTTTGAATCCCCACGATGGGGTGAGCTCCCGTTGTTCTGTCCCTGCTCCTGCCAACCTAGCAGTTCAAAAGCACGTAAAAGTGCAAGTAGATAAATAGGTACCGCTCCGGCGGGAAGGTAAATGGTGTTTCCGTGCGCTACTCTGGTTCACCAGAAGCGGCTTAGTCATGCTGGCCACATGACCCGGAAGCTGTCTGTGAACAAACGCCGGCTCCCTCGGCCCATAGAGCGAGATGAGCGCCGCAACCCCAGAGTCGGTCACGACTGGACCTAATGGTCAGGGGTCCCTTTACCTTTACCTTTAACATCTGGCGAACCACAGGTTCCCCATCACTGGTCTGTATGAACAGGGCCAGCCCACCACGAGGCAAGGTGAGGCAACTGCCTCAGGCAGCAGGGTCCACAGGGGCAGAAAATCCCATGGTCCATCTTTATTTCCTCATTGTTCCTGTTGTAGTTCTTCACTGGCAGGGAAGGGCATGCCATTTTGGGGTCCATCTCTGTGCTGAAATGTCTTGGGCCGGCCCTGTATACTGATTATCATTTTAGCGTTTATGTAGCACTTCTTACATGCTGTAATCTTAAGCATCATGATTAGCTTACCAGAGATTGACAGGGCAAAATAATGCAGCAGGGCCATGTTGTTTGAATCCTGATGGGTTGTCTGTTGCCATGTAGTTTTGTAGTGAAAAGACTTCACCACAAACCTGCAAATCGTATTGCTGTACAATAAGACACCTCTGCTCCATCGTTGGACTTTGTGCACCCTTTCACATATTAACAAAGCTTAAAACATTTCCTGAGTTTAATTCTACATCTAATCGTTGAACAAACGGCTCTAAATGAGCTTTTGTGTTTTACTGTGATGATCTCCAATTTTAATTCTTTGGCTCTTTACATTGACAGAATTTTGAGATGCCACATGACATTGTTGCTTCCGACGACAGAACAGTGTATGTTGGTGACGCTCACACCAACACAGTGTGGAAATTTGCATCCCCAGAAAGTAAGTTGTGTTTGCCTTCAATCATTTCAAGCATTATTTTCAGGCACATACTTAATCAGCAACCCTGCTTTCTTAATCCCTGTTTTAAGAGCATTTCTGCAGCAAGATTTAATAAAAAGGGTTGGACGTATTTTCCAAATTCCAAAAGAGATACTGGATTTCTGAGTTTCTAGTTTAGCACAAGGAGACAGCCTATTTTGGCTGTACCATGAGCAGTGATGTGTTTTCTAGGAAATTTTGAATCAGAAAAATTTCTGATGCTTGAAATTGATTATGATCTGATTTAGTATGTTTATCTGATTTGTATTAGTGAACAAAATTAAGAGTACTTGTGTTAATTTTATGTGCTGAATATTTGCAGCATTTGTATATTATCATCATCATCATCAAATTTGTATACCACCCCTTCCTTTAACCTAAAAATTGGTTATTTATTTATTTATTTATTTATTTATTATTTATTTATTTATTTATTTATTTTACTTATTTTTACATATTTTTATTTTATTTATTCTTATTTATTTTTATTTTATTGAATTGAATTGAATTTATATTCCGCCCTATACCCCCAGGTCTCAGGGTGGTTCACAGAATAAGGTTTTGAGGATTCCCCCCAACCTTCCAGAGCAAATTTGGGGAGGGCACAAGTGAGCCATTGGGAAAGGACGGGAGGAGAAAGTTTTATGGTGCAAAGAAAAAACCTTGCACTAATCAAATTATTTAGTTGGCCATTGCTATTTAGTTGGATTTTTTCTGGGGGTTCTCAAGGGTACATAGTACCAGAACCTTTCCTCCCACCCCCCACACATTAAAAGTGTGGCACTTACTGTAACAACTTCATGGTGAGTACCGGCACCTATTTTTGTTTCATTTTTTTAAAAAAGCACTAAGTAGAACTAAGTTTGGCTGCAGCCCACTGATTTTTAAAATTCATTTTTAATTAGTAAGGGGGAGGGATGTAGGACACGCTTGTCAATTTTTGCCCTTTTAGAGGTTCACCAAGATGGTTTGCAGCATTAAATGCTGTGCTGCCATGCCTGGCATATTATCCTGTTAGAGATCACTTCATCCCCATCTTGTCCCTCAGCATCTGGCATTTAATGTCCATTGACAAGTCAGCTGAGAATGGTAGTCACTCCACTGGCTGAATGACTTAATTTTCATTCTCCTAAGCCACTTTCACATCTTGTTAGCCTAAATATGTTGCTCCCGCTGGAACATTTGCTGCCACTTGGTCATTAAACCTTCTTGGCTGACGGTGTCCCCTTCAGTAGCTCTGTGCTTTTTAAAGGTATAAACTCACAAATCGTTGGACAGTTCTGTTGTATACTATTTATTTGGGGGGGGGGTTCCCCAAGTTTGTTTTACAGTCTCGTCCCCAAAAAAGCATCTGAGGCAGAACACAACCACAATAAGAACAGTAAAGCAAAGAGTAACACCACCAGTCAGAATGAAACAAAGCCAGATGAGATTTATATATTTTAAGTACAAATTGCAAAGTGAACTTGTTTCCCATTTGCAACATTTAGAGCCACAAGTGCAACTGCTTGCTATTATATGCGTGGTTTATATGCCATTTACTTTATTTCTGCTCTGTTTTTGATGCAGAAGGATTCCCAAGGCTGCCTGCATAAAATAATAAGACACAATCACATTAGGGCCACTACCATTCCATTCTGAAGTGTCATCCATCACCCCAAATACAGAATTGTGTCCCTTCCCATCCCACCTACCTCCAACTGCTGGCGGTTGGTCAGTCGCTTGTCTGTGCACTCCTTATTCCCTCTCCTCTTCCTTTTCAAGGGTGGATTCAGTAGCTATGCCTCAGGTGAGCTGCTGAGCAATGGTCACTTGCATCTGCCATACAGGTGCTCCTGACTGAAGTGTCTAGGAATCTCTGTGGCTGGTTTGGTACCACAGAAAACTGATTATTTCCTCTGCAATGGAATACCAACAACTTCAGCTTTTTCACTAAGACTAAGGTTTTGAAAAACAGCTCTTGGTAGAGGATGGTGTAAAACACGCAGCAATTCCATGAACAATTCTGTTTTGACCTATGTTTACAGCAATAAAGACTGACTGACTGACATTCAGAAATGAGGGTTGGTCCTGTTCCCTAAAACTGGTCCCATCCCTTAGCTTAGCGGCACATGCAGTTTACAGGTCCCATATTTTCCTCTGTTCACTGAGTGAATACAAATGTAAATACGCATAAGATAATTCAGCACTTGTCACGTGATTCCATCCCTTTTGACAGAGGTGGGGAAGCTCCAACCTGTAAGCCAGTCTTGGCACACCAAGACGTCCACTTTAGTCCTCAAAGCAATTTTCCCCAAGCCATACCCGCCCATCTGGTGACATCACTAGTGACATCAGGTGATGGACAGGTACGCATCCTGCTTTGGCTGCATGCACCTGTCTCCAGGAGGGGACAGGATTGCAAAGCCAAGGCAGCAGGACTTAGTCAGCTGCTGAACAGGAATAAATTTCTGCTCAGTTCAGGCACCCCAGCAGAGGCTTTCAAACAGTGCTGCTCTGTGCTTTGATGTCCTAACGATTGGAACTTCAAAGCACGGCATCACCTAACATCATAGAGATGTTAGGTTACTGCCCACCTGTCACATTTTGCCCATGGGAGATAAAATAATCTGGCCAAAGAAGTTTCTCTACTCCTGCATTATGACAGTAACTTCTTGTCTGTCTCTTCAGTAATCCCCCTAGATGAGCATCTTTGCCATTCTCATTCAATTCGCTCAGTTTAGTGGCTTTAAAAAGCAAAAGGCTTCTTGTATGATTAAGAGTGTAGTCTTCAGCGACAATGGGAAGAATAAGGATGTATGAAGGTAATAAATCTTAATGTCTAAAGGAATGGAACAGCAACAATGTTATCTGCAGCTTTCCCAAATATATTGATAGCGCCATAATATGTAAGTGTTCTTGCATAGTCTTTTTAGGATCTGATGTTAACTAGAGGTTTTTGAATGCTGGGGTGTTGCCAACCAAAGCCTTGGAATCAAAATGCCACTAAGTCTCAGCTTCAGTGGACAGTGTCTGTGCTCTGCAAAGCTGAGTCATTTCTTCCAAGCCATCCACCATGCAAGCCTATGCGAAAGTATTTAACTGGGAATATATTGTGCAAATGAGGGGCAGGTTTTGGTTTCCATGATGTTCATAAATATATCTTGAGCACATGCTTCCTTGATGCAGAATTTTCAGATGTGGTGAAGTGTACCCATCTAAGAAAGATGGTGCTTTAACTGAGGGATGGGGAAGATCTGGCCCACAGATCAAATTAGGCCTGCAAAGCCACCAGCCATACATACCCACCTGCCCCACGTGTGATATGGCATGTGGGACAGGTAAAGCATCAGTTGCAAAAGAAACAACCAGGAGCCCTAGAATGCATTCCCCATTTTCCCTCTGAATTCAGCACAATTTAAATCCAGCACTGAATGCAAGCCCTGCTAGAACTGGCTCGTCTTAGGAGCTCCCTAATGGAGCAGATCCCTGCCAAAAGTGGGGTTTTCATTCAGCGCTGATTCTGAAGCTGTGGCTGCAAAGGAAGAATCAGGAGCATACCTAGAGATGACGCCATCATGACATCTCAGGTGGCCTGTGGTGGGTGGGCCAATTCTGGATCTGCCCCAGTATCCGAATCCAGTTTCACCCCCATTTTAACAGATTGGTTTGGGCGCAAGTCATACTTAATCCTGAGGTTACTATACTGGTTACAAAGGCAGAAAACCCTTTGAGTTTTGAGAGAGAGTACTTAGCTACTGTGTCCCATAGATTTTGCATATATTGCCAATTAAGACCAGCCCTGCTAATCTTCTAAGTAGTGCAGGCTTGTAAAGGCAATTGTGTGTCACAAATGGTGGCCATTACAACCTCTATGAATCACACACATCACAAGGGCTTAAAACTGTTTTTTTTGTGTGTGTGTTGCAGAAATGGAGCATCGGTCTGTCAAGAAGGCTGGGATTGAGGTACAGGAAATAAAAGGTTAGCCTTGTCTCAGTTTGACTGCCTTGGGGGAAAATGTGATGGCCTTGTATTACTATAAACAAGATAAAATATGTTTTGGGAATCTTCCTCAACTTAATAGTCACTATGGTTTCTATGTGCAAATAGCTGTCTGGAAAGCACTTGTGTAAGCAAATTAAAACTTTAATACTTGTCAAGATTTTTCAGTTGTATTTGTTATTCCTAAATACGAAAGCACTAAGAGTTATGGCGAGTCTCCTTATGCTAAGGAAGGTAGAGCTCAGGCAACTGACAGCAATGATCTTAGGAGTTCCTATTTATGGGCTTCTTTAACAAGGCAAGAAAAGAAAGTCTGAATCTCTTTAATGTTTTAAATACTTCCTAAAATATGATTTAAAAAATGGGCCATGCTTTCAGATATCAATGTACACAGGGTTGAATCTTGGTAAAATCATGCCAAAATTTGGCCTCATGCCTCCTTCCCGAAGCAAGCACTTACTGGGCTTGGGGAAGGAGGCAGGATGGTGACCTCTTGGTTCAGTGCCCTGAGTGGGGGAACCAGTCATGCTGCCCTAAATCCACCTCTGAATGTACATACAAGCTACTTAACATCGTTGCAAACAACACACATACATGCAATTTAAAGCACAGAAACCAAAATGCCTCCCACCCAAAACAACTTAATGTCTCCTACCTCCCAGTGAGAAGAGTGAGGACGTGTTCAAAGTACATTTACACTTGCAAACAAGAATTTTGAGTACTGCCAATGGGGAATGTGGGAGAGATGATGCTGGAGGTGCCACCTACCGTTTCTCTAAATCCCCCACAACTTAAAAGTGGTTTGTTTTCTTAACAATACAGTCATACCTTGGAAGTCGAATGGAATCCTTTCTGGAAGTCCGTTCAACTTCCAAAATGTTCAGAAACCAAAGTGCAGCCCGACGATTGAAGAATGGAGAATGAAGTTAATGGACTATGCAGAACTAGATAAACTAACAGGAAGGATTCGAAACCGGCGGAACCATAAATTCACGGAAGACTGGAGTAAATTTACAGACTATTTGAAAAGTATTTGTGAAGATCAGATGACGTTTGTAGGTTTGCAAGAAGTTTTGTGAGGAGTATTATTGGAAGTATTGCAAAAATGGAGAAGGGGAAGGATGATTTGTTAAGAGATGTAAAGGCAATATAAAGTTAAGAAATGCATAAGAAGTGGTTAAAACGGTGGATCATCAGAGGTGCTGATGGAAGTCTAAAAAGATTGTATAAGTGATAAGTTTTGTGGTACATTTTATAATTTATATGTTAAAATCAATAAGAAATTCAACCAAGGGGAAGCGAGGAAGTCACTTAACAATGTTAATAAGTGTAATTTTAATAAGGTTATGATTTATGTTTGTTTGTTTGTTTGTTTGTTTATAATTTTGTGAAAATCAATAAAAAAAACTTGAAAAAAGAAAGAAACCAAAGTGCAGCTTCTGATTGGCTGCAGGAAGCTCCTGCAGCCAATCAGAAGCCACGGAAGCCCCGCCGGACGTTCGGATTGCAAAGAACATTTGCAAACTGAAACAGTCCGGATTTGCGGCGTTCAGGAGCCAAAACATTCAAAAACTAAGCTGTTCAAAAACCAAGGTACGACTGTACAATCATTTGCAACTTTACGAGGTAGCTTTGTAAATGCTCCAATTATATTGAAAAGATTCAGGATAGATTAATGATAGTAAATGAAAAAGAGTCTGAGAATTGGGCCTTGTGGATGAACACTCTTTGCAACCAGTGTTGGCTGTAGTAGTGGTTAGTGGGACAGTTACTGAGACGGAGATAGGCGAGGCAGAGGGAGCTCAGTGTGTTGTGGTTTCAGCAGCGAAGCCAGTCTTATGAGCGCACACTGCACCCAGCTCCCTGCTTCTTACTCTCGTCTCTTGGTAACTGGCAGTGATACTGGGCACTGGGAAGCCAGAGCCGAGCAACACCATCCCACGGACTGCTACTGATGAGTTGACTGCATTTGAAAGTTACCAAGCAACATCTTTTTCCAAAGCTTCCCCCCCCCCCCCATCAGCCTTGTCAAGAAACTGCATTAGCACACAAGCATGGCAGGGCTGAAATCTCACGAGGACAGACATCTTGTGAGATTTGGCAGTTCCTGCCTTGCCCAGCTGTGGCAGCCAAAGGCCACCTTCTGGAATTATCATGCCAGGATGAGAGTTGCCAAAGCAGCCCTTTTACAACAGTGAGCTTCGAAATTCCATTTTATCCGTGAACTCACTGGGTAGTTGAAAGCTCACTTATAAAAACTGGATTGCTGAGGGACCTTAACGTTGCAAAATTGTCGTGAGGATAAATAAGCCATACGATTCTTTTGGCACACAAAGAATGGATTTAGACAAATAGCTTTTCCTCCAGGTGTTGGAATTTGGCTTGTTCAATGAGCCTTGACTATGGACTCCATCATGTATCGAACTCCTTCACACAAACCGCATTTGCCCATGCGTAGCAACTACAAAAGTCAATGACTGCCTGGGAGGAGGGTGCGTGTATATGTGTGTGGGGGGGGTTCACATCTATTAAAAAGTGATCTAGAAGTTGCTAGTCCTATAAGACATGATGCACATGAAAGCACATGCAGTTGATTGCAGCGTGGTCTGTTTTGCTTGTCTTTCATTTGAAAGTTATAATTCCTGTTCCTTTCCTTCTATGGCAACCAATCTTTCAGCATCTTGCGCTTGCTGCTAATTAGTGTTTTACAGGAGGTTTCCAGGTGGCAGTGACTAGTGGAGATGACAACTTCTGCGGGAGTCAGCGGACAGAGCTCTGAGCTTTGTTGAAAGATCTGCTGCCCCCCTGCCTCCTGGACTGACTCTGTTTGTGAGCGAATTGGCAGGGGGACTGTTCAGACTCCTGAAACCTGACCCCTTTATCGGAGCTATTTAATTTCACTTTTACCCTTTATTCTCTTCCCCTCCCTGCTCATCTTTGTTATCCCTTCCCCTCTTAAGGATTAGTTAGGGAGTTTTCTGGGGGGCTTCACATAATTGAGGTTAGGACCTTTTGCGGCCTAAAGGTAAAGGGATCCCTGACCATTAGGTCCAGTCGTGACCGACTCTGGGGTTGCAGCGCTCATCTCGCTTTATTGGCCGAAGGAGCCGGCGTACAGCTTCCGGGTCATGTGGCCAGCATGACTAAGCCGCTTCTGGCGAACCGGAGCAGCGCACGGAAATGCCGTTTACCTTCCCGCCGGAGCGGTACCTATTTATCTACTTGCACTTTGACGTGCTGTGGAACTGCTAAGTTGGCAGGAGCAGGGACCGAGCAACGGGAGCTCACCCCGTCGCGGGGATTCGAACCGCCGACCTTCTGATCGGCAAGTCCTAGGCTCTGTGGTTTTAACCCACAGCGCCACCCACATCCCTAGTTCCTGCCAAAAAGCCTGAGCAGTTGGTCCAAAGCCACCTGAGGGAAAAACAGAGGTGCTCCTTTGGGAGGTAGTCGTGACTCAGTCTGCTTTGTACCACCTGGCACAAAAGAAGTTTTTTTTCTTTGCATCTAGAGAAGAGGCTGCAGAGAATATCGCACTGAGTAGGTAGTGGCTGAAGCAAAGCTGTTCTGCTTCACTAGTGGAGCCAGAGCACAGAGCTTTGCCTGCTCTGAGGAGGTACTTTTGTTGCCTACTCTTCCCAGAGGGTGGGCAGACATCATACCCGAGACCAGGAACTCAGAATGGTGGTCAGCCCCCTCCCTCCCTTTGGAGGACTCTGCTAGTCTGGGCCCTTCCCCACCAAACTGGGAGGCAGAGGCGGCATCTTCAGAAGAACACTGAGGGGGCCCGACACAACGTCCTGAAGTCACACAATGTCCTGACATCACTGCGTTCAGCCTCAACAATGGGAGCCCCTGGCTCCCTTTAAAAAAGGTTGAGGGGGCCCAAAGAGCCTTGGCCCCCTGGAGCTGGCACGCCTGCTGGGAGGTCAATGTCACAACCTCATCAGGATGCCTCAGAGGTGTGAGCCCTGTATTTATGCCCTTTGGTATGTTTCCTATGGTAACTGGGAGGGGCCCTGGAAAAGTTTGCAGAATGGGTTTGGGGCCTTGTTGAGTCCCAGATGAGGCAGCCCTTGGTCCAGGCCCAGTAGGGTGGTGCCCACAGTCCCTCTGGTTTCCGTTCCACCATGGTAGGGGAAACAAGGGCGACTGAGAGCACAAGTCCTGGGGTAGGTTGTCTGTAAGGCAGAGGGTGGCAGCTCCTCCAAAGAAGCTCTGAGCTGTGCCTACTGACTCTTGACCACTGGTGATCAGCGCCATTCTCCTTAAACAGAAATTCACATTTCTTTTTTTCATTTTTTTAATACATGTTATGAAGTGAACTTCCACATTCCCGTGGAGTCCATATGCACAGTGTGAAAAACCTCATCTTTGTTCAATCTCCTTCTTTTCTTAAAGAAGCAGAGGCTGTTATAGAAGCCAGACTGACAAACAAACCCATGTCAAAGGAATTGTTAAAGAAAGAAGAAAAGCACCCCGTGGTCCAGCAGGCCAGCACCGGAGTTTCTGTTGTCCTTATTACGACGCTTCTAATTATTCCAATCATCGTCCTTTTGGCAATTGCAGTATTTATCCGGTGGAGAAAGACAAGAATCTATGGAGGTAATTAGCTAACTCTTAAATTGGTAACAACAATCCTTTTTCATGTCCAAAACCTTCATGGAACCAGCACAATAAAACTGTGTGTGATGCTTATTTCCCCACTACTGTGCAGCAGTCAAATTTGAGCAGACAAAAGTAAGATGTGCCATGATCCCTGTATCTCTGGCTTTCTTGGTTTGGAAAGTGGCTTTTTATGTTCCTTTCTCTGTTCGGATTAAATTTTCTTGCAGTACTTTAGCAGGGGGCAGTGTTTTGTTTTGTTTTTTACTTTGTGGGTTCATAAAGATTGGGATGTTCAAAATGGTAGCTGAAGAAAGCGCAGCCAATTATGGAGCGGTCTTGCTGTCTTTTGTGCTGGCTCTGAATAAGATCTCTCTCCTTTGGATGTCCCCAACTTACTCTTTAGAATCCATCTGGGCCTCCCTTGATGTGGAATTCCTTCTGTATGTGCTAAAACAAATAACCCTTCACTTCCTTTTCTTAAATTTCTATAATTTAATGCTTGCAAATAGCCCAGAGTAACAGCACCCATTAACTTACCTATCATAGATGTATGCTCAGCAGCAGCAGCAGCATGTTATAGGTTCAGAGTAAAGACCAAGTGTTAAGACCTATCCGTCAGCTAACTCTGTAAACAAAGCCATGCAATAATTGCAAGGAAACCTTCATGTGGGATTTTGAGTGCAGAAGGGACAGGAAGAAGGCACCCTTCTCCCATCCGCCATTTCTGCACTCTGCATCAACTTTCCGTGGCCTTTCCCTTCTCGTTCATAATGAGAATTGGCTTAGAGCAGAATAGAGGAGGAAGGAGAGGAAAGAGCTTCCTTTAATGGTTTCTGCTCAAAATCTACCACCACCACCACTGAAAAGCTGTTTGGCTTTACTAAATACTCGCTCAGGGGCCTTATTACATGCATTTGCTAATAATATGTAAATAACGGAGGGGACTTCTCACATTATCGCAGGTGGAACTTGCACTTGTTCCGCATTTTGGCCCATTCAGGATGAGGGCAGAGTGTGTTGCCTTGCTCTTTTTGATATTGTCACTTATCCAAATCTGATCAGCTACACTGTCGTGCCATACTGGCTTCATGGCCCCTGTTGCAAAAGTGGCTAACCTGGGGTCCTCCAGATGCTGTTAAAAGTACAGCTCTCATCATCCCTGACTATTGGCTGTGTTGGCTGGGACTGATGGGAGTTGTAGTTCAACAGCATCTTGAAAACTCCAGGTTAGCTACCTCTTCCTTATTAGCGGGATCACATCAGGAAGAACTCTTATTTGTTGTTTAAAAACTGTCAAAGCAGCTGCCAAGAGACAGTGAACAGAAATTGTTCAAAATGGTACAAAAATTGCAGTGGGTTTTCTTTTGCGGGGGGTGCTTCAGAGTGTGCTTGCCCAATGTTCATCTACAATAACTTGGATTTGCCCTAGTTTTTAGCTCCTGTAAGCTTAGGAAGTATAGTTTTCACATGGGAAACATTTTATAAATACCAGAAGCAATTCTGCAAGTAGGATATAGCTCAATATATAAACAGTGCAACACACGGTGTTTCCAAACAAGTGCTACTATGTAGTTTTGCCCTATGGATATGACTTTTCAAAAGTAAACCTTGTTGGGAATATTTGAATTAATGTTTTGAATTAATGTTTCAAAAGGCTAGCTTGGTTTCACTATGACAGATTTAATGAGGGTTTTTTAAGATTGTAGAAAATGTAACTTGAAAAAAGGGATATTGCACACACTTTTGTAAACCAAGAAATCTTTAATAGAAATATGTTTAAAAAAATAAAGAAGTAATTTTAAGGGAAGTCACTTTTAGAACTTAATTCATTTTCTCAGTGGGACAAATCCAGATCTCACGTCTTTTACATTCTAGGGTTATATGCGAAAGTAAAATTCTAATAGTCAGCGGCAGAACAGAATCATTTACAAATAGTGCTGTTACTTTTCAGCTGCAAACACAGCAAAACCACCAAGGCCCAACAGAGACTTTGCCATTTCATTTCCATTTCTCTTCCACATAGCTTGATTTGCACAAATCCTGCTTTATTTTCTGGTGTGTGTTGATAATATAATTCTGCTTGAGGGTGCTTGCTCCTGATGTAGCAATATGTCTCATTTTTATAGCTGATGCCGAACATAAACTTGATTCAAGTTCAGGGGGAATCCTGGGCAAATTTAGAGGTGAGTAAAGGGAAAGCAAAGACCAAGGATGAGGGCAGGAAATAGTCCGGGCACTGTAGCAACACCACATCATTTCTACTCATCGTACGAGACTTGAACATGATGTCTATTGTAAGAATCTTTCATAAACTGGTTTTACAGCCAATTGGGGCTGGAAAGCAGGACATAAACATAGTCCTTCATTTACAATCTCGTGTTACACTCCTAAGAAGTCAGAGACCCATGAAAGAATAACAATAATTTTTTTTTTATTTTTAATAAAAGATCCATGAAAGTATATGCTCTCTGTGTTTATGGGCTCTTGTGTGAGATATTCCCAGATGTATCTAGCAAGTGAGCATTGCATTGATACTCTTCATTAGATGTTAAATGCCTGCCTGCCTCCTGCCTAGTACAAATTGTCTGTCCTCTGCTAATGAATTTGGCAGCTATTCCTTAGGAGAATGCTGTAGTGATAGTGTTGAGTCTTCCCCTTATCTACCATGTAAAGCCTTGGGGAGCGGCTGATTTGGTTTGATGAGGAACACAAGAGTGTTCCTAGAGACACAGAACAATACTAAGAAATTGATCTTCTGCAAATCTTCCCTTTATATAATGAAGAAAAATAATGACTGCAATTATTTCTCTCAGCCGAAGTTCAAAATAATCCCTGAGCTAACTTTAAAGGGGGGGTCAGAGAAGAAGATGGAGGCTATTATAGTTAAGAAAGCCAATCCTGTATTGTGACTATGTCACGCCTCTCAAGGGAAGGCATGATGGGGGAAATGTACAGAACTGAAGATATCAGCTGATTCCAACAGGCAGATCAGAGGACTTATTCCGAGTCACTTTATACTGACCTCAACAGGTTTTCTAAGTCTAAGAAGCTGCTGTTCTTGAATGAGCACAGCTGCCATCTTAGGAAATCAAAAAGCATTATGATCCAAAGTAGCAATTTGTGAGAATAATGGGCACATTGAACACTTTCTTAAAGCGTGTTTCCACTTTCAGGAAAAGGTGGTGGAGGCCTCAATCTTGGGAACTTCTTTGCAAGCCGCGCAGGCTACAGTCGAAAAGGATTTGACCGACTTAGTACGGAAGGGAGCGACCAAGAAAAAGATGAGGACGATGCCACAGATTCAGAAGAGGAAGATGCTGTTCCTCACCCTCCAGCGATACCTCCATCTTCCTGAAATTGGCCTTTGATTTCTACCTTGTATGACTCTACAAAGATTGCCGGATTTAGCACGTTTTAAGATTTTGTGTATTTAATTGTAAACTGTACTAGTCCTTTGTGCGACTGTACACAATTCGCCCCCTCCCTTTGGCTTCAGTTTGGTTTTAGAGTGTGACCATTTCATATCAGTGCCATTGTCTTCTGTGAACCTTTTAATAAAGCAGAACAATCCCATTTAATTGCAGTAATGATTTTGAAAGTAGTAGTATCTGCTCATTTCAGTTAGGGACCTTCTCTATATTTGTAAATAAGTCCCAGCCTCTGCTTTAAGAAAACATTTTTTCAGTTCCAATTTTTTCTTTTGTGCCTTTTCACATTCAATGCCCTTAACCTATCACAGAACAGAGAGAATTTAGTGCCACAATGAAACAAAGCTGCTAAAACTCCTATTTTTTAAAGAAAATCACTAGCATTCTGTTGCTTTGAGGGAAAGATTTTTAAAGCCTCTATTTAAAATGGTTTTTCTTCTTCCTCGAGAATTTGTGTGTTTCCAGGATGTCTTATTTTTAGATGGTTATACTGTTAGAACACTATTTTCAGAAGCTGAATGTAATTTGTGTAATAAAGTGTTCGCAGAGCATTAGCTGTCAGAGTGTACTTTGGAATTTTTGCATTGAGGTGGGAGAGGGGAATGGGTCTTTGTATGCAACTTTTTGTAAGCCAATACCTCAAACCACTGAATACAGTGCAAAGATTTATCACTGCTTTCTATTAGCAGTGGGGAGGGAAAGGAAACCAAAGTGTTATTTTGTATGAAAGATGGAAGATGTTTTGTTACATGACATTTTTTTTTCTTTTTTAAAAAGCAAAACTTAAAAACCTAAAACTAAATTTGCATTACATGTATAAAAATCGAGCGTTGGTTTTTAAAGAAAAATCTGGCCTGTATATCCAAACTTCAGGGTATGTACTCAAATAAAACATTGTCAGAGCTAAGAGGAAACCTGTGTCTCAACTTGCATAGAAATAATTTTATTTTTGCACATTTCCTTCCCCAATCATAAAGTACAGTCCTGGTTACCATAGCATGAACACGCAGTTTCCACACTTGGCATTTGTAAAGCCCTTTGGAGTGTTCAAAGTGTTTTATATATATTAAAAGTCTACAACCATTATAGCAACCTTCCGAATTAGGTCATAATTATGCCCATTTTATAGATGGGAGACTGAGGCTGGAGAGGAGTGCTTTGCCATGAGGCCTCCTGTCGAATTCATAGCAGATGGCACAACTTGAAGTTGCAGTGTAATCTGTGCTGAATTCAATTAGATGTGTGCATAGGGAAGCCCTTGGACTTGCATCTCCCATCAGCCCCTGACAGCATAGCCAATCAGGGATGAGGGAAGTTGCAGCCCCAGCAGCATCTGCTGCGGTAAGACAGCAGTCTCTGTCTCTTAACTGCCGTGCTATATTAGCCATAATATTTTATCCCTAATGAAGATTTACTGCAATGCATCTGACAGAACATGACAATGATAATTCAGATACATCGGCCAAGTTCCATTTGATGAATAAAAACATGGTCCCTACCCCCCCGCCGATGCCCATTTAGTAACATTAACATCTTCTGAGAAAAGGTGGCTACGTGCAGGAAACTCTACATGGTTTCTTTGAGAGGGACTGCTTCGTCAGTGAGACATTTTCTTGGAGCAAGCAAAAGCAGGTATCGGTGACGAACTTCTCTAGCTATCACAGTATAAACAGGTTTAAGAAAACCGGTTTTTTAAAAATCTTGCGTTCTGTTGGTAATTAAATTCATTGAAACAAAAAATAATACATAACTTATAAATAATAATAATAATAATTCATCTAGTCATTCATTCCCCACCCATCTGGCTGGGTTTCCCCAGCCACTCTGGGCAGATCCCAACAGAATAATAATAATTTTAAAAAAGCAATAAAACATCAAACAATAAAAACTTCCCTAAACAGGACTGCCTTCAGGTGTCTTCTAAAAGTCATATAGTTATTTATTTCCTTGACATCTGATGGGAGGGCGCCCCACAGGGCGGGTGCCACTACCAAGAAGGCCCTCTGCCTGGTTCCCTGTAGCTTTGCTTCTCGCAGTGAGGGAGCCACCAGAAGGCCCTCGGCGCTGGACCTCAGTGTCCGGGCAGAACAATGGTGGTGGAGACGCTCCTTCAGGTATACTGGGCTGAGGCCATTTAGGCTTTAAAGGTCAGCACCAACACTTTGAATTGTGCTTGGTACCATTTCTAGCAGACAAGTATTCAAACGCAAAATCTGTAACTTCGCATCTATAACTATTCTAAATGGAACTTGTTAAATTAGCAAATATTGAAACATGCATGTTACTAAATTCCCCACCCCCCAGTAACACGGATCTGTCTATTGAATCCTGCATTCTATTATTTTAATACATGAAGAGCTTGAGTTTGGACAGCAGTGAGAATGGAAGTGGATACTTGTTTCATGATAGGAACCGAATCCAAGAATATGTGGTTATATAGTGCCCAGACACAGGTGTCTGTTGAAGTGTAGGATCTGTGTAAGAGGTAATAATAATAATAATAATAATAATTTTTATTTATACCCCGCCCTCCCCAGTCAAGGCCGGGCTCAGAGCGGCTTACAAGCAATAATAAAAACAAGTTGAATGATTACAACTTAAAAACAAAATTAAAATACATTAAAATATTGAAACATTAAAATATTAAAATGTAGCCTCATCGCAGGAGGAGAAGGAAAAGAAAAAAGAGAGGGAGGGTATCAAATTGGCTCCAAGCCAAAGGCCAGGCGGAACAACTCTGTCTTACAGGCCCTGCGGAAAGAAATCAGATCCTGCAGGGCCCTGGTCTCATGAGGCAGAGCGTTCCACCAGGCCGGAGCCAGAGTTGAAAAGGCCCTGGCTCTGGTTGAAGCTAATCTAACTTCCTTAGGGCCCGGGACCACTAGGGTGTAGGTAGCAAACATGGTGCTCTCCAAATCTTGCTGGACGACCATTGGCCATGCTAGCTGAAACTGATGGAGAGAACCATGTTTGCTACCCCTATCTACAGGATTCAGACTGAAAGCGTATTTGTAGCCTGAGATGTGTAACAGAAGGGTACAGAATTAAGCAGGAACCCGTGTGCTTTTCGAGGAGATCGAACCCAGTGTGAAACCCAAGACGTCTCCAAAGACGTCAGCACCAGGAAGTTACCTGAAGGTGTTCCAATTACATGGAATTGCCATCCTAACTAAGCAGCTGTCCTTACCACCAAGTATCATTAGGTAGAAATTGGTTCTCCGGGAGGCATCTCGATTCAGTAGTGCTTTTCCAATTAAGCAATGTACCATGGTAGTTCATCAGAATTTATAGATCAGGGGCCAGCAACCTTTTTCAGCCATGGGATGGTCCACCGTCCCTCAGACCGTGTGGTGGGCTGGACTATATTTTTTTGGGGGGGGGGGGATGAACGGATTCCCATGCCCCACGTGTTAGCAGAGATGCATTTTAAATAAAAGCACACATTCTACTCACGTAAAAACACGCTGATTCCCAGACCGTCCGCGGGCCGGATTGAGAAAGCAATTGGGCTGCATCCGGCCTCTGGGTCTTAGGTTGCCTACCCCTGTTATAGATCAATGCAGTATATCGGAGCAGTGCAGAATAGTGGCTCTACTCCATTTCCTCAGCATAGTCTACAGGTGTTCCTTCCGGCTGCCATGACTAGGTCACTCTTCTGACGCTGGTTATTGAAGCCCAAGATCATGGCTGCAAAGCAGCTAGGCCTGAAAGGCCCCAGGAAACAGTATTACAGTGGGACCTCCGGTTAAGTACTTAATTCGTTCCGGAGGTCCGTTCTTAACCTGAAACTGTTCTTAACCTGAAGCACCACTTTAGCTAATGGGGCCTCCTGCTGCTGCCACGTCGCCGGAGCCCGATTTCTGTTCTCATCCTGAAGCAAAGTTCTTAACCCAAGGTACTATTTCTGGGTTAGTGGAGTCTGTAACCTGAAGCGTATGTAACCCGAGGTACCACTGTACAGTGTTGATCTTGTTGCATGAAAGCTTGGTGATATAAACAGACTGTCAAAGCTTCCCACATTTCCTTCTTGCTGCTCTTGGAAGGTTAGCACTGGAGAGGAGCACAGAACATGGCAAATCTTTAGACCTTTTCCCTTTTTCTTCAGAAGATTAGAAGAACCATCTTAACAGCTACAGTTATTTTGGGGATGGAGGGGAAGAGAGAATAACAGGAAAAAAATAGAAAATAACTTCTCACCCACTTATACTGGTGAGTCCGATACAATGCCGGCTTCTCTAGTGGTGTCCCCCTCCACCTGGTCCTCAGCCTAAATTCCCTACGTCAGAAGATTTATGCCAGGGTTGGGGAACATGTGGCTCTCCAGATGTTGGACCACAGTCCCCATCATCCCTGACCAGTGGCCATGCTGATGGGAGCTGCTGTCCAACAATATCTGAAGGGTCTCTGGTTCTCCATCCCTGATTTATGCCTGATACAGTGGTGCCCCGCAGGACGAATGCCTCGCAAGATGAAAAACTCCCTAGACGAAAGGGTTTTGCGGTTTTGCGTTGCTTCGCTAGACGGATTTCCCTATGGGCTTGCTTTGCAAGACGAAAACGTCTTGCGCTTTTTTCTTAAAGCCGCTTGAAGAGGCACAGCTGCGACGGACTGTGCTTCGCAAGACGAAAAACATCGCAAGATGAAAAGACTCGCGGAACGAATTATTTTCGTCTTGCGAGGCACCACTGTAATGAGAAGGGCTTTCGGTCTGTGCAGGTGCTTGCCAAATCCTGGGGATTGGGCTGATCCATAATGGGCTGTAATCTTTTTTTCAAGAAATGGGAAGTAAACATGACTGAAAAGCAGGATAAAAAATGCTTTAAATAAATAGTAGAATGCATGCTGTCACAAAACCGTACCTCTCTGTATTGCAACTCAAAAATGTATTATTGTATCCAGCTCAGAAACTTGATTAATGCACCAAATTTAAAATGATTACAGGGGAGTGCAACTGTTCCAAACAGCATCTCATTTCTCAGTGTCAAAAGCCATTTATTTCAGCGTGCCTAACTCGCATTGGATAGAATATGTAATAAAACTGTCATTTCCGAGATGGCAAAGCTAATCTCTCCCTCTCCTCCCGCCCTCCAACTCTTAAAACTTGCAATCAGGATCACATTTTGTGACACAAACGATTTAGAGAAACCATTTCCTTAATTTTGCTATTGAGGCTGGTATTCAACTTAAGTGTTACTCAGAGAAGACCCATTGAAATTAATGAAAATGACTAAATTTGGACCACTAATTTCAACAGGTCTACTGGGTTAAACCACAGAGCCTAGGACTTGCCGATCAGAAGGTCGGTGGTTCGAATCCCTGTGACAGGGTGAGCTCCCATCGCTCGGTCCCTGCTCCTGCCAACCTAGCAGTTCGAAAGCACGTCAAAGTGCAAGTAGATAAATAGGTACCACTCCGGTGGGAAGGTAAACGGCATTTCCGTGCGCTGCTCTGGTTCGCCAGAAGAGGCTTAGTCATGCTGGCCACATGACCCGGAAACTGTACGCCGGCTCCCTCGGCCAATAAAGCGAGATGAGCGCCGCAACCCCAGAGTCGTCCGCGACTGGACCTAATGGTCAGGGGTCCCTTTACCTTTACCTTTTTACTCTGCTGAGTAAAACTTAGTTGAATACTGCTCTAAAATTTTATTTCCTAAATTCATTTTAGCCTTAACATTAGTAAGCCTGTATTCTGTATATAAAAGTCGTATTCCAAGGAAAGTGGATATGGGATTACAGCCTTACAGCAAAATCCAAACCCAAGAGTCCCCAGATTTGAGTATGTTTGGAGTAGGTGAATGTGGCAGACCCAGGGTTATGCCAGATTAACTCCCCCATCTCAATTCAGCCAGGGGCACAGCAATTCCCTCAATCAGGCTCCATTGATGGGACTTATGCTAGTGTTAAGTCCCCAAAAAGGGCATTCTGGGGCAAGGAGATACAGCTGCTCCAAACCTCTTTCAACCCAGGTGCCTTGACAACTTGGAACTTACTCTGGCAAAAATAGTGGTGTAAGTCAAACTAGACTTTGTAATAAGGGTAACCTGCAGCCATTTCCTAGTATACATTCATTTAATAATCAGGAACGGTATCCATATGGGCTCACAGACTGAAAAATGTCCTTGCTCGTGACATTCTTGCTAGTTGATCAGCGCTGCCAACTATTAGCAATCTTTTATAGATTGCTATCAGAAAACCAGAAAGAACAACCACCAGTTCACTAATTTCCAGTAGCTGATCAGTGGACTTGTAACCTTCCAACCTATTTTATTTTATTCAAGTATTGCATTTCACATTGTTAAGAAATCTGTTGCAAAGCATTTTCTATGTGGTCAGTTAATACGGGCACAAATAATTTTTTGAAATCTCTCCAAATATATAAAACTACATAAACCTAGCATTTATATTAGGGTTCATATTTTGGCTTTGCATATTTGTGCAGCAAATCACTTAGTGCTTCTGAATATGAGCTTTCTTAACGATGCCCCCCTTCTGTCTTGGTTTTCTCCAGTGTCTCTTTACATCCATCACCACTGCCTGTTGGACTGCAGGGCAGATCCTTTTGACAGCTGCCCACTCTCCTGGTTGTACAGAACTTCATCAGAAAAAAAAGATGTTCATTATCTCTGAGAATGGCGTAGAACTTACCATACTTTTCCATCTATAAGACGAAGTACAGTATTTTTCCATCTGTAAGATGCCCCCATGTATAAGATGCCCCCTATTTTGGGGGACTCTGATTTAAGAAAATGGGGGGGGAGATGTATCCGTGTATAAGATGCCCCCAAATTTTTGACGATATTTTAGGGGGGAAAACCTATTCTTATACATGAAAAAATACAGTATTTTTCTTTTAAAAATATGTTTAAAATTGGGGGTCGTCTTATACACGGATAGTGCAGAGTGGGGAGAGGCGATTGGTTGCAGCTGTGAGCAGGAGACTGCCTGTGGGTGGCTATTGGGCATTTGATTGGTGGCCGCAGCAAGGGCTGTTGTTGATTGGCTTCCCCCGTGGCAATTGGGCGGGTGATTGGCGGCTTTTGCTCCACTTGCGATTTTAAGCATTGTTCAGTCGGGTGAGTGACTTTCGGCAATCCCCCCCAGAAAAGCTCAACTATGGGCATCCTCCCCCCAAAAAGCTTAACAACTGTACAACTCTTGACAATTTCCCCCTATTTTCTTAATTTGGAGTCCCCAAAAACAAGGGGTGTCTTATACATGGGGGCATCTTATACACGGAAAAATACGGTAATCCCTCAATATGTCCTTCCACTCAGAGCTAACAAACTTTCACGTCTATGTTCTTTTCCAAAACATCGGCATATGGTGTTTCACACCTCACACTCCTTCCTTGCGGTATCTTCTTGTGGGCGATTGGGGCATAGGATTGACTGAAATATACGCATTCGCCTTCATGAACACACAAACATGCTCTTTCTCTGTGCAGCCGGATTTGTTCGACCGAAGTGAGTGAGTGACACCTAGTGGTTAAGAATAAAAGTAGCCAAGTAGGTTTTTCTTTGTGCCACTACCATATGCTCTGTATGCAGAAGATTGGGTTTCCCATTTCCCAGCACCTCCTGTGACAAGTCAAGTCTTCTGCCTGAACCACCCAAGAACTGCTGCCAGAAAGTATTGGGCCACATGAATCAAGGGACTGCTTCAGTATAAAGCAGCTTCATATCTTATATGGTGAATATCAAGCAAACTTGGCATGGGTCTCCCTCTGTTGTTCCTCAGTCCTCTGTTTCAGGGCTTGGGTGGGGGTTTAGGGTACCGTCCTCACCTTTTGGGGGGCAGCTGAGCAACTGCTGCATCCAGAGCCCCACTACTCATGCTAGTGGCGTAGCGGTGTTTGCATCAGCTCCAGGCTGCTACAGGAAACTGTGCCAGATCAGGCTTGCTAATAACTGGACTGGCTTAGGAACAAGTAGATCCTTGCCAGCTCACGTCTGCGCTCCCCCCGGCACACCCCATTTAAGAAGGGTTACACTGGGCATCGTCAGTGCAGGAGGGGGAAATATAATTGGAGTGCCCCAGAGGAAGACACGAGAGGCTAAAGGTTCCATTGCTTTCCATTCATTCTCTCTTCCTCTCCATCTGGGACACTTGTGTTTTCCTCACCCTCTGTTGTCATGATCTGCTTGCTGCACCTTGACATGGTGGTGCAGAAAAGTGAAAAGGAGGGTGAGAGGGAAAAGGCTGCTGATCAGCTGGTAAGCAGGTAAAAGAAGCTAGCTGGAAGAAAAGCAGCCAGGGACAGTAAGAAGAGCAGAAGGTGTGTGAGGCTACCTTTGTATCTCTCCCTATGTAATCCTTTCGCTCAGTTTTCCCCCTCTGTCCAGAGAATGCAGTGAAACTGTGCAAAAGAAGACAGAGAAAGAGACACGCACAGATCATTATCCCCAAATTGCAGTCAGAAGGGGCTGGGAGAAAGCAGCCTGGCAGTGCAGATCATGCTGACTACTGCAGACCACGGGTCACTATCTGACTGTTTTATTACAACAACGCCAAACTGTTGCTCAAAAGTATGATACTCTTACTGCAGACTGGACTGAATCTGAGAAAGTAGTTTACCAGAACCCTGCACTCTTATCCACTGTTGTTTCCCCTTCCCATTGGGGAAGAAAGCAGTTTACTGCTGTGCCCCTATTGCAAACTAAAAGAGGGAGGCAGCACTGAGATCGGCTTCAATCACAATGTTATGCACTATTAATATTGGGGGTCAGAGGTGGGGCTGGTACTTGTTTGGACTTCTATGACTCCTGGTCAAACATCCCCCATACATCTCGGGTTGCAACAATGGTCGACCTGCTTGAATTACCCCTCAGTCCACCTCCAAGGTGAATCCTGAATTCAGTTGAATGCAGAATGCAGGTGTGTGTCCTGACTGCGTGTACTTTTAAATTTCAAGCTAAAATACACACATTTCCCCACATGAAGTGACAGCAAAGACTTCTGTCTTTTATATTATCAGAATTATCATATCTAGGACAGACTGCAACATTTTGTGGCAGAGCCCCACTTATTAGAGGTTTAAGAGGTCTTGCCTTTAGTCCAACTCATCTAGCTCTGTTTGCTGAAAAAACTAGATTGCTAGAAGTTTGTCCAGAACTCACGATATACTGTTATATCTGTTATAATCAAAGTTTACTTTAAGGTAAATTGTGCTTTCAGTAGAAACCATGTTAGCTGAAGAAAGGTTATGTTAGCTGTTCTGGCACAAGCTGCTCATCTCTCTAGAGCTGGTGAAATTACTGGTTGAGAAACAAGACTTCATTGGCTTCCTAGAAATTTTCAAGTTGCTTCTGGTGGGCTTAATTAGACCTGTCAGAATTTACATGTCAAAGCTACTGCAGAAACACTAAAGAACCCCCACTGACAGTATCAAGTGGTACAATCCAGAATAGGGAAAATTAGGCCATTATATGAATGTATGTCTTCCATTTCCTCCCCTGAAGTTATATAAAAACCCACCAGGTGGCACAAGTCAGACAGTAAACAACATTTAGCTAGTGATAAAGCTTACAGAAGTCCTACAATAAAGAAACTGTATTTAAAGAAGATCGTGGAGATTTGCATATTCCAATTAAGTTTTGACGACGAAAACTTTCAGAAGTCACAGGGGCTTGTGTTGTACTTTGAGGTTGAATTATTATTTTTTGACTTACTAGTCGCTTACCGGAAAAAACAACATATGATAATGATAATGATGATAATAATAATACACTTTAATAAAACAGTTACAGGAACCCTTAAGGGAGAGGGTTTTCTCTGTGGCAGCCCCTAAATTGTGGCACACAGTCTCCACAGAGGTGTGCCTGGTATATTCATTGTACAGCTTTTACCATGTGCTAAATATGCACCTCTTTAACCCGGTCTATGACAGTTAAGCATTTTGTTTTGTGTAGCCTACCCTCTTCTACTGAATGTATGCTGCTCTGTATCATTTGGAACAGATTTAATTGTTTCTGTGATGGTTCTATAACTTTATATTATATTGCTGTAACCCGCCCCGGGATCTCATGGCGAATGACCTCATAAGATATATTATAAATAAATAAAATCCAGCAGAAAAACAACAAAAACTCCAGCAGCAAGAATGTACATCAGATAGGCCATTAAACAGCTTGTCCCACACTCTGTAAAATGTGTGGGAGAAGAGATACATTTTAACCTGGTGCAAAAAGGATGTTCAGGTGCTAGGTGGGCGTCACCATGGAGAACATTCTGCAGCTGGGAGCCACAACCCAAAAGGCCCTCTCCCTTGTTGACACACTCAGAAGGGGCACTCAGAGAAGATCCTCAGATAAAAAACAAAGGGTCCAGATAGGTTAATACTAGGAGAGGCACTAAGGCCCTAGTCATAAAAGGCTTTGCAAGGTAAACCTTCAAAACAGTTAAGAATTGATTGACTTGTTGGTTTCAGGCTTCTCAAAATATTGGAAGGAGCTCATCAACAGCTTTGTGTGTTGCATGCAAAGCCCTTCTGTAGCTCCGGTGAACAAGACTGAGGCGGCAAACAGCAAGTCTTGTCAACAAGCCAGAAGTGATCTTAGAGACAGCTCTGTCGCAGCTGCAATGGACATAAGCCACACCACTTGGGTTGATGGAAGTTCATTACAGAAACATGTTCTCCTTGAAGACCTATCAGCATCTACCTTACATATGGTGCAGTGCTGTCAACTCTGTCAGCAGTTGTCTAAGAGGTCAGGCAGAAGTTTTTCCAGCTTCCTAAGACTCCTTATTTTTGGGAGTTCTAGGGCTTGAACCCGGGACCGTCTACGTGGAAGCCTGTGTTCTGTGGCTAAGCCACAGTCTGTTCTAGTGTATTTGCATGAAAGGTGTACAGCGGGATGTTGTGATTTTATTTGATAAGACACAATGCTGCCGGCAACTGACCAGAATGGATGCCACTTAAAACTTCCCGCTAATTCTATAGTAAGTTACATTGAAGCATAGCTTCTTTATACTAATGGTATACACAGCACAAACCACTGTAAACTGTGGAGCAATTGCACCACCCTACTGGGCTAGTTCATATATATTGCTAAACAACAGTTTAGTGTCATGTGTGTCAGTTTGCATTTCTTAGTACAGAAAGTATTGATCTTTCCTATTCTAATTAATTCAAGAGGATTCTAGAAGCTTCTCTGTGTGAAAGAAACAAGCAGAAGGTTCAGGATGTTTGGGTTATTCCTTCAGAGAAGCTGAGTACAGCTGGCTTAAACTGGTTCTCTTATCTTTTTCTGTCAAGGTTATTCTAACTATAAAAGTAAGGCCAGAAGGAGCCAGGGTTTCACTTCTCTTTCTATCTCTTTTCCTTCTAGTGTAGTGTTCTGTATATAGTGTTAAGGTTTAGTCTTATTATAAGTTATTGAAAGTTTAAGTTAAGTCTGCTGCAACTGGACTTCTTATGGACAGTGCCAATCCTGAATGTACTGTATTGGATTTGTGACCATTATGCTCATTTGCCTTCAGTAGCAGTAAAGCTCTGCTGGATGAAAGACAATTGTGTCTGGTCTACCTTTTGGGAATCCTCTCTCCCTTCTCTTCCTTTGGCATGGCCAGAAAAAGAAGATTTTTAAAGGGAAGTAGTTACATAGGTTATGTGGTTCAGTATGTTGAAGACTGCTTGAAGTTGACTTGTTTCCCTTAACCATAGTTAACATTTCACCTGTTTGATATAAAATGAGAAACCATGGTTGGCTGAAAAACAGCTGAAAGTTTCCAGTCTCCTCCTCTATGGCTGCACCAGAGCAGGAAAGGGGACTGCACGAGCCCAAGGCTTGCTGCTATTTGGGGATATGGTGCTAAGCTATGGTTTCATACAACATACGAACAGAACATTCAGCAGCAGCTGAACCAGTGGTCAATTCTGGACAAAGGAAGAAAAAGTTTGGTATTTACACACCTTTGACAAGCTCCGTACCACTTATTCCAATGGAGTCTTACTGCATCAAGTAGCCTCTGTCTTATTCTGAAGAGTCCAGTAAGCTGCACACCACTGTTTTGGATTCTTCGGCACTGAGTCAGTGGAGTCTGGGTCTATCAATTCTGCCTCTGCACTACTGTCACATTCTGAGAAGACACGGTCCTTCCCCGGCAGGCCATTATCAGCAACGGGAACAGGTGGCTCTTTTCCAGAAAAGACATCTTTGGAGCTCTGTCCTGCGGACGTTTCGGATGAACCGACATAATCATGATCAACCATGACAGCACTCTGCCAAATGTAGCTGCTATCTGCAATTGGAAAATACATTTTGATTAGAAGCCAAGTTTCATTTAGGCTAAGGTTACGAGACATGACCGTTTCCTGCGGACAGTCCCCGGATTTACAAATCAGTCCCCATACAAAATCCATTGAAGTTGAAAAGTGTCCCCGGATTCATTGAAAAAAATCTGGTAACCTTTTAGGCAGACAAGGCCATTAAATGGCCGGGGGGGGGGGGGATGCAAGCCCATTGCATCGTACACTTCTGAATCCAGGGACAGGAGCAGCAATACAGAGGTAGCAGAATGTCATATCTGTACCCCATTTTATGGGCCACAGTTCTTGAGACGTTCTCTTTAAGAGCTGAGATAGACTACAACAATGGATATGCAGGTGCTTCTTAGAGTGCCCCAGCTAATAAAGGAAGGGGCTGAAATTGGCCTCCATATTGTAACAGACCAAAGGATTTATTTTATATTTTTTTTTTTAAGCATTCTCTCTTTCCTCTTTTTCTGTCACGATACATCAAGATATTTACACATTTGTAAATAGGGATATTTGGAGGTAATATAAATTTTACAGTTAAGGCATCTTGATGTAAAAGCCTTAAATAAATTTTCTAGTAAGAAGCTTCCTTGCTAAACTGGTCAAGAAGCAGTTAACCAATCTGCCCTGTATCCATTCCTCCAGTACCACCACAAAAAATAAAACACACACAAAACAAAAGCCCAGTCATTTTTTTGTCTTGCAATTTGGATCTTTGGACTGTGCAGCTTGCAGCTGTTGGCTCCTTTCTAAATATCATGCTTGGTGACTCAGTGTCGGTTTAAAGGAAATGAAATTGCTGAGCCCGTCACAAATAGACTGGAGATGGAAATTAAATATTTCAATTATCTCTTCTGAACTAGGACAGAAAGCCAGAATGCTGACTGACGTCATGAAGACGTTCATTCTCTGCACAAGTAAACAAGATATTTTTGGGAAATTGGTTCAATACAGGTGCTTTAAACAACATTCAGGGGATTCAACAATTCAATATTTTCACTGGCTAGGTAAAGCAGAGCAGCCTAAGTTAATGGGGGAGGAGGAGAGAGAGAGAGAGAGAGAGAAGACAGGGAGTGCTCTTGACATCTCATTTTGCATTTCAGCAATTCCTTCAATGATTACAGAAGACAGCACACAAACATATTCACCAAAATTTAATAATAAATGCTGCCATCCTTCCGTAACCCACTACACACATGGATAAACTGCAGCAGAAACATGTACTTCTACAACCTTATCCTGCTTGGATTTTCAGTTCTCTTCTTAGACATATCACTATCTGGACTATATGCCCAGAACAGTTCTCACAATTACTGTAATTAGCAGTGGTGCATTTCCAAGGCTTCCTTAAACCTCAGCATCCTGTCCATAATTATTATAGTGCGTGTATTTCAACAGGCAAAAGGCCAACCTAACTCTGTATAGCTGGAGAAAATGCACACACAAAAAACAAGTTTTGCAGGGCTGGAAAGCCTTAGGCAAGTTTTACAGGGCAAGAAAGCTTCCCCGTAAATCTGCATATGTAAAAGAAGAAATGGGAACTATAATAAGATCAAATTGCTTTTAATTGTGGTGGTTTTTTGAGATTCTTCACTTATTATTGCTCTTATTTGGGAAAAGTAAAAGCCAATGGCATAGTTCAACATCAACTATGGTTTAAACTTACGTGTTAACTATGGTTTAATGCATGCTAGCGCACACTAGTCAAAAGTCCCAGCTTCCCTCTTCCCCACTCTGTACCAGGAGCAGCAACCCACGATGGCTGGCTTGTCATTACGTGCAAGTCTGGGCTCAAGGTTTCCTTCCCCTAAACCTTGGCTCCTATTTGCAATTTGGAAGTGAAAACCACAAGTTGGGTTCACACATAACAGGAACAGGCTTATGGTTTGTTGCTCCTGGCACAGAAAGGGATTTCTGATCAGTGTGCACCAGTTTATTTGCTTTACCTATGGTTTAATGCAACGTGACAACCAGATAATTGAATATAACTAGACATAACTTTCACCTTGTTCCTGGGATCCTCTTATATATGGCTTAAGATGAGATATTTTGATGGGCCTTTTCAGCCTTGAGCCAGAGGCATCTCTTAATATTGCACAGCCATTATCAGTAACATAATCTATAATACAGGGGCCAACCCATTCGGACTGGAAGCGACCATCTTTCCACCAGTTCTTCTTTTGTCTGAGAACTTCATGTCCAACTTTAAGGAGAAATTGATTAACTTGCTTTGGTTTCTTCCTGACTTGGCTCATGTTCCCACTCCGCTGTTCCACAGGCATTTTCTTCATATTCTAAGTAGCAAATGAACCTATTAGTTAGAACTTTTGTTTTAAGGATGTACAACTCAGACAGATGTGTGTGTTTTCTCAAGTGCATCTGATCTGTGCAAGCCAGACTGAGTCTGCAAGATGTGTGGAAATCAGAAAATGAGCATATGGTTTTCTGTGTGCTCCAGTGTATACACATATCCATATGAACTCATGATGAAGTTTTCTATTAGCCTACCTTATTAGTTTTGTGAAACTGTGGGCTATAAATGTCTGAAAGGTATGGCTGATATATATTACTTTTCTAAATGATATCTGGGTCTTGCTTTCTTTCTTATATCTAATAAGTTCCTGTCTGTATTTGTCCTTCATAAGAAGGGAATTCAGTGTGATGTCAGACAGCTCCACTCCCTAGACCACAGAGGAATAGGCCTTAACTTAATCTGTACAGTTTGAAGATTTGAATGAGCCTTATTCAGACACATTTGTGCATTATTTAGGGGAGCATTTTTAATCTTTATTTCTAGCTCAAACAGCTGGAAATAATAGTCAATGAAAGACATTCATTAAATGTGCTGAATTAAAATCATTCACACATTTTCTTTCTCTGAATTACTGTATTCACTGAATGTTGAATATTTTTTCCTGAGAAAGGGAGGAGGCAGATTTACCTGGCAACCTGAAATTGTCCTTTCCTGTACTGCTTTCTCTGCTTGTCTAATAGCAGATAAGATTCTCACAAACATGCAGTCACTCTCCCCTTCTTGAATCACACTTAATGTTGAAGGTATATAAGGATTTCGTTTAAACATTTGGAAATAGGGCGTGTTGTTGCTAGTTTCCTATTTTAAAAAAAAGGAAGGAAGAAAAAGGAAATGTGGTTATATTTGACACTGTGCTACTAAAGAACATTCAGCCCCAGTTCACACAAAAGGTACAAATGTTCTCCATACATACTGAATCAATCAAGTTGAACGCATATGAAATAGCTTGCAAATGATCATCCCAGTCTTTGGTGTGCTCCGTGCAATATTTGAGAAGGAAAGATCTGATTGTCTTGACAGCTTCATTTTCATGATCAGCTTGAGGGTATGGCATTATTAATTCCTTTGTCCCAAAGTGTTCAAACAGCTCCCTGTTGATCTTTAAGAATAAGACAAATCATTTTAAACCTCCACATTGTTTTTATTTCACTTGGTAACTGAAAACTGTGCTTTGAAATAGTGGCACAGTTACACTGTAAAGGTACTGAAATGTTTAAGCTTAATTTCTCTTTGAGATACAAAATTGCAATTTGTTCAAATTTAGACATTTAACATACATGAACCAAAGAATAAGCTCAACTGGAAGTTATCAAGTGCACTTTCCACAGCAAAGTTCGCTCCTCTTACCTGATGAACAAACTCTTCTTCCTGATCTATAGTTATTTTCTGAGGTGGTCCATAACAGAACGATGCGCTGACAACTGCCTTAGCCACTTCAGCTGCTGAAAGGTCATGCAGGGGCAAAACCACAACCCACTTAGTGAAGACATCTGTTAGGAGGATGACATACACATTGTTCCGGCTGGTGGCATCAAAAGGTCCCATTAGCTCTAGAGTAACTACAGTCCACGGGTCTTCTGCCTTAATAGAATGGAATTTAGATGCTACAGCAGCTGTATTCTTTGCTACCTGGCAATGTTCGCAAGCGTACACCTGGGAGAAAAGTCATGAAAATGGGTGTTAATAGTCCATCCATTTGCATTAATAATGTTTTTGTAATAAGTTATTCGAGTATCTCCTATTATTCTAACAATAGGTTTAAGACAGAATAACCATGCTACATTGCTTTCGGTTGAAACTATCACAAAACATGTTTTGATACTTATAACTACAAACACCATAACAGATCCCCATCTACTCAGATACAAAAATAACTCAGGAAAACTCAACTTGCAATTTATTTTGGTGCATTGTTCTATTCACACTGCCAGTTTTGTAGTCTGGGGGCACTCCTGGATCAATCTGTTGTGAGAAGCCTAGGTGACTTCGGTGGCTACTAGTACTTTTACTTGTTTCAGCTGATTAAACAGCTATGGTAGTTTCTGGACCAGTATAGCATGATCAGTGTCGTAATGCACTGAGAATCTCCACATATGATCACTGCAATATGCTCTGTGTGAGGCTGTCCCTGAAGCTGGTCCAGAACCTGCAGCTAGTGCAAAACTCAGCAGCTCAACTGCTCACTGGTACAAAGCATCATCATCAGATTACGCTGCTGCTGAAAGAATTGCACTGGTTGCCAATCAGCTAAATTCAAGATTCTGATCCCTATAAAGCATGGGATTAGAATACCCAAAGATCATCTCGCCCCTTATCACTGTACTCTATAGGATGCAGCCTCCTGCAGAGCCTTTCTCATCAGGAAGTCCATTCTGTATAATGTTGGAATTGGGCCTTTAGAGTGGCAGCACTTACCCTTCGGAACTCACTCCCACAGTCCCTATTATCTTTTGGGGGTGTCCACTGAAGGCGTTCCTTTTCCAAGCAGCTTTTCATAAGTGAAGATTTTAATCCCAGTCTGCAAATGTTTCAGACTTGGATTTGGTTTTAAATATGTGCTTACTGTTAAATCACTTTGAGATTCTTTATGGGAAGCGATTCGTATATGAAACAAATGACAGGGTGCCACATGCTACCAACTTACTTCAATGTTTGGTGTTGCAGCCAATAGGTATTACATTAATACACATTTAACAGCATTGGCAATATTATCTCAGAATGCAACACAAGCATCTGTTGATTAGATAATAGTCCAAGGGTGGAACTTTCTATTGCTGTTTATATTCTGCTGTCTTATGAAGATTTAGAATAAGTAAAGCCACACAAAATAAATTAAGAATACCCCAGAACCACACATTCCAACCTTTTCTTGCAAATGCACTTTTAGGATCCGGTCTTTCTCTGCATCTTGAACCACCAGTTTTAAGTAGAACAAACTGAGAAAAATGTCCAGTCAAAGGCAATTATGGGGTTGCAGCGCTCATCTTACTTTCAGGACAAGGGAGCCAGCGTTTGCCCACAGACAGCTTTCCAGGTCATGTGGCCAGCATGGCTAAACCACTTCTGCTGCAATGGAACACCATGATGGAAGCCAGAGTGCACAGAAACACCCTTTACCTTCCCGCCGCAGCGGTACCTATTTATCTACTTGCACTGGTGTGCTTTCGAACTGCTAGGTTGGCAGGAACTGTGACAGAGCAACGGGAGCTCACCCTGTCATGGGGATTCAAACCACCGACCTTCTAATCAACAAGCCCAAGAGGCTCAGTGGTTTAAACCACAGCGCCACCCGTATCCCATGAGTGCCATATCATGCAAAGCGGACTTTAAAGAATGATCATTCACATGTGCGCACACACACACACATAAACACAGTGTGACCCATACCCACTGTTTTACATCGCTGGTTACTGATGTCCAATAATATTGGGATTCCACCAGGGTCAGTGTCCTTGATATGCCATGATGTGCACCTGCATGATTTTCATGGCACTTTTCTAACACTTTCCTTTTCTCTTCATCAGAAAGAATCACCAGGCGCATTTGCCTCTTGTCTTTTCCCACATAGAACAGACTGTTATCTAAAAGAAAGCATTCAAATAAATTGTGTAATTTCATACCATTTATTGTATATTGGTTCAAATTTTATTCATAACTACTTCTTAGCACACCTGCTCAAAACAGACAGTTCTATTCTGAAAGAGAGACATAAAGTTGGTGGTAATGTGGCCAGCAAGATTATTTTTGAGGGATTTTGCATGGGTAAAATTTTAGAAAATATCAGCTTTTGTTTGCCGAGAATACAAATGTAAAGTTAGCATGACAGGGAATTGTATTTCAAAATAGGCAGACACAAGCTAACATTTATTTTATTTGCTAAATTTATATCTCCCACTTTCAACCCTATTGTGTTCCCAGGGCAGCTTAAAAGAAGAATAAAGTACTATCCCATTAATAAAATAAAGACAAAATAGATGAAGCAATGGCAAATGGAACTGCATGAAATCCAGCACCAGAAATTGAAGAGGAACACAGCAGAAATAAAAATTGTCCTTGTTAACTTAAAAAGTTCAAATGGCTAAGGTAATAAAAAGGCTGTTGCTGAAGTGTCAGCAAAGCAGGCACCAAGCACGTTTCCCTGGAGATTTCCAAGATCTTGCCAAAATGGAACACCTTCCATTCCTCAGAAGACATGGGTGGTAAACCTGCGGCCCTCCAGATTTTTTCTTGGTAACACCAGACTCGCCACCCAAAATTTCAAATTATACATGAAGAATGGCATAAACATACATAAATATGTAATATTCCTGATTTATATGCTCCTGTGTACAGTATTTAATTTCTTAGAAGAAAATAATGTTCATTATGTTCTTTTTATGTATGATGATGCAAATCCCACTTTACATTTGATAAGCAACAACCCAGCCCAATACAGTGGTACCTCGCAAGACGAATGCCTCGCAAGACAAAAAACTCGCTAGACGAAAGGGTTTTTTGAGCTGCTTCGCAAGACGATTTTCCCTATGGGCTTGCTTCGCAAGACGGAAACGTCTTGCAAGTTTGTTTCCTTTTTCTTAACACCGTTAATACAGTTGCGACTTGACTTCGAGGAGCAACTCATAGAAGTAGCCTTTTTTGGTGTGGTAGCCTTTTTTGAGGTTTTTAAAGACTTTGGTGATTTTTGAAGCTTTTCCAAAACTTTCCCGACACCATGCTTCGCAGGACGAAAAAAATCGCAAGACGACAAAACTCGCAGAACGAATTAATTTCGTCTTGCGAGGCACCACTGTATTGTTTGGTCTCAGCCTTCACGGATATAAAGGCATGGCACAAAGCACACTGAACTCCCAAGACCATTATATTATATTTACCTCTGAAAACAAACTTTTTAGCTGCTCTTCTTATTCCGCTTCTTTCACTTGCTAATGTTGTGGGATGATATCCACCGGTTTGTTTGTAGTAAGAGATCTGTTTCAGATGGAGTCCACCATTTTTGCCATTACGGACCATTGCTGTTTAAAGTGAAACAAATACAAAAAGTGACTTGCCTGGTCATCTTTGGGTTTTTTTAAAAAGCCTCTGGCAACTAGAAAGTGAGGAGGGGATTGGGGGTTGAGTGAATAGTTATTTTTATTGTTCTTGGTTGCGTTCCCCACTAATTAAGGTTTCTCTACTTGCAAACCCTTCAACTTCCTGTATACAAATTAACAGGATAGATATAAATAGAATAGATCTTACTCCAATAATTGTAAAGAACCTTTAACAATTAATAACTTAGGGAGGGGTTCATGACTAAAATGAAGTAAATACATATAATGCAAATTACAACTATGTTATGTGGCCTAGATTCAATATAAGTGGCTAAGAAGCAGATTTTAAATAGACTCAATTTCCTGTACCTGCCCCATTTCCGATACTTCTTTGGGATTTATTTGAAAGGTGATAATTGGTTAATTTTAATTCTGCTTTTCTCTTATTTTCTGTTTCACAGGTACTATTTTTACAGTAATAGCACTTCACACACTATTAGAAATATCCATACTATAGGCATCACATTTTACATGTAACATATTAAATCTCATTTTATAATCCAGTTTGTTAATTTATGTTTTAGCTCTTAGCATAACATAGTTTTTTAAAGACAGCAATGAGAGACCAGCTGCAGCACTATTAATAATTAATGGGAGAGAACTTGAGCTTATTTCAATTGGACAGGAAAAGAAAACACTAAATTCAGCAACAGCTGCTTTGTATGGGAAAACAAATATAATCAAAGCAATCCACCAATAGCACTTCACATAACTGCAGCTTTCAACCTACCCTCCCAAATGGCAGACTTTCAAACTACCCTGTGCATATATATTCCAAAGTTCAATCAGCTGAATTCAAAGGCTTATTGTATGAGTGGAATTGCAGCTTAAGGCTGCAAACTGGTGTATCTAAAACTCAGGGACAAATCAGACAGGATGGTGGATATCTGTAACTGAGTAGCCTGTCTTTTAATAGTGGGAGGAAGATACTATCACCTTTGCTTTGGACACGCACTGCTACATACATCAGAAACCTACTTCACCATGTTCTGGATATAAGGTATTCTGAAATACAAATTACTAGTGTGAAAAGATTAACTTCTCTTTGAGGTGTGGCTGTATACTGCCAGGATCAGGCTGCTATCAGTCTGGTAGAGATGTCCAAGCACGGTCAATGGTCGGAGACAATGGGAGCTGAAGTTTATTAAGATCTTGAAGGTCACAGATCCCCCATCCCTGGTCTAAGTAATGAGGTGTCTTTGTAAAGTAGCTGGGACAGGGAAATAGGGATGAAGATTGAACTTTTTCAGGAAAATAATGCTTTATTGATGAAGTAGAATAAGAGCAATTTTGCAAAGATGGGAGGAAGAGTTAGAGAACCATGGTTAGACAAAGAGTGAACCAAGAGCAGCTGCCTGGTAATGGGGGGAAGTGGTAGAAGCTGTGACATTCAGAGAGCTAAGAAAGAGAGGAATGAAGGAAGAGCAAGTTATTGAAATCTTAAACCTATCGGGGGGGGGGGTTCTATTTATCTGAAATCTGACACCCAAACCAGGGTTTCCAGGAGCAGACTGAGCAACAGCTGCTTGCCAGACCACCTCCCACAAATGCATAAAAATACAAAGCTGCAATCTTCAAGGCAGAGAGAAAGTGATATGTGGCCAACAGAATTGTCACAAACAAGCTGTGAAAAAAATAGGGAATTCCATGTTAGGAATTACTAGGAAAAGGGTTTTAAAACACCTGCCAGTTTTGTAATGCCTTTACACTAATGTAAAGTGTGCAGAAAAGGATACTGTAGTGCTGGGAAAGGTGCAGAAAGAAAGAAAGAAAGAAAGAGAAAGAAAGAAAGAAAGGCAGCAGAAATTATCAAGGGGCTGGAAGAACTTCCCTATGAAGAAAGGTTGCATTTGGAGCTTTTTAGTTTAGGGGAAAAGCTGAAAAATTATGCATGGTGTGGAAATAGATGTTTTTCTCCCTCTCTCATAATATTAGAACCTGGGATGAATCAATGAAAGTGAATGACAGAAGATTCAATAAAAAGTACTTATTCACGCAACACATTGATAAAACTATTCTCTACCACAAGATGTGGTGATGACCTCCAATTTACACTGCTTTAAAAGGGGATTAGGCTTATTCTCCATGAATTGTCTATTAATAGCTACAAGCTGTGATGGCTATGTACTATTTGTAGGCTCAGAGGTAGCATGAGACTGAATATTGGTCAATGGTGAATAAAAGCAGAAAAATATTATTGTGCTTATGTTCTGCTTGAAGGCTTCCTATAAGCATGTTGTTGGCTGCTGTGGGAAGCAGAATACTGGATGAGGTGCACCTTTGGTCTGATTCAGCAAGGTTCGTCATGTTCTCAAGCGTGCATGTAATTTCAACTCGTGTGCTGTGATTTATACATACACACACCCCAATATTTCAATTCAACTAAATTTGGCTGTCAGAGGCTTTGCAAGAGTGATAGAACACATCAAAATATGGCAATACATTTTTTTTAATAAGATATTTATTGAAATTTTCAAAGTGTTACCAGATAAAATAAAAGCAGTAGAAAATACAAAATAAAAATAATTAACAAAGTAGAAAAAGAAAAAAAAACAAACCCCTTCCAACCATATGAATACAAATTCAAAAATAAGAAAAAGTGACAAAAAGAAAAAAAATACAAAAATACATCACACACAATTAAAAAACATTTAAAAACAAATTCATTATTCTCATATCCTCAACTGTCATTACCTTCTTTCTTTGACCTCCTCCTCCTCCCTTTCTTTGTATCCTAGTTATTAATTATCCCAGCAAATCCTTTCCATATTTCATAATATTCTGTCATTACATTACCCTAAACTGTTTTAATCTTATCTTTCTATAATAAAATAAACCTTAAAGCTTAAAACTTAAATCTTATCCTTACCAACTTCTCATAACCATAATATTCTTTCATAATTCTTTAAACATCTTTACTAAAGCCAAGTAGTTTCATTCCAACATTTTTCTAACATTCATCAATTTTATAAAACAGTTCTAATGGTAGAAAAAAGAAATACAAACAAATCCAATCTTCATCCAACGTCCCTTCCTCCTGGTTCCGGGTTTTGTCAGTCCTTATTATCCTGTCGATCTAGCCCATTAACCTGGCAGCCTTATATCCGAGGCCCTCAAGTCTCTTCCATGTCCCTTCCGCAGCTCTTCTTCATATTTGTAACTGTATTTTCCCTTGTCTCCTGCTCGTGGTAACTCCAGCTTGGCAATATTTTTAACCCTTCTCGACAGATCAGCCCCTTTTCCAGATTCAACACTGAGTTCCATATGGTATTTAAAAGCATGTTTCAAAGACCCTCCGAAATTAAGAGCCCCCACAATCCCAAACATCTCACGGCCCATTGTCAGATTTGAAAAGTCCAAACATCCCAGCATAGGGGGGTCAATCCAGCCCCCCATTTCCAAGCCAAACCAAACTTTTTCTTTCCAAATCTGGCTTTTTCCAAGTTCATTTGTCAAATCCGAAAACTCATATTCCTGTTGGGCCTGTTCTGTCAGGACACACTCCTGATTTAATTCCTGGGTGGGCTCCACATATTTTCCCACTGTCTGTTCAAAATTTCCCACTGCCTGTTCAAAATTTCTAGTCGAAGTCGCCATCCAATTCACCTTTTCATGTAATTGTTCCAGTAGGGCATTTGTTTTATAGAAAGCACACAACAAAGCTTCTGAATACATTGTCCTGCAAGGTCGAATGCCTGTTCCCACGATTGTTATCTGTAACAGCTGCCGGCTCTCTGGAGTTGGTAACAGTTACACAGTCTCCCTCTAGGGGGAAAACTTCTATTTGTTCTTGCAACAAAGTTTCCCTTTTTGAGATACTTTGTCAATATTTGTTGCTTAAAGATGCGAAGGGAAGCAGTGGAATCGCTATGTTTCTCTTCTTTTAGCTATCTGTCAAACTGCTTGTCTCTGGTCAATGAACTTCAAACATCAGTCCTGACACCCCGCTCCAGGATCAGGACGGAGGAAAGTTACTTTACTTTAAACTCACTTTAAACAGTCCGGAAAAGATCCCCCTCCTTCTCCTGCTGTCGAAGGGGGGTTCCACAATTTTAAATGATGAAATCCAATCCTTTAAAGGCGATTTTCTAAGCTCTAGTTTACGTTGTCTTTGCTTTATTCTGTCTACAGAAGAACGGAAGGCTGACTTCCTGTTTAGACCTTCCCGTTCCGTACCAAATTAAAATAGGTTTTTAAAATCCAATTCCTTTCTGCTCGCAAGTCCTTATCTAATGTCCAGTTGTTCAAAGTCTAAGTACTCACGGGTGCTTATTTTAGAGTCCAAATTGTCCCAGGAAAAAGGCAGCGCTCTCCGGCAACGGCTGTGCGGCTTCGCTCCACGGAAATAGCAATTGACTCACAGCACCGCGCCACTTCCCCCTCTTCACTTCGGAGCCCGTTAGTGGGTTCCTTAGCGAGTTGGGGGGGCGCTAAAGGTGCCCGCCGAGTCCCATGGTCACAGGCTTCATCCGCCTGTGATTTTTAAAAGGGTCCTCGCTTCGCCGTAGCGGACAAGACCCGTTTCCCGCGGAGCTAGTCCCTCCTGTTCAGAGGGAGTCCGCCATTGCTGATGGCGCCACCCCGGAAGTCCTCCAAAATATGGTAATACAGTGGTACCTCGGGTTAAGTACTTAATTCGTTCCGGAGGTCCGTTCTTAACCTGAAACTGTTCTTAACCTGAAGCACCACTTTAGATAATGGGGCTTCTTGCTGCTGCCGTGCCACCGAAGCACAATTTCTGATCTCATCCTGAAGCAAAGTTCTTAACCTGAAGCACTATTTCTCGGTTAGCGGAGTCTGTAACCTGAAGGGTATGTAACCCGAGGTACCACTGTATGGTGTTGGGTTTTTGTTTTTAAGAAAACACGCTAAATGGTTGGCCCATAGGGCTATCATCTGAAAGAACAAGATACAGCCACTCAGTCGAAATTCATTGCCTGGATTGCAGGTGTAATTTTAGAGGATGGTAAGGGAAAGTCCCAAGAGGTAAACGGAAAAGGAGATGGGGTTTTTTTTTCTGATAAAAAAAAAAAAGCAGACAAAAAATCCTGAAGTATGATTATGTGGGGAAAGGGGCACAGCAATGGGAAGAAAATATTTCCAACATCAAAAATATTTCCAATTCCAACCTTTGCCCCCAATTCCCGTTAAAATAACTTAGTTTGTCCATCAGCACTATGGAAGAAACTATATTACAGTCCATTTCTCCACCCTGCTACAGCAGGAAAATCCTAAAAACTCAAAATCGACCATGGTGAAAGCAAAATATGTTTTTCCATATATTTTCCAACTCCTATCCTAGTTTGCTCTGAGCAGGCTGCAACACGATGCAACCGAATTATTATTAAAAGAAAAGAAGAAGAAACAACAATCAAGGCTGCTATCCTCCCAGATGAGCAGCTATCCCTTTCACTACCCGAATTACAGAGTGTCAGGGCGTTAAGGGGAAAAATACAACCACCAGCAGCAACCAGGAAATCCGGTCCGCGGATAAAATAAACTGTCAAGGCAGAAGCATTCTGGCCTCTTCCTGCTATTCCTTCGCCAGGGTCCCCTTCTAAGCGCATGCGCACAGCTCCTCTCACGGCCTCACCGGTAATACCAAGCCACTGTTCGTTGGGAACCAACGCCTCCCCGTCACCACCGCCGCTGCCGCGCCCCCCTCCCCCCCCAGTGAAATTACTCCCGCCCAACGGGAGGGCTAGAGCTTCTCTCAAATTATTCTTCCCTTTCGCGGCACAAAAGGAGTCACCGGATCACTTAGAGACCTATGTGGCGCTCACGGAAGTGACGACAGAGGAAGAGAGAAAAGCGTGCGGGCACCATAGAGATAGGAAAAAAAGAGTACTACATCCGCCTAACTTATTGTTCTATTAGGAATGTCTACTTTATGTTGATGAGAAAGAGGTGGAGAAGCAGCGCGTTGTTATGAAAACGCAGAACGTCTGCGTCGAGCTGAGCGCTGGGCGGGTTCTGGCGGCGATGTGGGAACTTTAACTAGAAATAAGATTCCTGCAACTTGAGGTGTGTTTTGTATGGAGTTGTTGTTGATAATAATAATAATAATAATAATAATAATAATAATATTACTTTTCTAGAAATTCAGAATAGCTCCACAACGGACAGTGACGGAGGGTGGGGGGAAGCAAGAGAACAAGTCCACTGCAGCCTTTCAACAAGCTGCTTAGGAGCCCTGGTATACAAAATGTTGGCAACAATATATGCTTCGAAGGACACATTAAACACTTAGCTGCATTTCAGAGTTGTCAGGAAGCGCCCTCTCTCAAGCACCCCTCTCCCATCAATGCTAGACCAACCCTAGGGAACGTTGCAGGTTGTTGCAAACTCATCAGTCATATGGACAACGGAGCACCCCTACAAGGGAGCAAGCCCCGCTGGAAACCCTGGGACTAACTTCCAAGTAAATGTCTACACTATAGGATTAGCGGGCGAGTCACGTTCGCCTTTTAACTGCGATGTAGGGAGTAATTATAGTGACCTATATAATCCACACTCCTTTCTCAATTGACAGCGCAGTGCAAAGACCTGGCTGGCGACTCTGCTGGGCTTTCGTCAGCAGCTCTCTCCCAACCACATCCTCTTCAGCTTGCAGCACGAGGATTAAAATGTAAGTTGCATTTGTCATTTGCAACACGTTGCTTTTGTTCACGAGCATTAAGGTGCCTGGTTTAAAGGGGGGGCTCCCTCTCTTGCTTCTGCAGGGAAGGGGTGGGCGGGGAGAGAGAGAGAGAGGCGATGCTCTGCTACCCAATCATAGCTGCGCTGAAAGCCTTGGATGTATCACGTTTGCTCCGCAGCGGGGGTGGGAAAGGAAAATAGCATCAAAGGAAACCCGGAAGTTCTTTCTCCGGGCTATGAAATTCCCCATCTAACCCTTTATCTCTCTACGGAGCCTACAATAGGTGTACTGTGAGGCAAAGCAGCGTAGGCGGGGAAGAGGCTTGAGGGGGTCAAGGGTGGCGGAGGGGGCGTGGCCGCGGCTGCAGCGCCCCCTGCTCCTTTCTCAATGGGAAGGAAGTAAAGCAATAACAGCGGCGGAGGAGGCGGAGGCAGCAGAAGCAGCGGCGGCTGGCTCAGGTGAGGACATCGGGATGGCGGCGGGAGGGATATTCCAAACACCCCCCCCCCGCGGCACCGCGTCACATCGCACAGCCCCAAAACTACTAGTCTGTCTCCAAGGCTGCCCCGAAGGGCACCAATGGAAAAAGGGGGGCGGGCCCAGAATGGAAAGAGCGTGTTGCTGAGCGTGGACGGCACGCGGGGGCCAGTTTCTCTCTGTGTGTGTTGCGCGCGGGCGGGCGGGCGCGCGCCCGTTAGTTACCCTCCCCGCCCCCTCCCTCCAGCCCAACTGCCGTTTTTCTCGTCACGCCGCCTTCGCCTTCCCTGAGTTGCAGGGGCGCGAGGAGAAGGGAAAGGGAGCTCTGGCGTCCCCCGTACCCCCCACCCCACGTCCCGGTTCTGTATGCAGGGCTCCCTCGAGTAAATAATAATAAATAAAGGAGCGGGAAGAAAGAGAAGGCGTTTTGTTCTCGCCTCCGGTTCTTACGCTTTAATTGCTCAAGTAGAAGAAACTCCGCCTCAGGCCACCTCGACGAACCTATTTTCGCGCGGCTTCACAGACGCCGCCTGTCTTCTCTTTAATTCAGCCCGTGTTTAAAAAAAATTTAATATGGTCTATCTGTCTATCTATGTCTTCTCTTTAATTCATATGTGGACCATGTTAATTTTTTTTAAACACGGGCTGAAATAAAGAGAAGACAGGCATATATACGCGCAGCCGCCCAGAGTGGCTGGAGCAACCCAGTCATAGGGGGCGGGGCGGGGTACAAATAATGAAATAATGGTCGGCGTTGTTCTCATTAACATAGAAGCTTGGGGAGGTGTTTTATTCTGCGCATCGCACAAGTCCATATGTGGCTCTTGCTGCTTAACTGGTCCCAGCGGGCAAGGAAACTTTTTCCCTCAGCCCCCCTTGGGCTGCTATGCTACAGGCAGCGCCGACGAGGCTCTGGGAGTCAAGGTCGTCAGGCTCCGCATTTCCCGCCTCCTCCTCCTCCAGTCCTTGGCGGGCGCTGCTTTCTCTCGCCTCTGCAGCAGCAGCAGCAGCGGGGGCGTCGGCACGTGGAGGCGCAGTGCAGCTGACCTTCGCGTTCCTTTTTTCCTGGCAAGATATGTACAGGGCAAGACAGTTGGGGCACTTTTCTTCTTTTTTTAATCTGGTGCTGAAGTGACTTCAAAGCAATCCCTTACAATCTATTGCAGCCTAACAGGATGCCCCCCTCTGGAATTTGTCACAGGGGCACTCACACACACACACACACAAACGCACAAGGTTGTACATCTGGGTACCCAGAGTTTAAATGCATGACCTTTCGCACAACCCTTTCAAACACATGCATTTGGAGAGGACCCCGAACTTGGCAGAGAGAGAGGAGACCTGGAGTACATGACAAGACTTGTGTCAATACAGGACATAGCACTTGACATTGAAATGCAGGGCAATCCTGTATTAAACAGGACAGGTGGCAACCTAGGGTTGGGGGGACGGTGGGGTGGTGGGGTGTGTCTTTCTCTCCGCCACCCGCTACAAGCACATAACTACATATTTGCAACGTAAATTAATGCTGCCACAATAGCTGGGACAAGCTGCCTTGGGAGTCTGTCTGTTGCACATACAGACCATTGGCTTGATGTTATCCACTCAATTCTTAACTTGCTGCACATTCATTGGTGTCTGATACACAGTGCTATTCTTCTAGGGGTGGGTGGGAAAGGTGTCAGTGCTGGAAGCCACCCAGAGTGGCATGAGGTAACAATAATGAAATTATTATTATTTTATTTTTACCAGCCCTTTTCATCTAGAAAAAAGTGCCTTTACTGTGTACCCAGAAAAAAATAATACATAGAATTATAAAAGTGTAGAGTTGGAAGAGACCCTGAGGATCACCTAGTCAAACCCCCTCAAATGCAGGAATCTTTTGCCCAGTGTGGGGCTCAAACTCACAACTCCAAGATTACGTCTCATGCACTACCAACTGAAGAGGGTGCGGGGTGGGGAAGCAACACTGCTGATATGTATCTTTCTGCAGTCCACTATAAGCAACTTTCAAACTGGTATGGGAAGGACATTTTAGAGACATCAAGTGACATGGAGAGGGTACCTGGTATACTTGAGCCTGTTGCATTAAAGTAAATAAGTTTTACTAGAACTCATTAATGGCATTGAAGTGTAATAAGTCTGAGAGAGCCGTTGACTCAGGTATATTTAGGCTGGTTGTTAAGAGATGATGAAGGAAGGCCGTTTGCACAACAAATGGAGATCAAATTAACAGCCTGATAAGTTAGAGTTAGGTGACCCTAAGCTATTTTAAATTGATGTGAGTTTAAGCACACCTAATTCTGCATTGGATCAAGCTATAAAAGGGAGGTATTGCAGTTTCATCCCTACTATGTTGGCTTAAAAGTAAGCCCCGTCTTTTTCAGGATTTACTGGCAAGTTAAAGGTGCAAAACTTAAACCCACTTACCTGGGAGAAAGCCACAAGGAATTCAATAGAACTTGCTTCCGAATGGAGATGATTAGGGTTGTACCATAAATATATTTAGGATTGTAACCATAGATAGCTAGTCTAGAAGCAAAGGATAAACATGAAAGTATGACAGTGACAAAAAGAATGCAATAGATGTGAAACCTTGTTTCTACTTGGATTATGTAGAACTTTCTTTGGGAACAGTGTTACAGAGTTACTTCTCATGCTTCTGAGTTTCAAATAGATTAAGTCCCTGTTGCCATCTGTCTTGTTCTAAAGTCTATCCAGTGTTAGCCTTACTCAGAGCAGACTCACTGAAACTCATGGATGTGACATATTTAGCTCCATAATTTCCATGAGTCCCTTCTGGGTATAATATAGTTGTATGCAATGTGTGTTTATGTTCCAAGAAAACAGTGTCTCTCTTTGTGAAACAAGCTTAAATAGCTATTTTAAAAAATTGAAACATGTAGCAAAGAATTAGTTACATAAAAACAGGTACAAATAACATCTTTAAAAACAATGGAATTAACATATTAAAAACATGAAGATTTCTGCTGCATATCTAGAGTTCAGATAACTATTGCATGTGCTCCTCCTGCAAGCTTCCTTGCTGTAGTTTCCATCAGCACATCTATTTTAAACAGAACCAAATGACCTTGAGCAGGCTGCCTTTCAGACTTAAGTTTTTTGTAAAGTGTGCAAACCATGAAAATAGTTTCAATATTTACTAGCAATGCCTTTTGAGCTATTAACAAAACCAGCAGGATTACTCTGCTTCTTCTTTATTATAATAACATTCATTTAGATTTGCTCTTGAAGTAACTAAAGGTTTATGTTCTTTTTATATTAAATTGCCTAATTCTGCAAAAAGGAGAACAAATGTATCTACAGTTGCAGTTTCGTTGTGGTGTCAAGGTAATGTGAAACTAGAATGATACAAGTTTGTTTTACAAATAAAGTTATATAGATCACTGCAGCATGTTATGCATAGGGCTGCCTCTGAAGACAGTTCAGAAACTTCTGCTGGTGCAGAATTTCAGTGGCTAGGTTGCTCACCACAGCAAGACGGTTTGAGCATATTACACTGATCCTGGCTCGACTGCACTGGCTGCCAATTTAGGTTTCCAGGACCAATTCAAAGTGCTGGTTTTGACCTATAAAGCCTTAAACTGCTGAGGACCGCAATACCTCAAGGACCGCCTTTCTCCATCTGAACCTAACCAGACCTTGCAAACTTCATCTGAACCCCTTCTTCGTGTATCTCCTCCATGAGAAGTCTGGAGGGTGGCAACACAAGAACAGGCCTTTTCTGCAATGCCCCCTGTTTGTGGAATGCTCACCCCTGGGAGGCTCACCTGGTACCTTTATTACATATATTTAGGCTCCAGGCAAAAAAGTTTCTCTCTAAGCAGTTCTTTGGCTGATTAGCATTCTGTGGCCTGTCAAATACGTTTGTAGAAGGCGTAAAGGTAAAGGGACCCCTGACCATTAGGTCCAGTCGTGACCGACTCTGGGGTTGCGGCGCTCATCTCGCTTTATTGGCCGAGGGAGCCGGCGTACAGCTTCCGGGTCATGTGGCCAGCATGACTAAGCCGCTTCTGGCGAACCAGAGCAGTGCACGGAAACGCCGTTTACCTTCCCGCCAGAGCAGTTCCTATTTATCTACTTGCACTTTGACGTGCTTTCGAACTGCTAGGTTGGCAGGAGCAGGGGCCGAGCAATGGGAGCTCACCCCGTTGCAGGGATTCGAACTGCCGACCTTCTGATTGGCAAGTGCTAGGCTCTCTGGTTTAACCCACAGCGTGTGTGGTTAACCCACAGTGTAGAAGGGGTACTATTGGTTTATTTTTGTTTTATTGCATACTTTGTGTTCTGTTTTTGTTTTATTATGTATTTTGCATTCTCATTTTGTATTTTTAAGTTGTGAACAGTCCTGTGATCTTCGGACGAAGGGTGGTATACAATATATGCTGCTAATCCAATTAAAGAGGTTCGTTAGGTTTGAGCGAGAGTAGAATAAATAAAACATGGTAATTTCATCAGACCTAATTAATCCAAAATATGTTTAGGATCTCATTAAAGCTAAAAGAGAAAATAATTGAAGGGTGGCAGGCATGTAACAATTTTGCTTCCCAGCACCACCTGCTTTTGTTACCATGTCTGGGACTAGGCGAGTAATAAACAGCAACCACCCAGTGTGGAAGTCCTGGCCTAGCTGGAACTAACATCTTGAGGCTTAAACAGTCAGTTCTAGGCCAGTAGATTTAGCTGCAGAAATACATACTATTATTATTTTGGAAAGTTGGAGAACAAGAAGAGGGACTTAAATATTCCTTTGTCTTCCTGTGGTGACTATTGTAGCAACGTCTATTTTATTATGTTTTAAATATACTGTAAGCCACCTCAAGAACTTTGGTTAGAATGTTGGGTATAAATACTTCTAAATAATAAATAGTTTGTTTGTTTACCTGAAGATGTGAAGGGTTTTTAAATTTTAAAAGAAAACAAAATAAATAGTTGAATTTACTATCATGTCAACAAACAGAAAGAAGGGAAATGCAGTTCTCATGGAGCAAGGGCAGATTATTTTTTTAAAAACTGGAGTTGACAACTGGCAATATTATTTACTTTGTGTTTATGGTAGGCTTAACAGCTTTTGTGTTTGGCCGTTCAGGTGCAAATATTTATTATTTAGATATATTCTTAGTTCTGGCATTTTGATATGTGATCTGAGAGTGAGGCGGCAGATATTTGTAAGGAACCATTTCTGGGAAATTATTTTCCAGCATTAACCACATGTATAGCTGAATTGTATGCACTTGACAGCAAATCTCATTCAATTTAGTGGAATTTATCAGAAAACATGCTTCAATTGGGTTGGAGCAGAGCAGTGGAATTTGTGGCAGAAGAATGGAAAAATCCAGAGCGGTGGCTGCAGGACTGGTGTATATTTCCATTGTTGTGGAAATGGACAACTACAGGGCTTGCTTGATTTACCCCCTATTGTGTAAGAGATGGTTTCAGGTGTTCCCGTGGCTGCAATGAAGAGGTCTCCAGGATGGACCTCATTCTCTACCAGCAGAGAGAGAGGCCACAATATCCTAAGACCCCTTGGATGCCTTGCAGATACCTTATTTTTATTCTGTTTAAGATAGAATGCATTGAAAAGCAATAAACATACAATGCTTTGTAAGACATGACCTTTAGTTCTGTGCATGTAGTATGTCACTATAAATAATAAATCCCTCTTTGGACGTGTTTATATAGACCTTGAAATTAATATGTTTTCCAGCTTTGATTCATATTCAGTCTCCAGCGTCAGTTTCAAACTCCAATTAATGTTTCTTTCTTACAAGCCAATCACATGTACGATTACTCAGAACAATATTACTAAGGGTACTATCTGAGACTTAGTCCTGAGTAATTGTGTGTAGGATTAAGCTGCTTTTTTAAAAAATCGCTACTGTATCTTACAATATTGTATCTTCCCATAATCTACTTTTGCATATATGTGCTGTCTTGTCCTTGATCACAACAGAAACCTATTCATGTCTGAATCTTTCTTTTATCCTAGGAGGTGAACTGATGATGAGCACTGTCCAGTGCTAGAACTAACTGAAAAGGGAACTCTTTAGCAAATATGCTGTTTTGTGGCTTTTGGTTTCTACATAGTTCAGCTTTCCACTTTAACTCTCGGTAAGAGAATAACATGTTCTGGGCAATTGTATAATATAAATTTCTGAAGTTGTAAAATTTTCTGCATCATTTGTTTTGGTGGGATTATTTAAACGAAAATTGTTTTGAAATGTTTGTTAAGTAGTGATCCTTCTAACTAGCAGTGCTTCTCATCTGTGGCAGTATCAACACTATCAGAACAATAAAGGTCCCTTACATGGACATCTGTGGAGAGGAAGAGCTACAATCCCCTGATTCCCAGCTTTCATTTTTTTAAAAGTAAATTTCTAGCATTTGTGGGACCAAACAAGCAGCCACTATTCTCATTGGTTTTGTGAGAAACAAGCCTGCTCCTGCCATTCAGTGTTTTTAGACGATGAAATCATAGTCATTACTGACATTTAGGAAAGCATATCTAACTAATAAGAAAAAAAAGGCTAGAATGAAACACCCATTGTCTAAAATTAAGAAACTTAATTCCTTGGTCCATTTTAAAGTCTTTTATGCTGGTCTTCTCTGGTGAAGTGTTGCAGCCTCATAGAAAACTAAAATTCAAGGTTTTAGTATAGCTGAGATTTGGGGCGTAAAGTCAAAACAATAGATAGTAGTAAAGACAAGTTGTAAGTCTGGTCTTATCTCATACAAAAATGTGATTTTTCAGAGTTTGTAAACATTTTAAAAATAATACCAGTTCAGATAAGTCACATCATTATTGCATTTTTTTTGCAGAGGCTAAGAGAGCCTTGTGTTACACCAGATCTGCAACGCGGGGTTCATAATACTGTTTTTGTTGGGGAGAGGGGGGTTAAAGTAGTGTGTGAAAACAGTGAAGCGTCATCCAGTGTTGTTGTTGTGACTTTCTTGTTGTTTTATTTAGTACTTTACAGTGAAAAGAGGGCTGTGAAGTTGATTGTAGCAGAAGTACAATTAAAGTTTGGAGGAGGTGAAGGTAGTCAGGGAAAGAACAGAGATTCAGCAGTGCATGGAAAGCCATTGTATGGATGTGGTGTCCATTCTATCCATAGATCCACAGCAGGTCTTTTCCACTGAAAGGAAGTTCTGATACTTCAAACCTAGATTCTTATGAGGTTGATTTTAATTATGGTTGGCACCCAGAGAAGGATTTGTGTGAACAGAAGGCAGTTCTCCATGAATACAGCTTCCCATCTGATTTCTGCAGATTTTACCCTACTACATCTAACTGTGCCAGATCATTTAATGTTCCAGAATGTCCCCCAAACCTCCAGAGAAACCTTTGTGGGGAGGGGTTACAAGGAGTTGTGAGAGGAAGGTCAAAGCCATGCAGTGCAAGTAAAGTTCTACTTGTATATCTCATCACTTAGGTTTAAAAGGAAGAGTTGTCTTTACCATGGTGGACTGAGTGTATTTTAGCTACTCACCCCATGTCCCTTGTCTCAGAGGTCCTTAGTGGGAGCTGTTGCTTCCAACTACAAGAAAGGAAAAGTATGCCTCCATCATGGCCCGATGCCTTAGTTTCTGAATACCCCAGAGTATTTTATGAACATTCTTAAGTGCAGAGGAGGAAAAGTCAGTTGTGGAATGTTGATGATCAGTTCATGATGTTTTGTGAAAGAGGTGGGAGATAGCTTTGGCTGGAAGAAAAACATCTTTTCATGGCTCAACAAGGGCAGTTCCATGGACTGTAAATACAAGATAGAGTTCGAAATCTGTCATATGTCCTTAGGAAAAGGTGAGGAAACTAAAGGGCAGTATGAAGTGTGGGCAGCAAATCCCTTATGTGATCCTGTGCACACAACTTAAATCAGTGTGACCTACTTTTCAGTAAATATTCATAATAATTGTAACATGATCATATGTGTGTGTGTGTGTTGAAATAGGTGCTCTTCAAATGCTTCCAGAAATTTTGGGTTGGACCATGTTAGCCTGTCAAAATACTACTTTATGCGCTACTGAAATTGGTGCAAGATTTGGTTAACATAAGAAACTATACCACTGCTTTCTGTCATGTTAAGAACAAGCAATGAAACCTATGAAGTTCTGGTTTAAAAAACATGCAAGGTTTAAGCATGTGAGGAAATGCATGGACATTGACCCCTAGAAAAAACTTCACCCTTGCCAGGCTATAAATAACGCAACAGAAGAGCTGTCAGAGCCAGTTGTTCTGTAGTGATGAGTTCATTTATGCCTGGGATTTTCAACTTTCTTGGATTATAAAATCCTTTTACCTTTTGAAGGCTATTAAATCCCTTCTCATTAAATTCACGTTACACTTTATTGCCTTCTCCCAGCTGCATTGGCCTGAGTCATGCATGGTAAACCATAGGGCTGTTAGTCTCCTCCCTGCTTGAGCTGGAAATTGACTGCAGTTTAGTTTTATTTGCTTTGCTTTTTCCCCTGCACCCCACTTTCAATAATTTTTTATTGCCTTGGAGGTTGTAGGTTCCCTAAGTCCTGAGAATTTGTTTAGCAACTTGGTAACATTTTGGAGCATATCTTCAGGCTCCTAGCCACAGTGCATTTTCCTTCAGAGGAACTATGAAGCTACAATCCATATTCCATTTGCTAGATCCCCAGTGGATTCGGGTTGTTGTATCATAAGGGATTCAGTTGGTGGATATAGCTATAGGAACATAGGGAGCAGTGAGAGGAGAACTGTGCCTTATCTCAGAGACTACTTCTCGCTAGTCAGCCATGACGCTTCTAGGTATACAAATGTTGTGACTTTTTATTTGTTAAACTTTTAGCCCCTGATTTTGCTGTTGCATAATGTTTGTATTTGTTGGAGGACAGGGGGGAAAGCCTGGCACACAAATGACTCAATTTGCAATTTAGGTTTACTCACAAATGCTGTTACCACTTTGTTACTAAATGTGGTAAAATATGACATTATGTTTCTGCATTGCTTTTTCTCTTTGTCTACCATTCCCAGATGACTCTTGTTTTTCTACTTCCATAGTTCTCAGGAGCAATAAGTGGATATGATTCAGCCTGTTAAATGACACTTCCACTTTGTTTACATGTTTATCTTTCAATATAAATTTTATTTTTGGTGCTTTGTATTGCTTGGCTATTGTGAATAATAGCTTTGAATTTTGCAGTAAGTTAAGTATTTCTGGGTAGGTTATCTTGAATATCTCTCAGTAACTCATTACAGTAAGGAATATTTTCAATCTTTTTACTTTTCTCTCTTTTACCAGGGTAGAAATTTGCCAAAGTATCTCAGGGAAGCGGTAACCTGCATGGTTCTTCTTCACGAATGTAACAACTCGAAACAATGGACAGATGATATCAATTAAACTGCACTTGGCAGCTGACTTTATCAGAGTAACAAGCAACTGCGTAAGCAGTGCCAGACGGCAAGGATTTTTATTACCCTAGCCACTGGGAATTATGTACAGTGTCTCAGTTCTCAGAGTGACTGCCGTTTCTACGTAGATCTTTTCAGGATTTGTAATCATGTCTGTTACTGCAACAGAAGGCGAAATTCCTAGATTTTTTGTGGGTGGTGAAGATCCAGATGAGTTTTTGAATCCATCCAGGTCTGCAGAATTTGAAGCCTTTTATGATCATGAAGATGAAGACGATGAATATGATTCTGTATGTACTTTGTTTCATTGTTTGGGGGCAAGTAATTGTTTGAGTTGATAAGATACTAAAGCGTTGTTAACAGAGAAGATAGGAAATGAGCATAAAAAGCAATAAGCACTATGGCCCCATTTCAGCAAAGTGTTTAAATATTTAGTTAGGTATAGTTGTAAGGAAACACATTGACATTTGCTAAATTAAAACCAAATTGATCAAGACCAGTTTCAGCAGTTTATACAATATGTAGAAATCACAATTGATAGCTTTTAGAAGAGTACCAAAGTTTCATAATTGCAATATTAAGAAACAGTTATGGTTAAACTAACATCTTAGATTCTAAGATTTGGAAAGATTTATGGAACAAGCTATTTTATTTCTTAAAAATAGCTTTTAGTTACCGTTGCTGAATGGTCATTTTGAAGAAGGACAGTTAAAGTAGAAATCATATAGTACTAATATCCTAGTTTCACTCTAGTTTCACTCTTGTTGACTAAAATTTCATTTATTGGATTGAAAGTTAAGTTTGTCACCTGTTTAAATAATAAATACAGAATATATTTATTTCTTTTCCTAGCTGTGAAACATTTTGTTGCTTCAAGTATCATCATAGTCACGTACTATTGTGGACACATTCCAACACACTGCTGTCATACAGCTTCTTACCACAGCTTCATGGGCATCCTTCACAAGTGACATTGAAATTAATGGGGTTTCTGAAGCTGTCGCTTTGTAAATTTATTCCAGTCAGAAGAATATTTTTACTTGCAAGTGGTACTCTTAGATTTACATGGTTGGTTAAGTTTGTGGGAAGGTTGTAGATGGGACAAAGCTAATGCCTTTGTGAACAATTTCACTTTTAAGAAAACTTGCAGCATGGGCTTACTATGTTTTATGTTTTATATATTATCATTCTTTCTGCAACCCTGCTTGTCAATTAAGACTGTATTCTTTACAAAGAGTATTAAGGCATATTGTTTCCCTCATAAATATGAAGAATTTTTTACTGCATATTGCTTAGAGAATGAAACTCTGATATCAGGTTACATTCCCTGCCCCTTAAGCATAATAAAGGTTTGTGAAATGAGCCTGTTGTTTAATACTTAGTAAGAATATTGCATGGTCATTGTTCAGTTAGCATATGGTGAAAAGCTTTGAAACCCAAATTTATGTTACTGACCTTTTTAAAATTATTATTACTAGCCACCGGAAAGACAGATCATGGTTGGAATATGTTCTATGGCAAAGAAATCGAAATCAAAACCAATGAATGAAATCCTTGAACGCCTTTCCATGTTTAAATATATCACAGTAGTAATATTTGAAGAAGATGTGATTTTGAATGAACCTGTGGAAAACTGGCCTTTATGTGATTGTCTCATTTCTTTTCATTCTAAAGGTAATTACTCTCTATTGTTTGTTTGTTTGTTTGTTTGTTTGTTTGTTTAATTTATATCCTTCCACTCCTCCCAAAGGAAGTCAGGGTGGCAAATATATCAATAATAAAACACATCAATAATCACAATAATGTAAAATGTCTTCATATTGCATGTATTAAGTTTGAATATTTTTGCCTTTTTGGAAATAAATGTAATTTTAGTATTAGAAAATAAATTGCCTTAAGCAACACTATTTTAAAATGTTTATATGTGTGCATATATTAATTCAGTAGTTTGTAGTAATCGAAGGGACATAATGTTTCAATTAACTTGATACTTCACTGTGGTCTAAAGTCTCTTGTGGTCTAAAGTCTCTTGGGCTTGCCGATTGGAAGGTCGGTGGTTCAAATACACACAACCGTGGTGAGCTGCCATTGCTCTGTCCCAGCTTCTGCCAACCTAGCAGTTCAAAAGCATACCAATGCAAGTAGATAAATAGGTACAGCTACAGTGTGAAGGTAAACCGTATTTCTGTGTGCTCTGGCACTCGTCACGGTCCTCCGTGTGCCAGTAGCGGTTTAGTCATGCTGGCCACATGACCCAGAAAGCTGTCTGTGGACAAAAGCTGGCTCCCTTAGCCTGAAAAAGCAAGATAAGCGCCATACCCCAAAATCACCTTTGATTGGACTTAACCGTCCAGGGGTCCTTTACCTTACCTATATGCTACAAAGCAGTGTCAACCTGTTTCACACTGCAATAAAAAAACACTTCCTTGGAAGAAAATCCATTTATTTATATGGCATTTACTTGTGCATTGCATGTTTAGAATATTATACTCAGGGTAAAGTACATATAATGGAAATCCCTATTTATATTTTAAATGCAATGTCTATTCAGAGGGAGGAGAATTTAGAGCTTTTAACCCCCTGGGGCTTCCCTGCTCAAAACTAGGATTTCCAGGAATCTCTAGTTTGCAAAGGGCTCATGCTTTCTGTGATGGTAACAGAAAGTGGGTGTACTATTTATTTATTTTTTTAAACCAATCGGTCAGCCACTTACTGTTTTGTCAGCAGGCAGTAATAACCTTGTGCTAGTACCCTTTTTGGAGCAAGGGCAAAAACTACATACAATATACATCCACATTCCTAACCTCACTTATTAGTGAGCAAGTCTCACTGAAATAAAAAATATATATTTCTAAGCAAACATGCTGATAATTGTACTGCAATTGGTGCATCAATGCCTTCTTTTAAAAGCAAGGCAACTTTGGGATGGGAGAAGTCCAATGTAGTGAAGTAATGGGAACTTATCCTTTCTTAGCTGACTAAAACAAGGAATAAAAACTAAGGAAAATTTTTAAGCCGGTTGGATCAATATGAATAGACTCACTTGAAACCAGATCCTATTCACAGTTGAAGGGATTGCAGATCATTTGCACAGCCTCTTCACACAGGTCAATTTGGAAAGTAAGAATTCCAATCCATCACCAAGATTTATACAAATGTAATCGTTGTTAACTAATATTCTGTAATATTTTTTATTTAGGATTTCCATTAGACAAAGCAGTTGCCTATTCAAAGCTGAGGAATCCTTTTGTTATTAATGACTTGAATATGCAATATCACATACAAGACAGGTAAGTAAATAGCCACAAATAAATATCCCACACTCTAGTTGTTGAAGAACAAGTGCTTAGTACGATATTTAACAGGCCTCAATGAAATGCTGTCTCATCAGGTTGATTATTATGGAGGTAAAGTAGTTAACATAAAGAAAAGAAAGCTAATAAAAAGCTGTAATGTAACTAAAATGGAATAATATTCAGCTAAGAAATGTATATAGAGTGTTCACCTTAAAACAGTAAATAATATTAAGTTTATGAAAGGTACAGTAAACAGAACAGGATGCAGTTTAGTGTCTGTTCCAATTATGTGTTCCTGCACAGATTATAATCATGAAGTATAGTCATGAAATCAATAGAATGTAAAAACGAATATGCCCCATGGGTAAATTGTGCATATTTATCAAAGCTAGACACTCAACAGATACAAGAAATGCTCTAGGCTATACTTCAATTCCCAATTAACGAATGAATGTGTCCTCCTTATCTTCCTTGAGGAGAGGTGGTGTACACTTCTGTTCTCCTTGTCTGGGCAGATTTAAGCTACTTCCCTGAAGAGTGGTATGTTCACGTGTATCCATTTTATACCAGAACCAGGGTAGTGGAAGTAAAATCCAGATCTTACTACTTTGATACCATCCTTATATAGTAATTATGTGACTTTTTAGAGAAATGTTTTGAATGCATAATTCATTGATAATATTCATTTTGTGAAAAAAATATTCTTTTAGGAGAGAGGTTTATGGCATTCTCGAAGCTGAAGGTATTTTACTTCCTCGTTACGCAGTTCTAATCCGTGATCCAAACAATCCACAAGGTAATAGCTATTATAATGGAATTTTCAAAAGACGCTGTTCTAAACATTTTTTTTTCTGATTAGTAATCTTGCTTGCTTGATGCAGTGCTATATTAGAGGTTCAATCCATTCTCCTCCTCCTCCAGGTTTGATGAAATTTTGATCTCTTAATTGTATCTCCAGCCTAAAGTCTGCACTTCGTGTTATTTTCCAGAATGCAATTTGATTGAAGGCGAAGATCATGTGGAGGTGAACGGAGAAGTTTTCCAAAAACCATTTGTGGAGAAGCCCGTCAGTGCTGAGGACCACAATGTTTATATTTACTATCCAACATCTGCTGGTGGTGGAAGTCAGAGGCTCTTTCGGAAAGTGAGAATATATTAAACTGAATAATAGTAAAAATGTTTTTTAAGCACTGAAATGTATTTATAGGGTGGAAAGAACTAACTTACTCAGTTCTTAGGAGAATGTTGGAAATAGCATTAGCTGGAAGGTTGCAGCTAAATTGTGTACATTGGACTTGACCCATAACGAAGAGTGAAATGGGAATGGGTAAAAGAATATCTCCATTAATAGAAATGGTTATCCACTGAATAACATGACAGAGGATGGCTCTGTAATATGGAAATGTATAATGAGCAAATGATGTAGTTTTCATTCAGTTAGTCTTTCATTTGTGTGTTACCTTTCCATGAAAAATTGTGTTCAAAATAGCTCACAACTTACACCCAGTTTATCTCCCCATCTCTCATTTGGAGCAATCTCACACACTGTGTATCATCATTTTCTGAGAGTTTCTTTTGTGTCATTCCATTAGTCCACCTCAATAGCTCTCCAGGGCTTCTAACAAGGCTTTCCCAGCCCTACCAGAAGTGCCAGGTATTAAACCATTGGATCTTTCGCATGCAAAGTTCATGTGTTACTGAGGCAAGGTTGGACTGAGTGATGGTGTCTTGGAATGGGCAGAGTAGTGTGGGTGTGGAGAATGTTTACCCCTTTCTATTTCTATGCTCTGTGAGCTTGAGAGACCTCAGGTTACTTGCCTAGAGAATCTTCTGGGTCTGCTTATGTCATGGCAGAGTCAGCCTATCTAGGTTTTTCTCTTTCTTCCTTACCCATTTCTGCCCTTTTTACACCACACTAAACTTTTATAACATAAGGTTGCTTTTGGTTTTACTTTTGAAGTGCTTGGGGAAAAATAGGCTAGGGAGGGATGACGAAAGAAGTACAGGGTTTTATGGATCTGAGAAGGCTTTGTCTTTGTATGAAATAATATTGATGGGAAGGTTTGTGTTTCAGATCGGTAGCAGAAGCAGTGTTTATTCCCCTGAAAGCAGTGTGCGGAAAACTGGTTCATATATCTATGAGGAGTTCATGCCTACAGATGGCACTGATGTGAAGGTATGACAACTGCATATTCTGGTTTATATTTAGAACAATCAAGTACTTAATGAACTCAGCAACTTTAGATGTGAGGCATTTATCTCTGCCTGAAGCACTGCTATTATTAAACTTAAAATAGTTTACATATCATGTTTTGTTTTCTCCAAGTAAAAGGAACACTTCATGTTTTAGTTTGTCTCTCTCTTTAGATACTCTTGTGATTACAGTTTACCATTCAAAAAGAACATAAACGTGCTGCCATATTGTTTACTGAATGTGTATTCAGACAAATACACTTTTCCTGAAATGAAATTATTCTAACATTTCAATCCAAAGCATACTTTCTTGAAAATAAAGTACATTGTGTTAGATCAAAATTCCAAGAAAGTGTATAGGAATGGATCTGCATTCCTAAATCATAAAACTATGCTTCAAATACTGAGATTCTTTTGACTGATCTGTACAGTCTGGAAACAGTTGTCTTCAGCTATCATGGAGCATTTCTGTGAGCAGTTGATGTAGCTCTTGGTGGTCTACAAAGCTGCCTAAACATTCATTATCAGTTAATCATACAGCAGCTGGATTTTGTTTTTGTTTTTTAATTTGTCAAAATTCTTTGAAAACTAAGACAAAATATTTCTACATAGGAAAATTACAACTTGTAACTACAGATTGGCATGAGGCGTTTCAAAATTAAGTGTTTTGAAGTTTGATAATTATAGATATAATATAATCCTAACAAATCAATTGTGCCTACTATAATTCTTTGTTGGTTCATCCTGTACAAAGGGTTGGATTCAGAGAGCTATTTTAGGCAAGACGAGGGAAATCTTTTACTTTTTTATTTGAAGAAACATACCACTTTTGAAACTCCCATAGTACATTATCTGGCTGCCATGTGATGTGGACAGGGAGCAGTTTAAAGAAAAACGAATCTAAATCCCTTTGGGTATGCAGAGCTGATTGCACATTCTTTGAATCCTGGCCAAAGATTGTAAGCTATCTGATTAGGAGTCATGTTAAATAAATTGGTAGTAGCAGAAGCTGTAATATGAAACTTTCAGCTAGATTAGATTGCCAATTGGGACATGGATACAGTATAGCATTGGAACTTGTAGCGCTTTTCAGTTTGTCACTAATCTCCCCATGATGTGAAAGTAATGAGTATGACTCTAGAGGCCCAGGAGCTGACTATGAAATAAAAAAAGTAATGAACCAAAAAAAAGAGTTTTTTATTCTGTTGTAATTTTTTATTTCCAAATAAAGGTATACACAGTAGGACCAGATTATGCACATGCAGAAGCTCGTAAATCCCCTGCACTGGATGGAAAAGTAGAGCGGGACAGTGAAGGGAAAGAAGTACGGTATCCAGTCATCCTTAATGCAAGGGAGAAGCTTATAGCTTGGAAAGTATGCCTAGCTTTTAAGGTAAAATGAATGAAAGCTGGAGAAAGTGGTCTTTGTTTACCCCAGAGGGCATCTCCTTAGCTTTGAGTTGTTATAGAATTGTTATCTGCAAGCCCAAGCACAGTGAGGCAGTGGTGGAGCACACAAGCAAAGGATGAAACAGGAGACAGGTGTTGGATTCAAGTTAGACCACATCTTTATTGATTATGGATACAACAGGTTTGGCATAGGCATCAGGCATGGCATTACAAGGCTTCACCGGCCTGCTTGCTGGTTGATGAAGCATTGGGGTTGACCAAAATTTAGGGAGGGAGGTAGCACAGATGGGGAACCCCCACTGATCAGCAGCAGGGCATCTGGATAAAAAGTCCAAAATCCTTTAAGGGGATCCTCCTATGGGACAACTTGAGAGGAGTCTCTTCCTCTGCCCATCCTCAGTAGTGATCCAGCCTAATGGCTTCTCTACCGTAAAGTTGTGATGATTGCTCTGAAGTAGGCGAAACCTGCAGACCTGGCCAAACAGTGTGATAAAATGATCCATAGCAAGGTCAAAGTGGGACTGTCACTCTCCAGCAGACAACCCATAAACCAGTGTATTAAAGGGAGGATGGGAGGGCAATCCTGATGCCCACTGTCGTGACTCCACTCTCCACAGCTCACCTTAAGTACTCCCAGAGTGGTTCTGGATGAGTGAAGTCTTCACCCAGGTCTGCCCTGGGAGCCCCACTTCCCAGTCTTCTAGCCTCCCATAAGGGTGAGAAGAGCAGAAATACTACATTGACAGCCACACCAGGGTTGGCAGCCAGCCACGCACTCCCTTGCCACTGTGCCTAGGCTGCAAATGCTGTTCCCTGTTAGGCAACAGAGGGGGAACAAGACCTTCTTTCTCTTCTTCTGACTAGGAAAGAAAGTATGCTAAGACAAATATGTAAATAGAACCTGCATTACACAAACTTAGGAGCCCGATAAAATGTGTGTGCTTTTTGCATCATTTGTGACTGACCTATATTTTTTGGCTGTTTGAACTGAGTCCTTTGCTAATATTTATGCTACTTTATAAGATTGAAATATATTTACATGGTACCATGTATTGTAAATTATTTTATTAATGTATCTCAGTGCTTGAAGGGATAAGATAAGGGTTAGACATTGGAAGGGCGTAAAATCCAAAGCTTTTTAAAAATGCAGTAGTGAGACCTGTGAGGAGAAGCTATTCATTAAATACATTTGAAGTTGAACCTGATCCTCGAGGAAAAGATGAGTTTTTGTTCATTTCTTTTTTAACGTAGCTAATTATCTGAAGTTTTATAAATTTATAAACCTGTGCAAACTTGTGATTTCTTGTCTTGACAGCAAACGGTTTGTGGCTTTGATCTGTTGCGTGCAAATGGACAATCTTATGTCTGTGATGTCAATGGCTTTAGTTTTGTGAAGAATTCTATGAAATATTATGATGATTGTGCTAAAATCCTTGGGTAAGATTTTATGCTATTTGTCAGACCGTTTCTTTTTCATAATTTATTTAAAGTAAATAGAATATCCGTGGTTGTATTCAATGCTAGTCCTATTCACAGCAGACTCATTGAAGTTAATGGACCTGACTAATTCAGGTTCATTAATTTCAGTAGGTCTTTTCTGAGTAGGACTTAGCTGAATACTGTCCTCTGTGTGGTTGACCTGTTGAAAAATGTATCTTGCAAAATAGAGCTTTTAGATAACACAATTAATTCAGATAAAACAGCAGCTATTTAGGATGCCCATAATGAGCATGCATACCTAGTATAGTTTCTGTGGAACTTTGCCAAGATATCTGTTAGAGAAATAAAACACCAAAATTTTATGCTCCGTTTGGGGAAAGGCAAAATGCACACTGCTCAATAAAACACAGAGAGACAAACCATCCCTGGTTGTTCCCCTCACCATCCCCAAGCTTACCATGCAGCAGCATGAGTCCTTTTTCCTTTCTGTATTTTGAAAAGGGATTTTCCCCCCATGGGTGTTAGGCATGCTGGAAAGCAAACAATTCCTCAGAGGCATTCTAAGCAAAGGAAGAGGGCAGACAGCTAGAAGCCATGGCTTCACTAGCACAGCCGGCTGCTCAAAGTAAAACACTGGCATACTCACACACAAAGGCAGAGGGCTTCCACAAGCATAAAGGGAAGTGTTCAGGGCACTGAGATTCACTTTAGGAACTTCAGGATTAGGGGAAAATGTTTTAAAAGAAGCATGATTGGTTATTAACGAATGGCATGTTATTTATGGAACATAGCATACGTGGGTATGGTTCATTAAGGGGTTAATGCATTTTTAACTTGTTTTTATTAGACAAATTATTGTTGTTATTAATGCAGACTTATTAATTTCAGCAAACACTTGTTTCTGTTCCATTTAGAAATATCGTAATGCGAGAACTTGCTCCGCAGTTTCAGATCCCATGGTCCATACCTTTAGAAGCAGAGGATATTCCTATTGTGCCAACTACATCTGGAACAATGTAAGAGAATATTTTTTTCTCTGTCTACATTATGCAACCTGACTATGTAACATTTTCTATTTTTCTTATCTCTCAGTATTCGCTCACTTTCAGTTTAGAATAATTCTTTGTTTAGAATAATTCAACAACATCTTTGTTGAAATGTTTCGTTAATATTTATATGAGAAATCATATTTACATGTCCTCTTTTTCATATATTTTTTGTTGCTGTTAATGACAATCAAACTTTGTTCTTTTAAATCTTTGTATACTTGCAGGATGGAACTTAGATGTGTTATTGCTGTTATACGGCATGGAGATCGGACACCAAAACAAAAAATGAAAATGGAAGTTAAACATCAGAAGTAAGTAATTGGGGGGGGGGGATGTAATGAACAAATTTGATATTTTCCCCATTACATGTAATAAGATAATTGTTTGAACCGAGGAGGGGATAGATGTGCATCTGTGTTGCATTTATTGACATTTAATTTGATTTTTCATCTGTATTTATGTATTAAGAGGCTGTAGCATCAAATGTTTTGTTTTCTCTGCTTTTAAAGTTTAATTTTACTTCTGTATTTTGTAAACTGCCCTGGAAGTTCCACTGAAGTAATTGCAGTATATATAATTTTTTAAACAAATAAAACAGAACTCTCTGGGGCAGTCCTATGGCAAGATTCACTGGTATGAGCCATTTAGGATGCAGTGGATCTCCAGTCCAGCTTGCTGATTTCTGGCTCAGCTGGCTCAGCCAAAGATACCCTGGTATTATAACTTGCTCAGATGGCTGAGGAGAAGTTGGCTGAGTCAAGGCTGGTGTAAATCCCAGAAAAGGGTTATGGCATCCTAAGCCCATTCAGCTTGGTCTTGTAACCTTGCAATCCAGTGCAGAACACTATTTTAAGGGCTTGTTTTCTGTCGCCAAGGCTTAGGCAAAGCAGCAACCCTGGTTGAACTTTACACCAGCTTAACTTTGACTTGCTCGCTTTACACCAGCTTCATTATTTTCTAAGTGTATATTATTAGTTATTTCAAAACTGGCTTGAGAATGGGTTATAAACATAAGCCTTGGTTCAGGGAGCGAAAGCCACAGAATGGTGACCTGAGATACTGTTCCGTAGAGACTGCATATACAACGTGGTGCAAAGTATTTCAAGACCATCAGTTAATATATGGAAAGTTCATAACTGAATGCATTGTTTTGTGTTAACATCCACATGCTTCCCAAACAGTCATTTGCTAGATGTGAAGACATGAATAATCTGGTTTGGGGTTAATAATAATAATAATAATAATAATTTATATCCCACCCATCTGGCTGGGCTTCCCCAGCCACTCTGGGTGGCTTCCAACAAAATATTAAAATACAGTAATCCATCAAACATTAAAAGCTTCCCTAAACAACGAGCAATTCTCTTCCCTATTATAAAAATCTAGAACCAGAAAATAATACTAGTTTGGCCTAGTGACTTCTAGCACAGTAATTCACTGCATTTCTAATCATTCCATGCTTATTTTAAAGGTTTTTTGATCTTTTTGAAAAATGCAATGGATACAAGTCTGGGAAGCTAAAATTAAAAAAGCCGAAGCAATTGCAGGCAAGTTTGGTTTTTTTAAAAAATTCTTTTCTTTTTTACACTCACACCTGTCTTCTTAAACTGCTAATATAATTTGCCACTCTTTTAGGAAGTACTTGACATTGCAAGACACCTCTTAATAGAGCTAGGACAAAATAATGACTCTGAGATTGAAGAAAACAAATCTAAACTTGAACAGCTGAAAACTGTGTTGGAGATGTAAGTATTTAATTTGGAGATCTTGCTGGTGACACTGTTATCTTTCTCATGTATTTATATATATATATATATATATTTCTTTAAGGAACAAAGAGAGTTCAACCACATTATTAATCTGAAATATGGGAACTAATCCGTGTTACTAGTCAGTTTCTGATGCTTTCAAACTATTACTGCATCTTCAGAATTTTAGGTAGCATGAAATCTATTTCTAATGAACCACTGAATGCCATTTTGTGCATGTATATTCCTTGTGGAGACATATAAACAATAACTAAGGCCTACAGGAGAATGGTTGCGGGAATTTTGGGGAGAGCGCCTTTTATCCTGCTTCTGCTGATCTTTTAACTCAAGAGTTGCCAATGAGCCTTTCCCAGTGTCCATAGGCACTGGTGGAGGAAGAGGGGTGCAGGGGGAGCGCCCAACCCTGGAAGCACGATCGCATTGGGGTGCCATCGCAGCTGCCCCCCCCCCGCCCCTGCTGGGTGCCATGCCCCCATGGGCGGCGCACCATGCCCCCGGGACGCGCACCAGCCATGCCCCCGCCTGCTCTCTGCCACTGTCCATAGGGTCACCTTTCCCATTGAACTAGGCTTGAAAGAAGCATTCTACTGCAGCCAGTAGAATAGGTTGTGGCATGTGCTTGGTTGAAATATGTGTGGTGTCCATGACAGTTTTTTCTGCTTTGTAAATATGCCCAAAGACCGCTGCTTTAAGAGATTGAGCACCAGCTCAGCACCAGACAGCATGGTCTAATGGTAATAGTTGATGGGAATTGTAGTCCAAGATATCTGGAGGACACCCAAGTTTGGGAAGACTGGCCTACACTAACCTGCTGTGTGAATTTCTGCTTTGTTAAGCTGTTCAAGAGTTACTATCAAAGAATCAAGTGATAGAGCTTTTCCTGGACACTACCTCAGACTGCAGGTGGAAATTGGGTGCTTGAATGCTCTACTATGAAAACAAACTCTCTTTACAGAGAAAATTGCCAGTTAAGTAAGAATGTTAAGTAAATTCATTTTGCCTAACATGCTAGCTGTGCATATGCAGGAAGTATTGAAACCTGCAGGATGAAGTGGTACAGTGCAGGAAAGGCATTCTTCATCATGGCAGCAATGCAATAGCTTCATTCATATATATACACACACACACACACACACACACACACACACACACACTTACAAGGCTGCATGATATATATCAAGTTTATTTTTAATGTGTGCTCCTTGCCTCCCCCATTCTCCATTTGTTGTTCTTAGGTATGGACATTTTTCTGGCATAAACCGCAAAGTTCAGCTGACGTATCTTCCTCATGGTTGTCCCAAAACATCTAGTGAAGAAGAAGGTATGGATGCTAATTAATTCTAGAAGTTGGTCCCTCTGTTAGCTTAGTGTAACTGAATTTTGCTTTTTAACACTTTTATTGTCAAAAAAGCTGAAGTTGGAAACATGTAGGGGTTTTTTAAGCTAATTAATTACATTTTGTTCCTCGCTCGCTCTGGTCATCAGCAAAATATCAACTTTTAGGGCTGGTGTGCATCCTAAACACACTTGCTATGCAGTAAGCTCACAGAACACAGTGATACTTACTTATGAATAAACATGAATAGGGTTGTGCTGTAAGTACAATGTTTGACTTCTTAATTGAACATCAAACACTCTCCTTCCAGTGCTTTTTTGCAAGCAGCTTTTGATATTCCCCTGAATTGCAGAAGCAATTTGCCATACAGCATGAGCAGCTGCTGTTTCAGAATCTACAAATCCAATCTGAAACTCATCCCTGATGCTCTGAATAGTATCACTGTTCTTTGGATCCTCACATTTTTATATATTAGTCTTAGTCCCTGACAGGAATGTACGTGATAGCCCACCATTCATCATATTAAAATGTTTATTCAACTGAATAATCTCTATTCTCTCTTCCATTTTTTCAATGTTGCAAACATACTGTATTTGAATCAGACAAATACTGTTGGAAGTGTGACTTTCTTACCCCTTCATTTCAAGCAGCCTTTCCAAGGGTCCAGGGCTCTGTTGAATGGTGTGGACTGTGGTGTCGGGGGTTGAGAGAGAAGAGGGGATCGCCAAAAAATGGGGAGATGTACTTTCCCCCTACCCAGGTGCCATAGCCTACCCCATTCAGCAGGGTTTCTAAACTTTTGGGAGAGGCTGCTGGGATGAGGAGCGGGTAAGAAAGTTATATTCCATCCACTCATTTCTGTTGCTGCTTCTTTAGATCCACCCCTCTGTTTTTCAAGTTACTTCAGCTCACCAGAAATGGAAAATTATCTGCTAAAAAATTGTTCTAGCATATGAAACTTAGGTGTAAATTAGTTGCTCTTCCTCAGTTTTTATTTACCTATTATTTTGCATTGTGGTATTTTTGTATGCATTTAGATAGCCACAAACGTGAGCCATCTCTACTCTTAGTTCTAAAATGGGGAGGAGAATTAACACCTGCAGGCAGAGTTCAGGCAGAGGAACTAGGAAGAGCTTTCCGATGCATGTACCCAGGTGGACAAGGTAATTTATTTCATTTATTGGTGGCAAAGGAAACCATTTCTTTAGACCGAGAACTTGGGGGGGAAAGAAACAGAAGCAAGATTATAAGGTTGTTTTTCTTTTGGTAGGTGACTATGCTGGATTTCCAGGATGTGGTTTACTTAGACTGCATAGTACCTATAGGCATGATCTCAAAATTTATGCTTCGGATGAAGGCAGAGTTCAAATGACTGCGGCAGCTTTTGCAAAGGTACTATGAAAATTATAATTTCAACTGAAAAATGGGAAAGGAATACAGGCTGTTTATAAGAAAATTTTGGAGATTGTACAATGAACTTTTTTTAAAAAATGTTTTAAATATTAAAGTCATGTAAAATTAGCTACTTGGCCTACTTTCATATCATACATGCTTTCCTCCCGCTTATGATTAGTAGTTCAATGTGAGTAATCCTCCCTTCCCACACACCAGTCCAGGGGCACTGACTTGCCCTCCACATGGGGGGGGGGTTGTGTCACGTGATGCATCCCGCCCCACTTGGCACCAGCGGCGTAGCTAGCTGCTCGGGTGCCAGGTGTAGCGCGTGCATCCTGCAGCCGGGGGCGGGGCACGCTGCGCTGAGCCTCTCCGCTGCCTCCCCCTCTCCTGCAGGGCGGCTGAGGGAGAGGCAGAAGGCAGACTCAAGTCACACGCCGTTTCAGGCAGCGTGGAGCCTGCAGGCACCCAAGCCACCATGTCACTCCCAGGAGTGACAGCCCCCGCGGTGTGGTGCCCAGTGCCAGCCGCATTTCATTACATTTGTTAACTAAACAAAAAAGTTTCAGGAGCTCAATTTTTTTATTTTATTTTATTTTTAAAACTCATATTTTGGTCATTTTGTTACCCCTCTCAGTGATGACACCCGAGGCGGACCGCACCCCCTTCCTCCGCCACTGCTTGGCACATGAGTGCTCGTGCGGGGCTGGCAGTTATCTCAATATTGAGGAGGGCTCCGCCCCCGGCCCACCACTATTGAGGGAGCCAAAGCCCCTTCTGCCCCCTATAGTTGCGACCCCTGCACCAGTCATTCTGTGTGTGAAATTTATAAATTGCTTATTTCTTGATGTGGTAAAATGGTGGTGTGCTATATGATATATAAGAGTAGTGGTCAAATGCATGTGCTTTTGTTCTCATGACTTACAGTATATATGGCCAACTTTTCAAAATGTATACATTTTTAATTGAAAATAAAGAATAGGTGCTGAACATTCTAATCTAGGGACTGCCAACCTTTTGGGGCTTATTGACACATTTCAAATTTTGATAGAGGTAGGTATGGCAGACACAAGATGGCTGTCATGGGGTGCATGGCATAACACAACATAAGAGAGACAATCACCCCCAACAACCTTACACTTGCCATGGAAAGTTGATTATGTGCTGCTGATCTGACACCACACAAACATGGTGTTGCTGTCTAATATACAAGGCATCCATCCTACTGTCATTTCAAAGAAATTGCTTAGAAGGTACCTGCACATTTTGCCTGATAACCTTTGTTCCAGGATTGCTAGAGACTAACTTTTCTTTCAATTGAAAGCTCAAAGTCCAGGGCCTCTACTCAGGGGCACCACTGAATGCCCATGGGCATTGGGTTGATGATCCCTGCTCCAAGCCATATGCTCTAATCAAAAGTGGACACCACAATCATATTGTTTTTCTTGTATTACCTGCCTGGGTGTAGACCATGGTGTAATAAGCACTAAAAAGCAATACCTATTAACAATAGGTAGAAAGTTACTACCTATAGGTATACAGTTACTTGCTTAAGGATGAATTGAACTGGTGAGGGGATACACCAGGTGTACCCTCTTGAAAGTTTGAGAAGTGAGTGGTGACATGGGACCCCCTTTCTCCCTACGGAAAAAGAACTTATCACGTTAAGTACCAATGTTCACTTTTGTGCTTTAGACTATTTGCCACATTTCCCCTCATCACTCAGTTATTTTGTTTACCCAGGGACTCCTGGCATTGGAGGGAGAGCTTACTCCTATACTTGTCCAGATGGTCAAAAGTGCTAATATGAATGGGCTACTCGACAGTGACAGTGACTCTCTTAGCAGCTGCCAACATCGTGCAAAGGCACGCCTTAATGAAATACTCCAGAGAGACAGAGACTTTACTGATGAAGACTACGAAAAGGTTAGAAGATAACAAAGTACTATACCGTGCTCTAAATATTGAATGTGGGCAAATGTTGAAAATCAGTGGATTCTCTTCTAGCCATCTTCTTAAACTCTCCTGAATGGAGCACAAGGAGAATTGGAAAAAAACAACAACACACTTTATAACTGGAAAAGTGTTTTGATGATAATTGAAAGATCAATTAAAATAACAAAAGCAGTAATTCTGCTGTCCTACCTTCGTCATAGCTCATGATGATTACCCAACCCAGTGAACGCTTCCTAACCCACCAAATCTATGCTTCAGATAAGACCAAACGTCTTTTTTAGTGCCACAAGCACCATTTACTTCATTGGGACTTAATTTCTTTGTTTTATAACATTTATACACCACTTGATTGTAAAAAACAAACAAACAAAAACCCTGAAAGTGATCATTTATTGAAAATCAAATTATGATTCTTAAGATTTCCTGTTTTGAGGTTATAGTATTCTATTATCCTTCAGACAAAAATAAAAACGAATAGAACTAATGAATTCCCTTTTTTTTTTATATTCAGCTCACACCATCCGGCAGTGTTTCTCTGATAAAATCAATGCAAGTCATTAAAAACCCTGTTAAGACATGTGATAAGGTATATTCCTTGATCCAGAGTTTGACATCTCAGATCAGAAGACGGATGGAAGATCCTAAGTCTGCAGGTAAACAATTATTTTAAGCAGACTGTAATGTTAATGCTAGCCATGAAGGCTTAGGCAGTTTTAAGAATTTTGAGTAGACAGCATGTCTGTCAGTGAAATTTAGCTACTAAAATATATACTAATAGTGAGTTATTAATGAAGAAAAGATAGGGTGCCAAGAGATTTATGGTGACCCAAAAGAAGAGTGGGTGGTGTGGAATGCAGTGGTAAAAAGGGCCAGTTGAGAAATGTGGGTGCAGAGAGAAGAGAGTCTATGCTATGAGATGAAGACAAAAAAGGAGGGGCAGAGTTAACTAGATTGGAGAAAACCCATGGTGCAGAGAGTTTGCACTGGGGTGCAGGGGGAGGAAATGAATTTAACAAGAATAGTTTTAGAAGAAAACAACTAAAATTTAAAAAATGTTCTTTCTGTGGCCAATGCAATAATATATCACTCTTTAGCTAATAAAGCTAACCATCAGAACAATATGAACTGTGCAGTCCTTTGCTAGAGCTTGTGTAGGTCATGACTTTTGTCATGTAAGTGGATTGCATTCTTTAATCTGGAAAAGGATATATTTGATGTGAAAGGAAATATACATGAGATAATTCTAACTAGAATATACGAGATCATAATTTTTCTTAATGTTTCATTTGATTTTACTTCATGTTACCTGAGTTGATTATTCTTCACTAATAATTGTCCACCTAGATATTCAGCTTTACCACAGTGAAACGTTGGAGCTAATGTTGCGTAGGTGGTCCAAGCTTGAAAAGGATTTTAAAACAAAGAATGGAAGATATGACATCAGTAAAATTCCAGATATCTATGACTGTATTAAGTATGATGTCCAGCATAATGTCTCTTTGAAACTAGAAAACACAATGGAACTATATAGACTGTCAAAGGCGTTAGCTGACATTGTTATACCACAGGTTTGTACCTTGCAACTACTCTTAAACAGTATTCTGCAACAACTAGATGTTTCATACTGGTTATACTTGCTAATCATTATGGCAATCCGTAGCTTAACTATTTCCAAACAATTTGTGGTCCACTAACCAGTTTTTATAAATGGTATGTATTGGAAAAAAATACTGTTTTTTTCTGTTCCTTATTAAATTAAATAAGGAAATATCTAGCGGATATGTAATCTAATAATTACATAGACGTATCTTTTATATATATTGGCGAAATCCAGTGCAATCCTGTACATGTCTACTCAGAAGTAAGTCCCATTGAGTACAATGAGACTTACTCCCTGGTTAAGCAGGCAGAAGATTACAGCCTAAGTTAATTTCACTTTGGTCCTAATAAAATAAGTGGGGGCAGGTTAGTCATTGCTTAGCTCCTATTGAAATTAGTAGGACCTAATCAATGACTAACTTACACCATTTATTTTAATGGAGCCAAAGTGCAACTAACTCCCAAGCCATAATAAGCGAGTGACAAGTAGGTTCCTGCAACCACTTGATTCAAGACATTAAAAACCTATTGAGACATGTGATCTAGAATTTGACATCAGATCATGAGGAATGGAAGTTTGCAAGCAAACAGAGTTGCGACCACTATTCCATTCCGCTCCCATCTTGGTTTTACCCCCCTTCTTTTCAACAGTCAGTATTGTGTGGGCAGTGGGACGCGGGTGGCGCTGTGGGTAAAACCTCAGTGCCTAGGACTTGCCGATCGTATGGTCGGCGGTTTGAATCCCCGCGGCGGGGTGAGCTCCCGTCTTTCAGTCCCAGCTCCTGCCCACCTAGCAGTTCGAAAGCACCCCTAAGTGCAAGTAGATAATAGGTACCGCTTTATAGCGGGAAGGTAAACGGCGTTTCCGTGTGCTGCGCTGGTGCTGGCTCGCCAGAGCAGCTTTGTCACGCTGGCCACGTGACCCGGAAGTGTCTCTGGACAGCCCTGGCCTCCGGCCTCCGGCCTCTTAAGTGATATGGGCGCACAACCCTAGAGTCGGACACGACTGGCCCGTACAGGCAGGGGTACCTTTACCTTTTATTGTGTGGGCACTTGATATACTCAGTCCTCCGTGGGTTCTTTTGAGTGTCTCCCCATCCCTTAGGATTTTTCCTAGTGATGTTTTGTGCTTCTGCAAACCTCAGGATTACCCTGACTGCACATGAATGGTGCATATTTAGCTGCATAAGTGATTGCGCTCAGAGAATTGAATCTGAAATAGAAAGAACAAATGGGGCCCTATAGCAAAATATTGTAGGATGCCATGCATATACTCAGCGCACATTGTAGCTTATTTTTAATTATGCTCTTCTCATCCAGGAATATGGTATTACTGCAGCTGAGAAAATAGAAATTGCAAAAGGGTACTGCAATCCACTACTGAGGAAAATCCGGTCTGATCTTCAAAGAACTCAAGATGATGATACAGTTAACAAGCTCCATCCTTTGTAAGTTCCTTTTTGCTTGGAAAACTTGGTAGTGGTACTTTGTTACTTTTATAGTGACATGATTTAGCCATTTGTCGTGTAAAAATATAACCAAATCCTGCTTGCTGCCTCCTCGCCCCCAAGGCTGGTTGCCTGCCAGGGCAGATCCCCACCAACCGTCCTGTTATGCTGCTGCTGCTTTCTCATCAGCCTCCAATACTGCTGAGGCCAAAACAGAAGCAGCACCAGAACAAGACTGCTGCTGGGGAACTGCCTTTTTCCCCATACTCACTGTTCCTTCATGGCACGTCTTGGCCAGCTACCACCCGTGCTGCTTGCCTGCCTGCCTGCCTGCTGTTCTGTCATTAAACTGCAGTAACCACCACCATATTTTTGTAAGATAAAGAGTCTTCATAATACTCCCAGCCACGCCAACTGCAGCATGACTACATTTTGCTTAAAAAAAAGACTATTATAGTAAGAAATACAAGATATATTTTCCCCGGGGGGGGGGGGGAATGATCTTATGAAACAAAAAGGGAAAAATAATTGGGGGAAAATGTGAAATTTGTTCACCTCATGGTCATTACAGAGGTACTCTTTCACCAATTTAAGAGAGTTTGGGAAATTATTCTGAATTTTTTTGATCTTTAGAAATTTTAATGATGGGGAGATGCACTTTAAGCTCTCTTGCTTTCTCTACAGGTACTCACGAGCCTGTATAATACTTGTTTACTGTCTCAGATTATTTTGCTCTTAGGTATTCCAGTGGGGTTATGTCTCCTGAACGTCATGTCCGAACTAGGCTATACTTCACCAGTGAGAGCCATGTCCATTCCTTACTATCAACGCTTCGCTTCGGTTCTTTATGTGATGTAAGTGATATCCTCTTCTGGTTGTTTTAGTTCAGTTGTGTATCCTCATCACTTTTGGAAATGTGCAGCGTACTTTATTATTATTATTTAGATAGAAGTATTATGTGGCAACTCAAAATGCCACTCCCATGGGAATAAACTTTGCATTACAGAAAATCTACTGGGAGAGCTCTGGGTGGATTTGGAGAGCCATGTCCTAAAAACATTTTGAATAATGCAAACTTTATACTACTATGTGTAGTTGAAGTTTTTCCCCATAGGCAGAAATAGTTCTGTTACCTTTCATTGACTTTGCTTTGTTCTGAAACGTGTGGAAAAGGCTACTGTGAGTTATTTTATCTGTTCCATGTTCTGAAATATCTGCCACTTGACCTTTTAAAATCTATATGATATTCTCAGACACAGTCTAGCACATTTCTCTGACTGATGCTCTGCAAATTGATCATTATGAAGAGAGGCGCAAGCTATTTGTAGAAGGGGTTACTGCTAAATTGCTATAGAAATGACAGAATTTCAGTTGTGGGCATGCTGGTAAACTGAAACTCTGTAATCCTCCTTCTTGCCTGTAACCACATGCACAGCATGTGTAACTGCACTTTTCCATCATCACCACTTGTTATCTCCCCCCTCCCCAACCCATTGTTATCATTTTTAAATTATATGCTCCTTGAAGTATTTTTGCCTGTACAATTTTGAAAATGCTTTGTACAGTATTTCAGTTTTGCTTTACAAATAATAATAATATTTAAATTATGATAGGTTTTGGGAAAGGATGTAAAAGTGATGTAACATTGGCCTGTATAAGAATGCATTTTATTATAGCGCCGTGCAATCCTATGCAGGCTTGCTTAGAAGTAAGTCAGTTGTGCTTAATGTACTTACTCCTTGGTGTTTCAAATTGCAGCCCTTGAGTTAGAAGCTAACAATCAGAAGTTAACAGAATGTAGGGATTAAAAAGAAATTGTCACCCATACGCTTACAATACTAAACATGTGAATTTCTTTTGATCTAAGCCATCAAAAGACGAACAGTGGAAACGAGCTATGGATTATCTGAATGCTGTCAGTGAACTCAATTACATGACTCAGATTGTGATCATGCTATATGAGGATCCAAACAAGGTAAAGAAATGCTAAGCACATAGTCAAACCAGTATTATATACTTGGAACATGGTTTAACTCCTTGTCCATTTTCTTTAGGAGCTTTCATCAGAGGAGCGTTTCCATGTGGAATTGCACTTCAGTCCAGGAGCTAAAGGCTGTGAAGAAGATAAAAATTTACCGTCAGGCTTCGGATACAGACCTGCTTCACGGGAGGTAAACACTCTTTAAAATGTTTCTTACATACATGAAATTTGAGCAGGACTTTTCACAGTACAGTGGTACCTCGGGTTAAGTACTTAATTCGTTCCGGAGGTCCGTACTTAACCTGAAACTGTTCTTAACCTGAAGCACCACTTTAGCTAATGGGGCCTCCTGCTGCTGCCGTGCCGCCAGAGCACGATTTCTGTTCTCATCCTGAAGCAAAGTTCTTAACCCAAAGCACTATTTCTGGGTTAGCAGAGTCTGTAAGGCTGAAGCGTATGTAACCTGAAGCGTATGTAACCCGAGGTACCACTGTAGTTGAATGCTTAATATTGTACCATGGCATAACACAGCTTGTGTTGTTGTACCTTTCCCACTTATTTGTAGAAAATAGCACATTTTGAATTTTGAGGAAAAGCTGTGGCCAGCAGTCACAACATGGCTGCCATGGGGATGTGGCATGTCACAAAATTAGAGGGTGTACTGTCATTGCTGCTACCCTGAACATTATGTTGTGGAAGTTACACAGTGTCACCTCCACAAAACAATGCTGTCGCTGTCTTGAACAAGAAGCACTCCCCACTACCAGGAAAAATGTACAAGGTGGCCATATCACACTCTCTCCCCCCCCTCTCCCTCACATTGCATACACCACACACATGCAGACCAAGGACATACTTGTATTTCTCTTGCAGACACATGCCATGTGTACACAGTCACACACACAAATACCTCCCTCTAACTCTAACTATCGTGCACGTGTGCACACACCATACATACCTACATCTTTCTTTCTCTGCCCAAGTACATTTCTCTCAGTCACACACAGAGCATACTTGAGCACCCCACCTCACACCCAGACCCATCTTCAGAAAAGCCCTTACATGGGTGAAGGAAATGTTGGGAATAAGGTCTTCTTCCACCCAGCCAAGAACAGCTCCACTGGCTTCTGCCTGCCACGGAGCCCCCAGTTTCACCCAACAAAAGGCCTTCCCATCAGCAGTTGTCTGCAAGAAAGCACCAAAACAGGGGGCTGCTTGGAGGGACTTGGCCAGCCTGTGATCTGCTGAATCCGTAGCTGGTCCCACTTGGTGGCATTGGGCTCAATCTGGGTCTGATCACGATGTGAGCTCCAGACAGAGGTAGACAAGAGCAGACTTTTGCCTGTCCACTGTCTTCTGTCCCAGATGGTGTGAACAGCTCCCTTGTTGGGGTATGGATTGCCCTGCCAGATACTAAGAAAATGGACAAATCATTGTCTTCAGAGTTGGAGACAGTTGCTAGGGACAGCTGACCAAATGTGCTTTGGTGTACATTTCCATAGCTCCATAGGAAGCTGCTTTATCCAAACGCATGTGGTACGTGGTTTGTTGCTATTGGTATCCAAGGGCCATAATCCTTAATATTTGAAGGAATTATGTTTTCCACCTGCCAAATGTTTTGTGTCACATGAAACATCCATTTTCTTCCAGAATGATGGCTCAAGGAAAAACTCCCAGAAAAATGAAAGTGATGAGGAATCACATGCTTGTAGAAGGGATGAAACAGATCGATCTGTAATGATCTTCAAGCCATTGGTGTCAGATCCAATTCATATACACAGAAAGTCGCCTCTTCCAAGACCCAGGAAAATTGGTTCATCAGAAGTAAGTTTGCTGTTCCCATGCTTAACTACTGTAGAAACAGGCTCCTGTTTTAGAGAGATTTTCACATTTCTTTTTCTCTTTTTTAATGCATGGCAAATACATAGCTGTAGTTCTCTTAGGACTTTAACATTGCTTCAGACACTTCCATAAATTAATAACCGAAAGATACCACTATTCAGAGGAGTTTGGATCACTTAACAAGGTCTAAGTTAGTCTTCAGGCTGACTAATCTACATTGCTTGCATATACAATCTTACAAAATGTATTATTCTACAATAAATAGTTAAAGACATTTTTTGCCCTTTGCAAGAATGTTATGGTTCATCCCAATATATATATATTTCCTAATATAACTGATTGTTGTAGTGTACCCTGAAAGATAAGACATTATCTTATCAATATGAAAGATATGTCTTCTGTCCCAAAATCTTAAATATTCTGAATCAAGGTTGATGCAGAGGTCTGTCATATTTACAAGGGCTACTTCAGAATAGTGAAGTAGGTGAGGAGAGAGTTTCTCTTTTTACCAATCATTTTTCAGTAACAGAATAAAATTGCAAGAAACAGTATGGCCCAGTTCACACAACACAGTAAACCGTAACTGATGGTTTACCATGAATGCAGAGATCACTCCACCTTTGCTTTTCTTGTACAGCCAGCAGGAGCAATAAACCACAATCCCTGGTTTAGTTTTACATCTGAACCTAGGAATCATGGTTTGTTCTATTCCAAACAAATCATGACATTAAGCCAAAAACAAACCATGTTCCTAGTTTGGATGGAATGCTAAGCCAGGGAGTGTGGTTTGCTGCTCTCACTAGCTAGAGGGAAGGAGCGTTCTGCACATTCATGATAAACCATCAACTGCTATATACTGTGATATGTGAATGCTGTATATGTTACAATTTATTTCTGGTGTCATGTGGGCACTAGTTTGTGTAACAGCCCTTGTCCCTTGACAAGTCAGGAGCAAAGACTTTTGGGGAGTGGGTTGTACTATCTCCAGACTTACATGCTACAAAATGAATAATTCCAAATAATTTGGCCATTTGATATTATTGATTGAATTCTATACTATTATTTGGCTGTCTTGAGCTGTGATAAATATGAAGGCTAAAAAAAACTCATTTTGTATCCAAGATCTTGTATATATCCTATGGGGTTTTTATTTTTATTTTATTTTATTTACCTTTATCCTCTGAAGCAAAGATCCCATGTTGTATCTCCGTTTTTCAAAAACTCCTCTCCGTTTCATAAGTGCCATCTGTTGTTCAGGACCCAACATCTAAAATTCCAAGTACTAAGCCTCTGTGTGTGTGCAGAATTATTTATGCTGTTATTTGGATCTTAGCCTAATTGTACTAAGAGATGCCTTCACAAATTGTGCATCAGCTCACTACTAGTCACTGGCATCATACCTGCACTCTGGTAGGTGGTTGCTCAAGGCTACAGACGATCCTGCCACCTTTTGACCATCCCACTTTTCAGCAGGCAGCCTGGACTCTTCTAACAGCAGGCAGGTCACTTGACTTCTTAGTTCTACCCTTGTGTTTCCAGTTCATCAAACCTGTAGCGAATAAAGTTTATAGCCTGTTTAAACCAAGTTCTTTTCCCTCCCCACCCCTCCCATCCAGCCCACTCTCTCCCCAATGCGGGCACATGCGTTTGTTACTGATCATGACAGTCTTTATCAGAGAGAAATTATATATATATTTCTTAGGGATCCAAAAATATTTTAATTATTATGATGTTCCAGGTTTTTTATGTGATGATACAGGAATATCCTAATAAATGCTGTGGGTTTTTCCAGCAGGCAAACATTAATGTTGAGCAGTATTCTACATATCCTTTGTAATTTTTCACACATAGTTGTAAATTCTGCTTTTCCCTGTCAATAAACACTGTTTTTATTTTGCTGACTTTACTAGCCTGAAACTTTAATATAGAAAGATTTGGAAATCATGGCTTCATTTTTACATTATATTTTTCTTTCTTCTTGGGACATTCTGTGTATTCATTGATAGGAACATGGAGAGATTCTTTTTAGCTGAATTTAGAATTCTTTCCCACTTCAATAAAATACCATTTTTAAAAGATTAATTTTTAAATGGTGTGTAAAGCAACGTGAAGCCGATTCTCTTCTATTTGGAGAAAGTGAACAAAAATCAAATAACTTAACCTTGAAGATCAAGGCTCCCTAAATATATATTGAACATAAATGTGTCTGTTATGTTCTTTCAGTGTGGTCCTGACTCTGTTTCTTGTGAATGTCTTGATCGAGACCTAAATTATTGTTGGTGTGCCAGCCTGTCACTGGTGTTTGGTTTAGTTCTTAGAGTTGGTCCTGGAGCTTAGGCAGGATGTATAATGCTTATGCAGAGGATAGATGTGGCATGTGGATACAGAATGAAGATTAAATTTTACTGGCGTGTTTTGTTAGGGGGAAAACTGAGACACTAAAATTAAGAAAATGTTGTTAGTGTCATCAGAGGTCAGTTACATGTTTTTGTGAAATATCTGCTTTATTAATAGTGAACGCAGCACAGACAGAGAATTTGCTATGCTTAGCGAGAGGAACACAATTAACGGTGACATTTTTTAAATATGTACATATTGAGTTTCCTTGTCACTAGTACTGTTTAAGTGTCTTTAGTGAAAATAGTAGCTGAGTAATTCCAGTTGTTTGTATTGTGTGATTTTATTATAGGAAACACGGCTCATTACTGTATAATGCTGTTAAAGTTATTTAGAAAAGGGTGCAGACAAAACTGTATTTCATTTTCTTATCATTTGGCTATGAATCTAACGTTGCATGCTTTGCTGTTTTTTTGCCCCCTTTCTCACTTCCAGGAAGAGAGCCCCCTGAGTGTGTCTAGCCCAGAGTGTATTGGTACCTGGCTGCATTACACCAGTGCTGTGGGTACTGGGCGTCGAAGACGCAGATCAGGGGAACAAATCACTTCTTCCCCTGTCTCCCCTAAATCATTGGCTTTCACATCCAGTATTTTTGGCTCATGGCAACAGGTTTTTAAACTTTACTTCATTAAACATTACTATGCATTCCAAGCAGAAAACAGCTGTCTTTAAGGACATCTAATCCCTTGTTCTGGATTTTATTCAAAGAAAATTATTTCACCTGTCATTAAAATGTGATTAAAAAAACAACTAGTTACTTCCAAGAATGCTTCGGGGGGGAAAAAAGCAAGTGCATGTTTTTTTTTTCCTACACAAGTTTCACTGAATGTAGTTGATTGTTTGGTTTTCAGTTGGTTTCTTTTCAGCACTGTAGAGATGGAAATAGTTATCTCCTCATGAAATAGACATCAGCTTTGGCTTAGTTGTCCTTTTAGACTTTTCTTTTTTTTACTTACAAAGCAAAACAAAAACAGCATTGAGTAATTTGGTGGCAGGTGCATTAAAATGATTGTGCAATAAATGAAACAAAATGTGATTTGAAGTAATTGGATTGGGGTCCAATTTTGGTATTCCACAGTTGGGATTAGCATAGATTGTCTTTTCAACGGCCTATTAACTGTTCAAGAAAAAAATTGTTAGTACTAATCATTATTTTCTCTACTTGTGAACTGGAGGTGTCCTTTCTCTCTCTCTTTGTTTTGAGGACAGTTCTTCATCCATTGTAATGTATAACATTGTGAGATTTGACATATTGGGGGAATTAAGTAAAATAGTACATATACCAAACAGTAAAATAGAATAGTGTACAGCTTTTATCCAACTCAGATATACCCAAAGTAGACCCATTGAAATTAATGAAACCAAATTAGTCAAATATGTTCATTTCAGTGGGTCTGTTCTGAGTAGGGCTAATGTTGGATATAAAACAACATACTTACAAATGGTTGTACTAAACAATGGATGGTGCCCTGTTACCAGAAACCCCCCCCAAAAGAATGTTATTTTGATGTCCTATTGAAACTAAAAATTGCTTGGATATAGAAAAAAAGAGTTTTAGGTTAAAGGTTGTGAACATCAGAAGTTTACCCTGATAAGAGCCTGTGCATGGATCAGTGACTGTAAGGTGACCTCATCAGCCTGTCTGTGTTTCCTTTTTTTTCCTCCCTCTCCCTTCCAATACAGGCGCAGTTTAGGAGTGTTCATTTGGTAAACTAAAATGACACAGTTGTCTGTGTTTTCATATCTTTCTTGGTGTCTGTCCTGTTTTTGTCATCATGAATGCCTGCTTGCACCACTTCATTGCAAGGATCTCATGAGTGAACTGGATTCCCTTCAGCAATATTGCATGACCTTCCATATTGTTTTGGTATCTCTACTAATGCATCATATGGCTTATTAATACTTGTCTGTCATGAACAGGCTGCTGTTTCAAGCTTAATGGATTCTATAATCCCACTAGAGTGTTTTTGTTCTTACTTATCCATTTCCCATGTCTAGGTCCCAACAGAAACCAACAGTTATTTCCGACCACCAAGAACTATTGTGGAGCAAAAGGCAAGCGGTATAGGTACGTATATATTTCCTAAAGTCCTGCTCCTTTAAAGTAGACCTACTCAGTTTTCAGTATTCAAGCTTGTAGATATTTTAAAAGTTAACTCCATTGTTTGGATAATGTATCTTGAATATTTTAATACAAATAAGTCATTTGGTCACTGAATATAGAATATCAGTTGTCATTGTTGGCATGAATTTTTCACTTGAACCCAAACCATATTGTTGTTTTGACAAGTTAATAGAGACCATTTTAAGAGGATTCATCTCTAGGCTTTTGAGGGCTTGCTCCTTAGTCAGATGGGAACAGTTGAATAGATTCTCCTGGTAATCAAAAACCTTTATTTTTCTCATTTTTTGTTTTCCATATACATTTAAGAACAACACAAGAGTAATGTTCTTTGCACTACCCCAAATTCCATCAACTACAGCTTTCAGAATACAGGCTTGGCTATTGTAACTGTTTTATTACAGCAAGCATCAGATTTATATCTCAGCAGCATTTTAGTACTGTAGAATGAATACTATTTTCCTTGCACTGTAGTGTATTATACTACATTTGGTAGTGTATACTACCGGTACTTTTTTGCTCTGCAAATGTTTTAATATTATGGGTAACACTTTCATAGCACGTCAAACAAAACAAACACAGCATTAAATGCAGTCTAAGATAAAAATTTATCCAGTTGTCTACTTAACTCTATATTCTTTCTATATACACAATCTTTTTTTGTTTCTTCGTGCTTCAAAATTTTACCTACCAAAATGCATACATCAGATGCTCTTGATTACTGGAGTTTAATTTTTCTAATGTTCTTCAATCATTGCACAATCCTGTTCTCTGTGATATTCCACATAAATATACTGTGTTGGCCCGAATATAAGCTTCACCCAAATATAAGCCGCACCTTTAAAATTGGAGAGGGAAAACAAACAAAAAATCTGAATATAAGCCGCTCCATTCCTTGCTGCTCCTGGCTGCATATTGGGGGGGGGGGGTGTTCCGTTGCTAGCGACCTTTCCCCTTCCTCGTGCTTTCCCTTCCCGGCCTTTGGGGAGAGGACTGGGGACTACGCACAGGGCGGATGCCGCTTTGCCACGCTCCTGCCTGCATATCGTAAGGTCGCAAATATGAGCCGCACTTTAACTTTTCACGGTCGGAATTTGGGCAGAAAATGAGGCTTGTATTCAGGCCAATACAGTACATGTTGATGAAAACTGATCTAAATGCAGGTATTTCTTAAGTTCCAAAGCTTCTCCACAGATTAGACATTTATATTGATGTGTTTCGTCAGATGTGCTACTAATGTTTTCCTCACCGTTTGGTTGTCAGTGGTAATAACAGAAATTTTGAATCAGTGGTTCTTGATTAGAAAGCAAATAGATCAGGTTTCAAAGGGCAAGGATAGGCGAAACCTCTCCTGAGCAAGTGCCATTGAGAAGAATTTTATATTGGTAAGGGATTGTCCAAAATACATTACACCCAAAGTAGCCCTTTTCTTAGGTTTTTAAATGTAAATTAAAATATGATTATGGGAGGAGGATACCGATATTGTAGTATGTAGAGAATTATTCTTTGTAAACAAGGTTTTTAATATCAGACAGCAAAAGTCAGTACACTTGGTTTGTTTGTTTTTAGAGCAGCCATTAACTTTTAAAAATACACTGAGAAACTCAACACATTTAATGGGATATGTCTGCACAAGCCACAAGTGGAACGCGTGCAAGAAAACTTGATCACATCCCATGAATTTAAGTGGAATTTCCACATGAAAACATGCTGATCTCTGTCTTTTGCAGAGTTCAGTGCTCATTTTAACAGATTCAGTTATGAACTGCAAATATTCAATCTTGTGTTTCTTCCTCAACCATCCCTTTTTGTTTTACATTGACCTATCAGGCAGTGTTTTTTTTCCCTTTATCAAGTCTAACAGAAAACAAAAGGAAGTTCCCTTCATTAGAGTTCAGCCTTCTCTTTGTATATAATTAGTAAGGGGGTTGTGATATATAGAAGCACAGTAATTTGTGGTAGTTACATCCTGAAAGTACCACTGACTTTATAAGCATATTGTGAACCTGTTCAAGGCAATGCCAGAGGCAGCCTCTTGTGTGGTAAGAGCGATATGCTTGCATGCTGCATGCATCCCCGATGTGAACAGAACACCTGGTTGCTGTATGTATTTTCTCTAACTCCCATCAGGGTCTCACTGTGCGAGCCTGTTTAGCACTTCGGTGCTCGGGGGTTCTTCAAGTGCACCTAACCTACAGGATTATGCTCGTATTCATCGTAAAAAGCTGACTTCTTCTGGCTGCATAGATGGTATGTGCACACCTTCGCACATGCACTTACACCCACCCACTCATATGCACACATTAAACCTTGAAAGAAAGTCCTAGGCCTGTTTACAGAGTAGAAGCCTGTAATACCGATCACTAATATTAATTTGTAGAGGGTTGTAGTGTCCCTTTATTTCTCAGAGATTAATTGCGTTTAATGGCACACCGATGGAAGGAGGGCTTTTTCCCTTCCGTAACAAACCAACTTAAAAAAAAGTTTATGTTCAACCTATGTTTAAAACCATTTAATTTGGTAATTTTTTCCTGAAGTGGAACAAAAAACCATTTATTGAGAACTAGAGAAATCAAAGGAGATTCATTAATATTTGTAAAGTCCTAAAAAGAGGTACGTTTGTTAAATTACTTTAAAAATTATCCTGAAAGTGTGTGGCTTGGGGCTTCAGAGTAACAAGCAGAATAGAAATGTCAGCACCAGATTTCCACCATTTTACAATGTTTGTTAACTTTCTTGAGGGTAAGAAACATTCAGCTTTCTCCTACTGTCACATCCATGATATTCAATTCTAACCATGTATGTCTGTATGCCAAAATCACAAGCTCACCCGTATTTGTCTTCCATACACTCCATTAAACCTCTAGTAGTAACAACCAGCAAAGTTTTACCTGCTTTTAAACCTGTTTTGGCCTTTGCACCTCTCCCAATCCCTTCTGCATGCCACTCAGTTCTAACCTCCTCTTCATTGTTTTCCCCTCTTCTGTCCTTTCTTGAATTATCCCTCTTTTGGTAGCTGTTTTGAATTTCAGGTACCTGTTTTTCTCTTTCTCAGACACCACACGTGGTTCTGCTGTTAAAAGGTTTTCTATCTCATTTGCTCGACACCCAACCAATGGTATGTTTTGCTTTTATTTAAAAAAAAAAGTATTCCCTTGCTTCATCCCTTCCAAACTATGGGGTGTATAGTACTGTCCGCCATCATCCTCCCTGATTCCAGCTGATCACATGGCCATATTGTCAATTATTAGAAATTCTGATAATTTAAATCCCTTTCCCCTTTTTAATTCCATAATCTAGTCTTTTAAAATTCACACATTCAAAATCCTTTTTGGGATGGGGTGGGGAATTAAATGAATTCCATGTCTATTTTTACGCAGTCTTCTTAATGACACAACCAATTAGTACACATAGTGTATGGTTTAAAAGCTTTCTGATCCTAAACAGCTCCTATTCCTTTCACCTTCATATTCTTTGGCATCCTGCTGTGTTGGATATCTCTGTTCTGAACTTTTGGAACTCAGCGTAAGAACTGCCTTACTAAACCAAACCAAAAGGTCCACTTTCTCTAGCCCTCTATTTCCAACAGCAACCACCAGATGGCACTGGGAAACTCATTAAGTTGGGCATGAAAGTGGTGGTCTGTCCTCTATTTGTCCCCCAGTGACTGGGATTCAGAGGTATACAGCCTTTGAACATGAAGATTCTGATTATCTAGCATAGCTAACAACCAGTGCTAAGCCTACTCTCTGTGAACTCAGGATTTCATTATAAATAACAAGTGGAACTTGCTATCATCTTCTTGAAATCACATTAGACAAAATAAAAGTTAACTGAAAACAAAGTTCCCTACATTTCTGTCAGTAACCAAATGATTTGCTTCACCTTCCTTCCTTTCATACAGACAGCTTAAGTGCTTTCTGTAATGAGTTACTTGCCGCTATGTTTTCCTCCTGAGGTCTAAACGGCCTCGGTCCAGTATACCTGAAGGAGCATCTCCACCCCCATCGTTCTTCCTGGACACTGAGGTCCAGTTCCAAGGGCCTTCTGGCCATTCCCTCGCTGCGAAAAGCCAAGTTACAGGGGACCAGACAGAGGGCCTTCTTGGTAGTGGCACCCGCCCTGTGGAACGCCCTCCCACCAGATGTCGAAGAGAAAAACAACTACCAGACTTTTAGAAGACATCTGAAGGCAGCCCTGTTTAGGGAAGCTTTTAATGTTTAACAGACTATTATAGTTTAATATTTTGTTGGAAGCCGCCCCCATCCTGCCTCAACATATAACACATTTTGCAAAGCTTTGCCACTGAATTGGTCCTTTCATCACAGAAACTGAGCTGGCCACTCCTCCATCATAGATCAAACAGTAGCTCTCAATTTCTTTATCCTTATTCAAAAGTTTCCAAAGCCGTTTATTAACTGAATTCAGTGGTAAGGTAATATAATGTCTTCATGAAGCTGTAGATTTGTGTCTATTCCCAAATCATCATAATAAAATGATAGGTTTGCTTCAGTAGCAAATAATCTTTACTAATATTACTACAGTATTTCATACCTACACATGGAATTAGTTGTGAAAATGAAAAAAAAATGTGCACATTGACTCTAAAATTAAGTCATCTAAAAAGAGATATGCTCGACTTAGTATGCAAAACAGCTGAAAGTTGAGGTATGAGAGCTAAAAAATAAATATTTACAAATAAAGGGGGGAAATATATCATGAATAGCTGGCAGAGCACATTTTATCCAAATAGTATGTGCTTAAAATTTGTATATTTTTATCACAGCTGTGTTGATACAGATTGCTGTGATCTGATTAATATGTATCCTCACAACTTTCACAATTTACTGCATGGTTATATGTATTGCTCAGAAGCCTAAATGTACTTCCTCAGGTAACTTGGGATCACTCCAGCTGCTTTGAAAATGAGGCGTGGCGTACTGTTTGTTCTTAACCTTTCATTGAGAGCCTCCTCTTTTCTTTGACTTCCATAACTTTAAGATAACAATGCAACTTCTAAACCATTTCAGTCTTCCCCTTCCTTTCATCTTGAGTTCAAGATACATGGTGAAACAAGTATCTACTGACAGTGCTTTACTTATTTTCTGGGCCTCTGTGCAGAACATCCAGACCTCTTTAGGTGCTGGTCGGTTTCTTCTGAGGAATTTCTAGGCGCCAGTGGTATGTCTTTATAGCTTTCGAATGTAAGACGGCAGGGTGGCTTTCTAAGTTGCTACGCTAACCCTTTCATTGTCTTTCATTTTGATGGAAACTGGTATGTTAAGAGGTCAGCTCACGTTAGCAGATCAGACATTTGAAGGCATACTGTCCAATACGTAGGTGTCTTTTTAAAAATAAAAGAACACAAATGAATAGGTTTTTACCATTTTCAATTTCAATCCAGTGGAAATGGCCTCTCCGCACATGTCTCAGGGTATTTCTCCAATGCTTGATAATCCAGTAATGAAGCTGCTAAAAGATGGGTGTGTGCACAAGTGAATAGTTGGTTTTTATTGCCTAGGTAAATAAAGCTAAAAGAAGTATGCAGAAATATAAATGACACTATTGAGCTTCAGATTTAACTGTTTCAAAGGATATTTATTGGACATGAGGTAATTATAAGCACCAAAATAGACATGAGCACTTAAAGAAAATAGCCTGCCATAGTCCCATGAAATTGTTCCTTACATAGATACTCATACACATTTGTGGATTTTCTCCAGTCAGGGAAAGCTGCAGTTCTCGTGGAATTTACTGTAATGCAAAGAAAGGGTTCGCGCTTGCCTGCATGCGTAGTGTTGTATTCTTAGAAGAATTATTATGCATTAAACACAATTAACTTGAAGCACACACAGAGGCTTAACTGCTACAATTCAATAAGATACCAAAATGTTCATTTGCAAAGTTTCCTTCTCTAGAAATTTAAGGAGAGAAAAGTGATTTCAGATAACAAGAATTTGAATTCTTTAGTTTTGGAGTTCACTGTAGTTTACTACATATTACATTTAAATGTACCTTGCACTAAAAACATGAATACTTTTTCGTTAGCAAACCTATGTCATTGAAAAAAAAAGGTCTTGAGAGAAATTTAGCAACTTAAGTAAAATTACAGTTTTTGTTTTCGGTATTATAATAGTGAAACTTTATATGGACAATTTTTTTGTGGGGAGCTGTCTGAATCAGTTCACAAGTGCTTTTTAAAGCTTATGTATGCATATGGAGTTTTAAATTAACGTTAGTTCAGGTATGCATGGTTATGTTTTTACTTATGATGCCTAACCCTGGATTTCAGATTTATTTGTGGCTTGACAGTAACTGTTATAAAAGTAATGAAGCTGGATGTAAATATTAAGGAAACTTGTCATGATCCTGGAAGAGGGTTGTCCTTGCTTTCTTCTCAGAAAACAATACTTTCAGACTTAGATGACCAGGAGTTTTGACGAAGAGCCAGCTCTGATGCCTATGGAAGTAACATAGGGACATGCTGAGCCTTTACTTCATTGATTTCTTAAGTCTGTTTTATATAGAAATTTATAAATTGAATGAAAACCTAGATTAGAGTTATTGGAGAGTACAATGGATAAGTAGGTCTACATCTGTGTAAGTGGTGGTTAAATTGCTGCCTTAGACTTATTTAAATAAAAATGTTTTTATATTATGTATATGCAGAACCATGAGCTTCATATATAAGAAATTCTGACACCCTTTAGTCCAGCTCCATATTGTTTCAGTATCTGAAGTGTTACTGTATGATTGCATGTGTTTGGATGGAGCCAGAATCATGTTTGAGGCTTTTTGGTTCCATCTTTCTCACTGCAGGCCTGCATGTGCCATGTGTCTACCTGAGAAAACTCCCTTCAGAAAGTCAAGCGATCATTCTGGAGCTGCTTCTGATGCAGTGCAAAAGGAGCAGAAATCTGGAGAGTTGCACTGGGTTCAGAAGTGCTTTGGTGCACATGGCATGCACGGGTCTCTTTGTATTCTGGCCTGTTAAGCATACTTCTGCAGAACATACCTTTGCCATTATAATTGCTCAGTTGCTTCCTTTTATGTTGGAAATATGTGGTGTGTGTGTGTCTGTGTTTTCTTTTTCAGGCTTTGAATTGTATTCCATGGTGCCTTCAATCTGCCCTCTAGAAACCCTCCATAACTCCTTGTCATTAAAGCAGGTGGATGAATTTCTTGCTTCCATTGCTGCCTCTCCTTTGTACGACAGATTTCAAGCCGCATCCACATTTTCTCTGCGTAATTACCTTTTATGTCTTTTATTTCGCAAACTGCAAAACGCTGCTGGCCATAGGCAATCCACTGAATACTAGGATTTAGTGTTTCCCGGTGTGGGACTGATAAACTGTTTCAGATTTAATCAAATAAGTATTTCCTCATTTTCCCCATGAATTGGCATATAACCACACCACCCACACTGCAGCTGTCTTCTTGGCTGTCCTTGGAAGTGTAAGAGAATGCAGTTTTACTCAAATTAGTCACACAATATGACTATAACACATACCCTGCATGTATGCTGTGCAAAATTTCTGTATAATGACAACACTTATTTGTGCAATTAAAAACTGCTAAGCTCCAAAGAAGTGGGGCTTCCATTCTACCCCTCCACTCCACACATATGTCCCATAGCTAAGCTAGAAACTTTGTTTCAAAAACTTAGGCAACTTCAGATAGAGTTGCTGAGGTGGGGGAAATGAAGATCCTGCTTGGCACATACAGTGGTACCTCGGGTTACATACGCTTCAGGTTACAGACGCTTCAGGTTACAGACTCCGCTAACCCAGAAATAGTGCTTCAGGTTAAGAACTTTGCTTCAGGATAAGAACAGAAATTGGGCTCTGGCGGCGCGGCGGCAGCGGGAGGCCCCATTAGCTAAAGTGGTGCTTCAGGTTAAGAACAGATTCAGGTTAAGTACGGACCTCCGGAACGAATTAAGTACTTAACCTGAGGTACCACTGTACCTCTCTGTATACTTGAAGTAGCTTATTGGACCCTGAACACTATGATGCCTATAGCACATTATTCTCTTTCCGCTCGAACAATGCCATGCAGATTTCTTGATATTTCTGTAACTAACTGTAAATGATAAGTTCCCAAATTCCATAGTAGGGCAATACCTTTATTAGGGCATCCAAACTCGTACAAAATATTGAGAAAGCTTTTGAGCTGTCCAGAATTCTTTGTCAGGCTAGGTTTTAAGCAGAGCGAGAAGTGAGGGGATCAAAAAATGGGCCTAGTGTTGAAACCATGAAGCCTGCATTGTGCTTGGTCTCAAGATGGACCATGGGTAACAGACTTAATATATTTCACATTCCAAGGTGCAATGCGGGTTTCAAGTTACACCTGCTAGGATGAAAGAACACAAAATGTCTGATTTTGTAAATTTAAAATTCTCCAGACCTGCCTCTAACTTTAAGCAAAATTCTCAAGTTCCTTGTGGTAGAAAACAGCAGTAAAGAGAAGCATAACAGTTTTTAAATTAGCAAATCTTGGTGCACTAAGTCAAAAAAGTGAGTAGAAGCTGAGTTAGGTATCTTAACCTAGTACTCAGAGATAATATGCTCTGAGGAAAAAGTTATTTATTCAGGCAGTATTAGACCCTCTTACTCTAGTTTATTATCCTACTCTTCAATAGCTAAATTTAGTAGTCTGCAAGCCATACACAAAGAAGAAGTACATAAGAAAAATATCAAAATACATATTTGGCCAGATACCTATTTTCTGTGCATGCATGCCAACTTCAGTTAGTAGACAGCTTTCAGGTTTGCCTAAATAGGTTTCTTGGAAGCAAAAAAGATGACTGTTTAATAGTTTAAACATGACGTTGACAGAAACCTATAGCTCCATGTTGATGAAGAGAAATATTGGAGCATAATATGTTCACTGTACTATTCACATAAAAACAATGTACACACTTTTCAGAGGCATTGTTCAAAGAATAATACAGCCTTTGTTGATACTTTATATAATCTCTGCTTCTTCAGCATTGACAACATCCAGTTACTTGAGAAAGAATAAGATAAAATATCTTTGTAACTTTTATTAACCCTTTTAGCTTCGCCATCATTTCTGGATGCAAGAAAAAACTCTTTAAATACATACACCCCTGCAAAAATCCAACCAACGCCACAAGAAGACCCTTTGAGTCGGCGAGAATGTTCCTCGACTATGTCAAGTAAGTAATACTTGAAAAAAACCTTTTCACATCCATCTTAATTATTAACAAGAACAGTCTGAGATTGTTCAGAAACATTTTGCTTTATACTTTAAGAAATTTGAGAGCATTTTGGTGTGGATTGGTCTTATTTTTCTGTCTCATTATGATGCATTAGACAAGAAGCGGTTTGGAGGCTCCAGCGAGATCTCATGGATCTCTCACAAGATCTCACTGGAACCTGCAACCACATGATTTCAGTAAGTGAGGCTTCGGCAGAGGGGAGGCAGCAACTTCCCATTCACCTCAGACAGTGACCAGGGAAAGACTGCCCCTGGCTCCCATCCTAATTTTATTTTTGTCAAGTTTCAGAGATATCGTAATATTGGGCATGACATAGCCAAAGTTGTATTGGTTTCAGTGTTTTAAGTTTCTCCTCCTGAAAGCTAACTGACACTAAAATGCTTGTTTGTCTTGATCATGTGTTTATTATTATTATTATTCGCCATAAGAAACATGATCCTGTTTTGCTTGTGTGCAGGTACCAGTGTTTTTTCGCCTCCTGTTTGATACATCATAAAATGCCAAAAAAAGAGTTAAAACAATACTTGCTTAGCACTGGTGGTTAAACTGTCTCAGAAGAAATGAAGCAGTTCGAGGAAAACTGGAAGGTGCTGCCAATGCCATCTTTAGCAGTGTATATTTCTTTGTAGACAAATAAGTTAGCTTTAAAAAGCTATTCATTTCTCTCTGTGTAAGTATGTGTTTCCCTGTATATAAAATAATTACTGAAGTGCATATATAGTATATATTCAGGAAAGGTGATTTCTTTGTTTCTAAAGTATGAAAAGCAAAGATGTTTACACCATTGTTTTAAGGAAATTGTTATCTTTTAACAGAGAAACTGCACACGACATTTACCATCTTTGCTGTCCTAAATTAACGCACAAACCAAAACAGCCTACCATACTGGTTTGCATTATAAAGGAGCAGCTAATAGGGAGATAGGAGAGGGGTAGAAAAAGCCACCATTTCCTTTTTGCCCTACAGTAGACCTTAAAGCCCGGACATGAAAACTTATTCATCACCAAAGCACATTAATAGGACTCTGCTTAACAGATGCCTTTATGAATGTCAATCTGTGACAGCATCTCAGTGGTTGGTTCTTTCCCCTCTGGTAGAAATGCATAATGGAGCTGGATGATAAATGAAAAGCACTTAAGCCCTCATACTTTGAAGGTGCACACACCATTACCTGAAAAATAAAAGGTCAGATTACTTTGAGCCACTTAAGTGCTAATATAATAATTGTAATATTAGAAAGGTTCATTGTTAGAAAGAAAGCTGTGTTATTTTATGAGGAAGAAACAGCTTAAACTCATTTCACAGAGAGTTTTTATTGGCGCCTGGCTCCAGTTTTTGAAAAACAGCAGAAAACTGCAATATGAAGTGGCTGAACAGCTATACCTTCTTTGGAACTTCTCAAGGCTCCAAGTAACTTAAAGGCAGATGAAATAGTAAACATTAGAACAAAAAACACCTGCAACACGAGAGACCATTGTTTTATAGGGAAATATTTTGCTTCCAATTCTGAAGGGCCTGGCATATGCCCACTACCAAACTTAAGGAACTCACTGTCAGTGGTGATCTGTGTCACATCTTTTCTCCTTCATCAGCAGCTGTGCTGGGGGAAAAAGACATAGGTCTTGACTCCTCTCCATGGTAGTCCTGCTTAAATGGGCTAAAGTCAGGGATAGTATTTCAATCTTACACCTGAGTGCAAAATATTGTTTTTTGATCCCTACCCCAGCTTAAATGTGGCTTCTGCAAATATCTCTGCCTTCCTATTGCTTTCAGCCATATGGAGGTACAGGTTAACAATTCTGGTACTGCTTAGGTGATTAAAGGTCTCTATTGTATTGTATTTGTGAATTAAGAGCTAATTACTAGTATGTTGCCTAAACTGACACCTGGCACACACAGTCTTTACCTGGGAGCATCTCTTTTTTAAATACATTTCCAAAGAGAGCAATTTTTGTTTGGGTATAGGTATGCTGGGTACAGATGACATGCCCTTTAATTTCCTTGTTCTTTGCATGTTTACACCAGACCCTTGACATTCAGATATACTTTGGTTGTTAGTGTCTGTGCTTTATGAGCTCCTCTCCTAAAAGTAATTTCCTGTTTACACTTTTCCTAAATGCTCTTCTATTTTGTTGCAAAGATGACTTTCTTCAAGAGATTTCTGCAGAATACTGCTTAAAGCATAGTTCACGTGTGGATAACAGGGCTTCATCAAAGCAGAAACAGCTGGTCTGTTAATATTCCATGCTGGGAACTTTCTATATGTGCAGATTATATTGTCAAGTTTTGAAATTAAAAGAAATTGTAGCATTACCAAATCTACATAATTACTGTTTCAGCACTGAACACTTGAACATAAACCAATACAGCTAATGTTCCCATCATTGTCCTTCTCATCTCTGCTGTTAGTTAAAGACAGCTGAAGATTTTATTAGTGCTATGAAAATCTTGAGAAATCTTGGTGTTCTTTCAAAACATATTCAGGTTTGTCAATTGTACTAAGATTTCCTTTGTGACATGATTAATTGAATGCCTTTTATTTTCATTATAAAATATAATGGATTGGGTCCAGGCTTAGTAAGTTTGGACCCACTGAAATCAATGAGGCTTAACTAACTTGTCCTATATCTCTCAGTGAGTGTACTCTAAGTGTTAATTAGTCTGAGTCCAACCCAGGGATTAATATTAATGTGATTCTCATCAACAGCAATATTTTCCTGTTAAATACCAGGAGACCTACCTTCAAATATAATTGTTGTTGTTTTCTGTGTTTTTTAAAAAGGCTTTGATTCTCATCCTGGCAATTGTCCATGAAAGTGGATTTGCTAATTATACTTGCCATTGCATTGCTGTGCATATTTCATATGAGGTCATATGATAAATTCTTAAGTATGGTTTAAGATACCAAATATATAATAGATTCGTAACTACTCATTGCAAAAATTTCATTATCTATAATGTAAGTTTATAATATGGACAATGTTTGTCTTGCTCACCTCTGAATGTATAAGTTATGTTTACTGTTTTTCTATAAGAAAATGTTATAATTTAAGTGTGCATATCATTCCAGACAACCAAAGCTTTGGCATATTTTTGATCTGCTCTTAAATAAAAGAGTCAATAGCAACAGATAGTGTCTGTTCTGTGTATTCTATAATAAATTCTTAACTCTCACTTTACTTTTCTGTTCTAATAAACTACAAGTGTTTAAAATAAATTGCGGTAGACATGCACCACTTTATATTGGAAAACACTTAGGCCCGACACATTAATATTTTGCATGAGAAAGGTGAGTTGGAAATGTCCTTGTGTTCTGTGCCCCAGTAACCACCTGTTAGATTGCTATGATTGGTTGTATCCAATGGTGTCCATGTGTAAGCAGAATGGATTTCCACATGCACTTTGACTTCATTTTCTTCTCCACACCCCCGCTTTGCCCCAACCCTACTCTGTAACCCCAAAAAATGTATTTCAGAGATTTGGAAAACTTAGGAGATTTGAAGGGAGGCATGAAGACTACAGGAGGGAGGTGAGGAAGAAGAACTCCACTTGTACAGTACTGAGTTTCACCCAATAACATGTTGCACACTGAGCTTTGAAAATGTCCGGAAAAGTACTGAATATGGCAGCAAAGACTACTGACTGGGAATGTTAATGCAAGCATATTATGCCAGTACTCTTATCACCTTCTCTGGCTTCTAGTACATTTCCTAGCCCAATTCAAAGTACTGGCTTTGGCATTTAAAGTCCTTCATGGCTTGGGGCCTCAGTATTTGAAGGATCACTTCTTCTTGTATGTTCCTGGCCATGCTTTGAGATCCTTGAGGGAAGCCCTCTTCTGATTGCCCCTGCTAGATGCTGAGAAATGACCTTCTCAGTGGTGGCCCCTTGTCTATGGAACACCCTGCTGAAGAAAAATTCATCAGGTAGGGATGCAGGTGGCACTGTGGGTCAAACCACAGAGCCTAGGACTTGCCGATCAGAAGGTTGGCGGCTCAAATCCCCGTGACGGGGTGAGCTCCCATTGCTTGGTCCCAGCTCCTGCCAACCTAGCAGTTCGAAAGCACATCAAAGTGCAAGTAGATAAATAGGTACCGCTCCAGTGGGAAGGTAAACACCGTTTCCGTGCACTGCTCTGGTTCACCAGAAGCGGCTTAGTCATGCTGGCCACATGACCAGGAAGCTGTACACCAGCTCCGTTGGCCAGTAAAGCGAGATGAGTGCCGCAACCCCAGAGTCATCCGCGACTGGACCTAATTGTCAGGGGCCCCTTTACCTTTATTACTAGCAAGGACTTTTTGCAAGCTCCACTGATGTGGTTTTGTGTCCAAAATACTAATTCTAAGATCAATGCTGATTTACTCTTTTTTCTTTATTATTTTTTGTAAGAAAGGGCCCATAAAATGTACTTAAAGCTTGCAATCAATTGGCAAACCACTGCTGCAAAAAAAAGGTGATTGTTATATGTATATATTTTAATTGTACTGCATTCATTTACACACATGGGTGTAACTGCAAAAGCACACTAACAAAGAAAAGTAGTGATAGGTAAACAAACCTGCAATTTACATGTCTGGTTATATTTCATCTGTAGCTGTTATACTGATAGTAGGAGCCCAGATTGCCCCCCCCCCCCCGCAAAAAAAAGCATTTACTCAAAGAAATGGTCAGTATGGTGTAGCATTTGAGCAGTACTCCACAAAGGCAATACTCTAGAAATAGCCCTTGATATGGTTACTAAGGGATATGTAGAATACATTACTTTTTCCACTAACATCAGTACAGGTAAAGTGTATGTGTCAATGCATGTATGTGAAGTTAATGTACGTGTCTGTTTTGCCTTGTTCACATATAATGGTTTCATCATGCACAAATAACAAGAGGTCCCCCCCCAAAAAAAACCTCATGTTGGAAAAGATGTTTCGTGTGATACAGGCTATGCTTCTAATGATTCTGAACCACTTCTTGTTGACAGATTCTGACCGACGTCCTGTACTTTTTCGTTCTGTGGGTTTTGAGATGTTTTTCTTATAGGCTTAAAATTCTAGTGACCCAAAGTGCTGGAAGAAGCCTTTTCTCACTCATTTCCCATTCCCTCCTTGCTTTCACACCCACTAAAACATGTTCATGTTTTTCCTGCCTTTTTAGTTTTGGGAAACTTTCCATCTAAATTATTTGGAGAAAGCTAAGGCCTTCAGTGCATATGTTTGAAGATCTCTCTTTTTTCTTTTCTCTTTTTCCTTCTATTGCCAGATGTTTTATGCCTTGCATATATCTCTAAATTGTTCTCTGGCTATTTTGAAATACAAAAGTCTAAGACATTTATGTATATGTATATGTATATGTATATGTATGAATATATATATGTATATGTATGTATATATATATATATATATATATGCATGCGCATGACATTTCTGGTAGCATATTTTAGTCAAAATAATTCAGTATTTGAATTTCTTAACCAGCTGATTGAAATCAAGTAGCATATGGTCTTTTTTTTCTCCCCACTGTGTAGCTCCTAATAGCAGTGAGATGGTACAGACCAAGTGGAACTTTTCTCAGAGAAAGATGTACATTTTAATTTACTACCATTTCATACAGCAACCATTCATTCACTACCTTGCTGCAGTACTGCAACAACCATTAATGCTTTATGCCAACCTTACACCATGCTTCACTTGCATTGTTTGTATTATATGGTGGTAAGGAAAATGCAGATTGCTAGTTAAAATAAAGGTGAAAACTTTCTTGGAAAACTGTGCCTCAATATCCAGTGGCAAAGGTGTTCAGTCCCCACAGCGGTTTCATTCATTGTTATTATTACTAATATGTATTATAAGGTAGATGGATACATACTGGTTTAGATATGTTTTACAGCTTTTCTAATATTCTCCCTGCATTGCATAATAGTGTTTGTGTTGTCCTATTTCCTTTGTGGCAATGGATCTTTAAAGTGTGCACACTGATTTTGATTAGTTTCTATGCTAGGGTAAAATGAGCTCACTATCTTTTTTTAGGTTTCTGCTAAACAATTTTTTTTAAGTAAGCTGTTTCATGCTGTTTGTTCTCTTGACTTGCTCAGATTTGCACAAGTAGAGCTGTAATTGTTAAACAAAAATCTAAATCTTCATCTTCCATTTGACAGAATCCACATATCAAAACCATGCCTATTTAATTCACTGCTCATAATGAGCATATAATGCCCCACACATTCAGCGCTATTTTTTTATATTAGAAAACAACCCTTCATGCATTCAGTGGCAAATGGAATAAATGGGTAACTGGAGAAGCCTTTGAACCCTGGAATGTAGTCGTCATGCTTCTTCAATATTGCAGAGGCCAAAATACTCTTTATGTTACACTATCTACCTTTACCACAAGGTAGGAGTTGGCTTCAGACTGACCATTCTGCCACTTGGGAAAGGCAGCAATCACCCCAATGCAATATCACTGTTTTAAAAAAAAGTTGGTCACGTGTACAGGCAGGTAGCTTATGTTTTTAGTCTCTGAATTACCAACGTGACAAGCAAAAATTCAGCAGGTACAATGTCCAGCATGTTGAACTTCTGCCTGCTATACAGCTGAACACTTCATGCATGAAAACAGGAGGAAAAGTAGGGTCTGACGCCCACTGGTGAGTGTTGCATATGGAAATATTTACTAAATAAAACTACATCACATTTGTATCTCCATAGTCACATTTCAAGTAGAGAACACTAAGACTCATAAAAGGGGGGTGGGTGGGTTAGATAATTAACCCTACACAGGACATATTAATATCTAAATACAGCTTTGTCTGCTAATTCAGGATGGTGCTACGTCGGGGGAGAAATGGAAATTACTGCACAATTGTAAACAGCAAAACAGGTTATCCTGACTGATAGCATTATTAAATCCAGGGGCTTTTGTGTAAGATGTGTAACAAGCAAAAATTCACCTGGCTCAGTATCCCCTAGCATGTTAACTCTCCGCCTGCTAATACAACTGTTATATACACTGGACTTTCATCTGAGTAGATATGGGAACAAAGTTTGTATCTGGATTTGTTGCAAGGCCCGCTCCCTGTCTTCCTGCTATGTGACCCATTAATGCTGAAGAGTAGCTATTTTAGGTTGGGGGCCTTTTCTGCTAGAAATAACAACCCCCCAGGGCACACGGCAGGTAAGGAGCATTGTACAGTGTGGGCTGTAGATCATTAATGACACGTTTGAGTGGTTTCACCTAGGAGTGATAGGCAATAAGAAGTGGTGTTCTGTTATTTTTTTTCTTCTAGATTAGCCCTATGGTAGATTATTTCTCAGTATGAGAGCGTGTGTGCATGTGTGTGCTTGCCAATTTAGGATTGCACTTGAAGCAACTGTTGAACAAGTCTGGTCCACGAAAACCAACCCCATAATAAATTTGTTAAGTCTTTAAGATGCCACAATAGTGTTTTTGCTGTGGCAAACAAGAACTGCTGCTCCTCTAGAAATTGTTTTCTGCTATCAGCTAATTTTTAAAATAAAGCAGAATGAATTTGCTAAGGATTCTTTAGATAAACAAGGTTGCAATATAACATTGCAAGTATTTCTAAATTCCTATAATTTATACTAAGTTCTATAAGGTTCATAGCTGCCAGTTTTCAATACCCTAGCAATGAAAAGCAATATTTTTAAATGTGCAGGTCCTTGTTCATTGCCAAGAGTTGCCATAGGCGTGATGATAGTGTAAACGGTAACATAGTTCCCTAATGTTAATCCTTATTCTTAGTTTAGCATGACCTGTTTTTCTTCAAATCAGGCCAGGGCTAAGGAGTGAATTAGACTTAGCATGCTAATGCACAAAGTACCTGAACACATCATAATTCTTAAAGAGGTAACGGTGGTGCATAAGTCGTCTCTTTAAAAAGGCGATGGTAGGCATAAATCTTGACTAAGCACACATGGAATAGCAAATGGCTATTAGCAAACTGGATATTGCAATGTGTTTTCCTGTTGTTTTAAAAAAACAAAATTAAATTTAAAGAAAAAAGGGGAAATGCTGAAATACACCACTTCCTTAATTTTGTCTATAGGCTGCAATAGTACACACACACACACACACACACACACACACACCCCACTGCCACCAAATACGCAGATATGTAATTGAGTGTGGCTGAAAAAAAGTGAGTTGGAAGGGCCTGTCTGATACCACCTGCTGACAGTGTCATAAGAGCCCCTTGCCAAAGCAAAAGTGGAGAAATAATAGGAAAGGAGGTACTGCCATATCATAACCGTGTTAAGTTGAATGACTAGTATCTTGAAGGGTGCTGAAGCACGACTCAAGGCCACACTCACCCTTGAATCTCACTGGCTGACTTTGAACCAGTCTTTGCTTATCAGCCTAGCTGACCTCACAAGTTTGTTGTGAGAATAAAAATGAGGAGTCCTGCATATTGGCTTGAGGTCCTTCAAAGAATCATAGAATCATAGAGCTGGAAGAGACCACAAGGGCCATCGAGTCCAACCCCCTGCCAAGCAGGAAACACCATCAGAGCACTCCTGACATATGGTTGTCAAGCCTCTGCTTAAAGACCTCCAAAGAAGGAGACTCCACCACACTCCTTGGCAGCAAATTCCACTGTCGAACAGCTCTTACTGTCAGGAAGTTCTTCCTAATGTTTAGGTGGAATCTTCTTTCTTGTAGTTTGGATCCATTGCTCCGTGTCCGCTTCTCTGGAGCAGCAGAAAACAACCTTTCTCCCTCCTCTATGTGACATCCTTTTATATATTTGAACATGGCTATCATATCACCCCTTAACCTCCTCTTCTCCAGGCTAAACATGCCCAGCTCCCTTAGCCGTTCCTCATAAGGCATCGTTTCCAGGCCTTTGACCATTTTGGTTGCCCTCCTCTGGACACGTTCCAGTTTGTCAGTGTCCTTCTTGAACTGTGGTGCCCAGAACTGGACACAGTACTCCAGGTGAGGTCTGACCAGGGCAGAATACAGTGGCACTATTACTTCCCTTGATCTAGATGCTATACTCCTATTGATGCAGCCCGGAATTGCATTGGCTTTTTAGCTGCCGCGTCACACTGTTGGCTCATGTCAAGTTTGTGGTCAACCAAGACTCCTAGATCCTTTTCACATGTACTGCTCTCAAGCCAGGTGTCACCCATCTTGTGTTTGTGCCTCTCATTTTTTTGCCCAAGTGCAATACTTTACATTTCTCCCTGTTAAAATTCATCTTGTTTGTTTTGGCCCAGTTCTCTAATCTGTCAAGGTCGTTTTGAAGTGTGATCCTGTCCTCTGGGGTGTTAGCCACCCTCCCAGTTTGGTGTCATCTGCAAATTTGATCAGGATGCCCTTGAGTCCATCATCCAAGTCGTTGATAAAGATGTTGAATAAGACCGGGCCCAAGACAGAACCCTGTGGCACCCCACTAGTCACTCTTCTCCAGGATGAAGATGAAAGGTGGTTTGCAGATGTAATAAAGCTGTGCATCTCCTCTGAAAGCCGCTCCCTTAATTCCAGATGTTTGAGGCAAAATGCCCTTTTATTTTGTGAAGACAACTTCCTGCGGAGTTCAGCCATATCAGCAAGAGAGTTGTTGGCGGGGGAGGTAACCCAAGGCCCAGCTATTTTGCAACAGCCCCCTGGATCTCCTTGTGGTAAAGGCCATAACATCTGCTTTGAATTTAGAAGATCTCAGGTTCCGTCACCTGCATTTTAAGGTAGTACTGACTCATGGAGAGCATCTGCCAGTCTGTGTAAAAAATGTTGATCTAGACCATAGGTAGGCAAACTAAGGCCCGGGGGCCGAATACTATCCAATCGCCTTCTAAATCCGGCCCACGGATGGTCCGGGAATCCGTGTGTTTTTACATGAGTAGAATGTGTCCTTTTATTTAAAATGCATCTCTGGGTTATTTGTGGGGCATAGGAATTTGTTCTTCCCCCCCCTTCAAAATATAGTCCGGCCCTCCACAAGGACTGAGGGATAGTAGACCAGCCTCCTGCTGAAAATGTTTGCTGGCCCCTGATCTAAATGAATCAATGGTCTGAGAAAGCTTCCTGTATTGTTCCCACCCCAATAAATTTAGCATATAGAGCCCCCGGGTCTATTGTAATGTACAGCGCTTGTGAGCCTGCAGCCACCTCACATCTAAATGTGCCAGAGGCATCCCTACACATCAGGGGTGGCTCATCTTGTTTTGCTGCCCGAGGCAAAATGGGAACTGCCACTGCCACCCTGTCCTGAAGCCTCACTTACCAGGGTTGCACAGCTGCCGTTTCCTGCAAGATCACCTTAGACTTCTACAACATCTCATCGGAAGCCAACACTTCTCTTGCGATAGGGACGAGTGGGGCACCCATGGGGGCAAGAGCCCTGTGGGATTCTGCCGCCTGAGGCGGCCGCCTCAGTCTGCCTCACGGACGTGCTGGCCCTGCTGCATATGTGCATTCACATCTCTAAATTATCACCCCCGCTCCCAATCCTGATTAAGTACTTAGCAATGCCCCTGCATAGCAGTTAGCCGAGGTACATAAAAAAAAGAACCTGATGGGAATCTTTCTGGCACCTTGAGGCTTTACTGTTACCTAACTTTTCGCAGACTAAAGGAAAAAGTTACACTGCAATAAGGCTGCAATTCTAAATGCTTGCACTGAGAGTCCGTGCACCACGGAAATAGTGTGGTTTACTTCCGGGAAAGCATGGCCAGGCTCATGCTGCCAACCTGCTAGGCTTTTAAGGTACAGAGTCTAGCCAGAGCCCCCCAACCATCAAGTAAATAAATAAATAAAAATATTTAAAAGTAGGAATGGGCTATGCTTACTGAATATGCACAAGAAAAAGGAGGAATTTGAGAAGGAAGTGCCGAAAAGGTTTTCAGCAAACCCAAGAAAGCTTGTTTTAGCACTTTAAAAAAGAAGATGAAAACAGGTGTGTTCTTTGTAGTTTTGCAAGACTCATTTACCGAGAAAGGAACTCCCCGATGTTGTTATTGTTGTTATTTAACTTCCTCGTTTTCGAATGACTGAAGATTTGGGGCAGCCTTTTCACTGAGTCCTTGGGGTCCAAAGGAAGTAATTTAAAGGTGGAGTCCTTTCATCCCGAATCTGCAGTTAGACAGAGCCATGCAGAGGAGGAGGACCAGGCGGGTGTCCTGCTCCCCCCTTTAAATAAATCCTGATCACCCCCCTATTTTAAGGCGCCCCAAGACTTGCCCTTTCCGCCTTGGGGACGTCGCCACCTGCTCCATCTGGTGGCTCGAGCGCAAAGGCGCGCGCAGGGACCCCGAAACGGCCGCCTCGCAGGGCGGCTCCATGCAAGGCCCCCGCGAGCCGGAGAAGGTTCAAGGACTCGCCAATCCCTGCGCCGCCTGCAGGCCGGAGTCCGTCTCTCCAGGAAGGCGAGCGAGTGAGGCGGCGGCGGCGGTGGGCGGGCCAGAAGCAGCGAACAGGCGGACGGGGAGGCAGGCGCTGGAGCAGCTCCTCCGCCTCGCCAGCCACACAATCCCCGCCCCGGGCCCGCCGAATAAGAGCGCGGGGCGGGGCGGCCGGCCTCTCCTCTCTGGCTGGCTCGCCGTCGCAGCGTCGCCGGCGGCCGGGACGCGGCCCCTCAGGCCCCGGCACCCTGGAAGGCAGGTAGGCGAGCAAGCGAAGGGGCGCCGCCGCCGCCGCTGCGGCAAGGAGAGTAAGGTCGGGGTGGGCTGGGCTGAGGAGAGGCCGCCGCCGGCTGCGGATGCGCCAAGAAGGCGCGCGCTTTGCACCTCGGAAGAGCCCCGTGAGCAGAGCCGGTGAGAAACGAAGGGCTGGGTGAGGCTCCGGCGAGAGCCGTGCCCGCGAGGCGAGGAGGTCTAGCGGCCGAGGAGCCGCGCGCGCCCGGCGACCGAGGTGCAGCGCACCGCCTGTGTGTGTATCTGCGGGCGCGCGCGGGCGCTTGTAAACACTTGGGTTGTGTGTACGTTTGTCTCCCTTCGTTACACGCCGCGGGATTCTGGCGGTCCGCTTCGTTGGTGCGATGTAGCCCAAGCCTGAAAGGCAAACTGCCTTCGTGCTTTCATGAATATTCTTTCCAGTGGTGCTTGTGTGCGCCCATAAGTAGATAATACATTTGCATTTAGAAAGTGCGTGTGTTGTTGTTTTTTTCCTCAAGTGCCGGTCTGAAAAATCCTATTCCAGCTTGTGTAGGTTATATACATTTATGTTAAGTGTGTCTTAAGTGTGTCTGTACGGACTGAGCATAAATCATGTGCATATGTGTTTTTTTTTATATGGCATGTGCTCAGAAATGCCAGCCTTGCAACACATGCGCCAGGCTTTAGAACACACACTCTCTTCTCTAGCTTCTGGATAGTAGGTTTTTTTAAAAAAAGCTGCTAGAGTACACCAATAGTTATGTAGTATTGTGTGGCCTCTCTTAAGACTGTTGTACTTAGATGGGCACATTATTTTGCAATTGTATATGCAGTAAGGTGTTGTCTAGGTTGTGCAATATATGCTACATACAATATGAAGTCCAGACTTATAGACGCAATCCATGTGTGTTTGTTTATTTCAGTGTGGCATGAGGGTCTTTGATCTTGCGCTGCTCTCTGTGCTTTGCGTAGGGAGGCGTCATGTACTATTTTTTTCCCTTGCAAGAAAATGCCAAACATTTCTACACAATGGCAGGCCTTTGTAGGTAGCAACGTTGTTTAGCTACACCACACTCTGTGTTTCCCATGGTCTTGCAGAAAGAAATGGCAAAGCATTAAAACAAAGCAGGTGCCGCCCCACTGCAAGTTTAATTTCAGCGAATAAGGTGACCGAAATTAGTTGCCTGCTGCTGTGCAGCCTCTGCCTCTCAGTCTGCTGAAATGCATCTCTGTCATCGCTGAGCTAGAGTACTGAAGCTGTGCCAAGGAATAGTGCTGAAGCGTAGTTTGTGTGCTGTCTCCCTCTCTCTGAGTGTGCTTCAATGACTCTCCTTGGTGCTGCTGCTTTGACTCATTGTCCATAAAAGGAAGTAGCACTATGGAGAGCTCTTGGCAGCCATGGATTTCTCTGCATGACAGACTGGAATCTTTCTGACCCCATTCTCATGAAGCCTGATCTTCACCGTTGCATACCGTTTTCATTGCATCTCTGTTCCGCAGAAGCTCCTTCATGTTGGTGACCAGGAGCCACGCATGGCAAAAGAGAGGTTGTAGCTTCTAAGGAAGTTAAAGGTTAACACCTTTATTCAACAGCAATGATAAACCATGGTGGTTGCCCAAGTACAAAATATTTTCAGATTATACAACTGTTATATATTTCTAGCAAAGGTCCCCTTTGCTGCCACCTTAAGCTACCCATATTTATGCATATTTTGAAATTCCAGAAACCTCTGTTCTAAAGCATTATCAGCAACACGACTAGAAGTGTGAAGGCCTGGGAAAATCCATGGGAAAACTGATCCCCTCCCCAAAAGCCTTTTGTTTTGCTTTGTTTTTTTCTGAAAAAAGAGTTATTAAATATTTTGTTCATAATTCTAAAATAAAATATTTCATAACAGCTTGTAATATATTTAGTACTCTCCCCAAATAAGAATTCTAAAACTGTGTAACCGGAGGACTTATGTAAGACTGTGTACAGTATCATATCCTTACAATTCCAGTATACTAAGAACAGACAAGTTCTGAGTTGTACTTTGAGAGTTCAACTCTCAAATGCAAAATGAAGATGCATTTCTGCCTCTTGAAGGGCACAGCCATTGTCACAGCACAGGGGAGAAAGAGCCAGTACCCTATTTGCTTGTGGACTTGGCCTTGCTGGCATAGTTAGTGGATCATTTTCTTTCCTTCTGACTAGGCCTCAAAAGTTCTGGGAGTGGCAGAAAGTACAGAGCAAAATAATTTTGTTGCAACTCAATTCATGCTGCTACAGATCCTTTGGACCCAAGATTAAAAGGCAGAATGTTAAGTGATGATGGCTTCCTCATTTGACTGGATTACAAAACAGGCAGTACACCTGGGGCTTGGTGTCGGAAAGATGCTTTGAAATGTTGCAGAGCACAGAACATTTTCAGGTGTTTGGTCAAGGAGTCTGGGATTCTGCCAAGCAATATTCCTCCTACAACGAAGAGACAAGGCCTTTGCTCAACACAGCCTCTGAGTCTTCATGTTTATTACCTACTTCAGATCCCTCCATTTTTTGCAGCATGTAAAATAAGCTGCCCTATGTTTGAAAATGCACCAAATCAAGAAATAAACTGACATGTTGAAAGAGTAGAAGCATGTTTCAGTCTGGGCAAATCTTCAATTGTTGGAAGCCCATGATTAATACAATAACAAATAAGAAGAAAGAGAACTGATAGTGATAGCTTAGAAAAAGAGACTGATTAAATTCCATGTAATACTCAATTCATTTCATCCTCCATCCCCTTTTTCTCAGCTCTTTATATGGAAATGGATGGTTTATGTCTGCTTGACACAGTGGAGAACTGGAGGTGATAAAATAATTTCCCAATAAATAATAATTTGTTTTGGTTGTGTTTGGATGTTGATGGTTTCTGTTTTTGCCTGTTCCTCATAAACAGGCAAAACCAAAGAGATGTTAGGTTCCTTACAGTTTGGCAGTAGCTTGTAGCTAAATTTCTAACAAAAACTTAAAAACAAATTCAATTTGTAATTATTGTCTAAATAAGCTATACTGCTAATTTATCAGACATGAGAATTACATGGTAAACCGAGTTATGTATAATACATTTTATGTTACCAAAGTAACAAATTGACTTTCAATATGTAAAGAATGCTTTTAAAAAAGGGAATATTTCATGTTTTCATCCCCCCCCCCAAAAGGTTCATTTTCCCACAGCTACAAAGTTTCCAGAAATTTTGCATCTCAAATCATAACCCACTTGGATGCAAAAATCCTGAGTTCTCTTTAGGCCCAGAAGCTCTGTATACAACTAGCAAAATCCAAAGACTGTCTTGAGCATTCTGTTTATGGGGAGTGTAGTGTATTGTGTCATCTTCACTATCTCACTTGCAATACATTTGTGCACATTTCTGGAGCACCAATGAAGCAAAAGTTTTATCATAGAATCATAGAGTTGGAAGGGTCATCTAGCTGAACCCCGTGGAATGCAGGAAACTCAGCTAAATCATCCATGACAGATGGTCATCAGTGTACAAATGCAATTTGATTTGCAAGTTGCATTAGGCCTCTTCTGGTAACTAATGTGTGAGTACATGCTGGCTGACCTTTCATACTAGACACTGGCACCAATCCAGAGGTGACCCAATGAGGGGGATATAGGGCTCCACTGTTGTATATTTACTGGGTTTTTATCCCAGCCTTCCTCCAGAAGGAGCCCAGGGCAGCCATACAACATTAAGTTAAATAATACACAAACTAAAACACAAACCAGCAACCTCAAAGGCTTCTAAAAACTTCAGGTACTCAATGCCTGGGTGAATTAAAACATTTTGAGATTCACTAGAAAGGGAGTTCCATAATCAGGTTGCTGCAGAAAAGCCAATCTGTAAGTCTCCTCACCTGCCTTTTCTGCGTACTGTCCATTTGTGGCACCACTATATGAATCTACTGTGTTAATGGGTGAGTGTTTCTATCTCAGTGAAGGGAGCCCTGCGCATATAGCACCCATATGCACACCCCACACCCAGACCCTGCTTCAGAATGACACTGACTGTAGAAGTCTGCATCTATGGAGTGGGGCTAGCTGGTGCCATCTTGGAAGCCCCTCTGTGGAGTTTTAATGCACGGGTGCTAAATGACTCAAGGGGTTTAATCTGTGTGATTACGGTGGTTAAGTGTGCATTTCATCAAAAGAAACACTGCAAGCCCCGGTTGTGAAAAACTATCACAGTTAAAAGAAACAGCCAGAGTTGTTATGCTGCAGGTCTGATTTGAAAAAGCTATTTATAGTATTTTGTTATATGTGCCAGAGTTTGTGTCTGGGGTGCTTAATGCAGCCGGAATGATATATCCTGTGTATACAGATCCATGCAGAACTGTCTAATCAAATACAGGCAAGTGGTTCTGCTTGGCAAATCCCACAAAACGCAAGCATGCGCATGTATGACGTAAAAAGCTTTCAGTCATTGGGTTTGAATGTAACTACACGCTGCAAGCATTAGGAAACATCTGTTGCTTAGGGATTGTAGTGGCAAGGGACTAAGGCTAGCCAAAATGATCCCATTTTTCACAGTGAACCAGTTTAAATAATCACCTGTGTGAGAAACATAATTGTTCCATGTATATTTTTCGTGGCAAATAAAATGAGGGAAAACGTTTCTGTTGCTTTTCTCACCAGTATTGATACCTTATATAGGCCTAAGAGATCTGTGCTTTTCTTAGGACAGTATGGACAAGTTGCAGTATTTAGAGGAGATAATTCCATCATCACTTGAGAGTATGTAAACAAGGAATTCCATGACGTTTTCAACCACATCCTCATGTCTGACAGTCTTGGGTCATTCACAGGTTACTGTGCTTCTTGATAGAACTGTGGACCAGTGGTGCTGACTACCTTCCTATTCTTAACAACATTGGCTATCACACTGTGTACATTATCTGGGATTCTCCTCTAAGGAGATGGACAGTGACAGAAAACTGACTGCCCATGCAACAGTTTTTGGGGACTTCAGTGACTGCTATCCCTTTCAAAGCCAAAACATGACTGCCCTAGATTCATGGATAGATATGTATGTTGTGTGTCCTGGAAGCTTCTGGAGCAGTTGATTGCATGTGAAATCCCAGCCCATTTCTTGTCCTGGCTGACGCTTCCTTTTCAATCTTTTGGGAGAGAGCTCGTAGTCAAGAAAGTTGTTTTCGGTTGTATGGGCTACAGGAGAGTAACAAAATGCTATTTGTCTGTAGTGAATAGTGCCAAGGTGAGAACAAGGTTATCAATAATAATCTGTCTTCTCCCCCATCCTCAACACTTCCTCAGTCACCTGTCAACATGAAGTTCTCTTTGTTTATACACATCTCTGGGCTCACAAGTGTTTCTCTGTGTGTATATGTGTGCATTATTTTGCTGTCATATATAGTTATGCAAAACTTCATCCTGTCTACCTATTAGATATGCCACATACATACTTTGTACACTTTGTACCTGCATGTGCAATACATGTAGAACTGAATGCACACAACCACACTCTTAGTGTCAGCTGTCATGCCAAATACCAAAGATCTCTGTATAAAAACACGTCGCACATCAACACATGGAAAGCAAGTGTCCTTCCAATATTATTTGTACAGTAAAGCAGGAGAAAATGAGCAAATATTACAAAAGCTTGTCAGTATGGGTGGGAGTTCTGCAGCAGTAGTGATGTAAAAAACTTCCCTAATACCTAATAGCCATACCACAGCTTTCCATTGTTGGGAACCATGCTCAAGGCCAGATTGAAAGCAAAAGTTGCAGTGTCTTAAAACATCACTGGAATGTAGGAGACAATTGCAGCAGGTAACAGTCACTATAAACAACAGAATTATCAGGTAATCAGTTTCTGAACAGGTAAATTAAAATCCTGTCACAATACAAGTACCTTAAGTTGACAAATTGGCTTTTCCTCTGCCTGTAGTCGGGCTTCCATGAAAGACTTTTAACAGAATGCATCCTCTGTGACACAAGTCATGGGGGAAGTGTGGGTGTTCTACATGTTTTCTGTCATATGTAACACACTATGTGTGGCCCATGGATGTGTAATATTGGCATGTCAGTGACCCACAGACTGGACAGGTGTGCTGCCGTCGTGCCAACGCTATATGTGTGTGGATCAGTACTCATGGCAGCTACGTTCAGCATTAGAAATTCACTAGGCGCCAGGTGCATTTTGCACTTGGCTATCAGACACTTGCAACCTAGTGAAGATGCCCAGGCACCAGAATGGTGCCTGACTTCTCCACCATCTGGAGGTGTGTGCCTGGGGATCCTTGAATCTTGACTGTTTTCACACACTAGCAACATATCCTGGAGAATTCTATCCATCATATTTTATCTGAACAATCAGAATGAATTTCAAGAACCAAAAAGTTGTATGGAAAAATAGGACTTCCAAGCCATCTGGCCCAAAAACTGAAAATAGGCATTCCATTTTGGTGACTGTAACCCTGGTTGAAGGAGCCATTTGGCACCTAGCTTATATATCTTAGTTTCTAACACTGGAAGTTTAAATGTGACTGGGCATGTGGGATGTTTGCATGTGTATGCTTTTGCATGCAGCATGGGGCACGGAGGGCAATGCCATGAAATGCCATGCTTCCATGAATGACTTCTGCTTACACAACATAATTTCTTTCCCCCACCCACCCCCATCTCACAGGGGGAGGCAGAGGGAAGGGATGTTCAGTTGCACAAATGAAAGTCCTTGTGCTGATGGGATGGCCTTGTTGTATACAGCACAGAGTAAGTCGGGACTTAGTAAGAAGTCTGAAGAACTGCTGCTCTGAATGAGAACATAATTCTGGTGCAGAAAGTGAGCCAAGTTGATCTTGCTAGGCACCGTTGCCTATATCTGTACTCAGGGTATTTATTTTTATCCCTCCATTTAAGGCACCTTACAATAAAAATGTTAAAAACAAAACAATTGAACCAAAAAAAATAAGAGAAAAATAGCATCATATGAAATCATATTTAGGAGTCCAGCATAAAATCAGTAAAATGTCTGATTTGTCATTTGAACGTGCAGATGCATTATATTGAGAATCCTGCCTCATTAAGATATCAGGTGATTTTTAGACTACAGCTTTCTCAATTAATCTAAATCCTATGGATGTGAAAGCATGTGCAGTATAGATTTGAATATTTTAAGGGTGTGTTTGGCGTTATGGAATATGTGCTCATTTTCAGCATTTATTTGTACTTGCCTTTCAGAGGACTTCAAGCCTTTTGAGGTGTTGAGGTGTAACTGGAATAGAGATTTAACATCTGGTTAGTTTACAACCTTTCACTTTCAGATTGACTGTTGGAGATAAATGTTAACCTCTAATTTTGTACCTATAGTCGATCAGTATATTCTGCAATCTTTCTTTGCCCTTCAGTAGTAAACTAACACAACTTCAGTCACTCTTATTTAGTAGCAATATATTTATTTATGTGTGTGTGTGTGTGTGTGTGTAAAAGCATACCTAATCTGTGTTGTGATCTTGAGAATGTTTCAGTACCATTCCTCAAGGTTCTTAGTTTTGCCATTATAGTCAGAAACTGAATCTCCATTGTGATGTAAAATGCTTATGATACCATTGTTTCCAGAGATGCCTTTTCCTGCATTCATCTCATGGGCTGCTATCTCATCAGACTGACACGAGGGAACTATTTTAGAATGAATGTAGTTGGAGTCAGTCTGAGGCCATACTGGACAAGACACCATTCACATAATTGCTTTTTAAAAAGCAAGTGTGTGTGTCTGTATATGCATGTGTGATCCAGATCAAGACCTGGTGGAGTAAGAAGGGCTTTAATCCTTTTCACCCCCTTGTATACCTGGCCCAGATTGGGCCCTTTGCACCACCTATTTGTATTAAACTGTACTAATGAAAGCTTTTCTTCAAATGTTAATAGAAGCTGTGGCCCCCACAGTTCATATTGGGACTGTAGTTGTGGGGCAGGCAGTGTAGAGGCTAAAGCCTCCCTAACCATTATCAAGGTCTGCTGTTAACTTACTCTTTTTTTTTTAAGTCATTCACATAATTCAGTGGTTGCCAATCGTTCTGGACCAGTGGCATATTTAGAATTTTGGAGGCCAGTTACGAAATGGCTGGAGGTGTGGCATTACCAAAATTTAGATTGAATGCAGTTTCCCCATCACACCCCATCCCTGGACAAAACGATGATGTTAGGTTTTGTGCAGTTTACTAACCTTCTAGTTTACATTGGGGCGGTGAGTCTGTGTCCTTCCAGATGCTGCTTGACTCCAGCTCCCATCATTCTTGGCCACTGATGATTCCAGCTGGGGCTGATGGGAGTTGGAGTCCAGCAGCGTCCGAAAGGCTGCCCTGGTTTGTATGAAATGCAGCGCAGTTCTGTGCTCACATACTCAGAAGTCGTTCCTGCTATGTTCAGTGGGACTTAGTCCTAGATAAATGTTTATATAAAATTGTGGCTTACATTTTTTAAAATCTGGAAACTATTTCTGTCTTAACATTTCCCCGAGGTTCAGGGCAATCTTCTATAGCAGGGGTGGCCAACTCTCAAGAGACTGCAATCTACTTTCAGAATTAAAAACTGGCAGTGATCTATCTCCATTTTGGGGGTTTTAGGGGTTACAAAAAAAGCTTTTTGGGAGGGCAGTTCCATTTTGGGGGGGGGGTTTAAAGGCAAGGGACAAAGGGGTAAAGTCACTCACAAAAAGATCACTGTGGATCAAAACAACAGCACAGAGAAATCTCCGTCTAGAGATCATACAACAATGGATGGTGGGGTGAGGGGGCATGGTAGGAGTCAGAGATCCACCATGGGGATCTACCAGTAGATCGCAATTGACTTGTTGGACATCCCTGTTCTATAGTGTCTCCTTCATGAAAGCACTTTTTGTATAGGAAGTGTGTATCTTCCAAGTCAGTATGCTTACTCTCATGTAACTGTGCTATAAAACAAAATGCTGCCTGTTCGTTTTGACCCTAGAGTCTGCTTGCTCCTAAACAACCCAGAAAAAACACACACCATAAAAATCCTTCCCAAACTGGCCAAGGCCCTTGAGAGTGGCACAGTTATGTCCTTGTTCTCCCGACACAGGGCAGTGATGGTTATAATCAATGGACAATTCTCTGCTGACATTTGAAATTGCAGTGGAACAGAGGGGAGGAGCAGAAGGTATTTTCAGTATATACGACCCAAGCTTCAGTTTTCCTGGAATATATTAGGAAGATAGTGCAAAATCTAGGAAGGGGCTTTTTTTCTATTCAATACCTGCAGTGGATTTGTTTTCATCCATGCTGTGCACATGTTCTGTGTTCCCAGTCATATTATTTTATTTATTTCATTTGAATAGGAAAAAACAACAGCCCGTGAAACATTAAAACCAAATATAACAACAGCAATAAAACAAAAACCTAAAATGTTAGTCTAGATATTTATATGTGTATATAAATGTTGACTTATACCCATCCCACTTAAAAGGATGAGCACAACAAGAGGCCATAGACATAATGAGTTAACTCTCCAATTTAAGGGCCAAAGACTTGGGTAAATAAGTGTTTTTGCTTGGCACCTAAAGACAGACAATGATGGTGCCTGGGGAGAGCATATTCCATAAGTGGAGGCCATCACTGAAAAGTCCATTCAGTTGCAGTATTACTACAACATTTGCAGCTTCCATAACAATACAGTCATATATCCGCTTACGTATCCCCCTGGATGCATAAACTTCGGGATGTGAACGTGGCAAACCCGGAAGTATTTCCCCGAGTTTCGCCACGCATGCATGCGCAGAAGCACTCTACACATGTGCAGAAGCGGTCCTCCGGTTGCAAATTCCTCGGGATGCGGCCGGACCTCCGGTATGGACCCCTTTCGCAACCAGAGGTACCACTGTATTTGAAACTCGCTTTCAAGGTTTCCTCCTTTCTGTTTTGACAATATATTACGTATTCTATAATAATGTTTATGAGCATATGTTTAGATGAGATGTGCCTCTCTTTACAGCTTGAAAAAAGATAAACCAGATGGCTAAAATGTGTATTTTGTTGGTATGAAATTCTACATTTTGAAATTTACTTAAAGCTATAAAAGTTGTAGGTTTTAGTTCTAGAAATTGCTATCTTGCTTCCTTTTCTTGGAATCTTAGACCTAAATACATTTGCTTAAAGTAAAAATGAGTCCATGAAAGATCAACAGAATATGTTTCCAAGTAACTGTGAGTAGGATTGAGAAAGAAGTCACAAATATAGATCTTTCGGAGTATATTTTCTTTTGATTGGTGTGTGTATAAAGCAAGCTGCTAAATGACCGAAAAATGTTTGGAAGACTCTATCATTGTTTGCCACTTGATTTGACATCCATATAGCAGATTTAGTGCAAATAACTTTCAAAGACGCCTTCCCATTCACCTGAAGCTTTTGTCGTGTCAAGTACTAGATAGATGCAATCAAGGTTGCCGATTCTCTTGGGGTCAGGCAGCTAGCTGTCTGTGAGCATTTCACAGTGAATAGAGATTATGGATCACGTACTCTTAATCTACTTTTGGAAGGTTTGTGTGAGGACATGCTGACTTTCCTCCCTCTCTAAACCAGATGTTAAAAAGGTAATGTTCACTGAGAGGTGGAAACAGACTTTTTACATAAATAAGCAGTCCCACTGAAAGTAATGAGAAATGTATATGATTGTAGTTAGATTACTTTTGTAGCTTTTCACTTGGCATGCACTAGTTGCTTCAGTGGTTCTTGAATAGGAGATATACAAGGTCAGACCAGCTTCAGAGGAAGCTGTTCTCACTGAGGTCTACATAGGAGGAAGCTCAATATACCTTCTGGGAAAATAGCTGCTTTTTAATGTGTGTGTATGTCTTCAAATTAGTGATATTTTGACCTTCACATCCACCAGTTCAGCTTCTGAACTGGGAGCATGTAAAAGCTTAAGATCTACTATTTTGCTAGTAGTCTCTGGTACTACATCTTTCAGACGTCCAAGTTGGGCTTAGTCAAAATGCCTTCAGCTGATCTGTTGTGTGGCTTCAGTACCAGGCAAGACCTGGGAATTGTGTTCACTGAAATCTTATTTATTGTGCACAGTATATAATGTTTGCATATCCATGGGGTTCTGCAGTGGTTATTGTGTCTGGCTTCACATTGTAGACAGGCCACAGTTCCCATTTTGGGAACAGAACCTGAGAGCTAAACAAGGTCTTTAAGGCTACAGGGCAAAAGTGGGACTTGAATCCAAGTCCAACTCTCTTACAATGCATGGCCTTACTCTGGCCCATGAAAATCTAAAGCATGGGTGGGGAACTTTTCCTTTCCTTTGGGGACTGGATGCTGGAAGTGGGCAGGACCAATGACAAAAGTGGGCAGGGCAGGCCACCCCTTCTTTCTCTCTCTGCCACCCCTTCTTTCTCTCTCTGCCACCCCTTCTTTCTCTCTCTGCCACCCCTTTCTCACTTTCTCCTTCTTCCTCGCTCGCTTAGGGGAGGGATGGATTGCTCTTGCCTCACACGTTCTTTTACCACTTAGCCCATTGGGGCTCTCTTTTCCCTCCACCCACACCACCTGGTTTCCCTTTTCCTTGCCAGACGTCTAAACTTGTTTGCTTGCAGACAGCTCCCCGCCTTGTTCCATTGCTCTGCCTGTTTTGGCTTCCTCTCCCCCCCCTCACTGTCCTCTTTCCCCCCTCCTCCTGGGTTTCCACCACCAACATGAAGCTGCAGGTTTTCCACCCCAGCCTAGTCTTTGGAACTTGGGATCACTTGAGAAATGGCGGCCCCAAAGAAACGAATCTCTATGTCGCTCTGTGCGTTGCAACACACTAATCAAACTGCTTTTTTGTTTTGTTTTTGTATTTCCAGGCTAGCCGATTCATATTTAAAATGGAAGTTGACATTAATGGGGAGTCCAGGTCTATCCTAGCTACTCTCCCGTTGCCTATTGCTGATGTGAGTGGCACCGGCAAGGCCGAGTCCGAGAAACCTCGCTGCTCCAGCACCCCATGTTCTCCGATGCGCCAGACTGTTTCAGGCTACCAGATCCTCCACATGGATTCTAACTATTTGGTTGGCTTCACGACAGGGGAGGAGTTGCTGAAATTAGCTCAGAAGTGCACTGTAGGGGAGGAGAACAAAGTCGAAGCGGTAGTGCCTACTTTGCGTTCCAAACAGCTCGATTCAGGACTTTCCCGCTCCTCCCGGGTGTGTAAAGCCAGAAGCAGGTACTACCAGCCTTACGAGATCCCGGCGATCAATGGCCGGAGAAGGCGGCGGATGCCCAGCTCAGGGGATAAATGCACCAAGCCACTACCTTATGAACCCTACAAGGCTTTTCATGGTCCTTTGCCTCTTTGCCTTTTCAAGGGTAAAAGGGCTCACTCTAAATCCCTAGACTACCTCAATCTGGACAGAATGAACATCAAGGAACCAGCCGACACAGACGTACTTCAGTATCAGCTCCAACACCTCACCCTAAGAGGGGACCGTATGTTTGCTCAGAACAACACATGAAGATAAATTGCCCTTGGCTCATCTTCGCATCAAAAAGCTCTTTACAAGGTGGACAAGCCATGCACGGGGTTCTTGGCTGCAGCAGCAAAGTGTTACCAGACCACTGTTTGTATGAGTTAAGATTATGAAGATAGCATGGGGTGGAAATCACGTGGAAGGAACTACTTGGAAATTCTGTCTGCAGATATCTTTAGAACAGTATAACAAAACAGGGGGTTTTGCACATGGATACCTGGACTTGACAATATAAATTCGGAAATCGGTGTACTATGACTTCTGTTTCTAACTGGACTCGCTGTAAGAAATTACTCATGGATAAGCACTGAACTACACTCTTACTTAATACTAAGCATATGTGTGTAAATGTAATGACTTTTGCATCATAGGAAAAATAAGTTTGAGTAAGCCCATGTGCTCTTTAAAAGAATCCAGTTTACATTTGCCGTAACTGGTTTTGCACTGGGGGAAAAGCAAAACGAAAAGCAAAAAAAGAAAAAGAAAAAAAAAGATGAAATTAAGCCTGAGTACTTAAGTTACTACAACTTTTAAAAAAATGTAATTGAATTACTTTTCAAGTTCCAAATTGATTTCATTGTAATTAAAACAAAAACAAACTTCGACTGTTTTGGAGAAAAATGGAATATTGGAAGGCAAACATTAACAGATTTTAATTTAGTTTTGTTTGTTTCTTTAAAAAAAAGTTGTCTTAACACCTACATGAGGATCTTTATGTTGTGTATATACATCGTGAACAGCTGCATCTGCATCTGCAGTATACAAATACTAGTTTAGATTCTAGAACTACCATATTACATTATTATTGTTGCGGGGAGGGTCTTGCTAGACCACATTTTAGCACTGCACCTGAACATTCCAGTTTATTTACAGCACTGAATACTACTTTTTAAACCTGGATTTGGGTTTGTTCGTTTGTTTTTTAAAAAGCCTTGAAGGCTTTTACTGGATTATGAATCATGTTGAATGCACTGATTTAAAATGTTTCTTTGAAAAATCATGTCAAAAAAAAATATCCTAATTTATCTTGGCTTAACCATAGCATTTAAAAATAATGGATAATTTTGTTTGTTAGTCTCTTTAGGATGTGCAGTTTATTACTGAAGCAGTGTACAACCGTTTAATGTTTTTGATCTGTAAGTTATTTAGAAGTGAAAGCTTCAATTTTGAAGAAATTGACTGTGAAACAAAATCATTTAAAAATAATAATAATAATAATTCCTGGCACTGTTCTGACTTTTCTGAGTAGAAAGACAGGGTCTCTTGGGAAGAATTGGAGAAGGGAGCACATGCTTTGGAAAACTAGGCTTTGTCTCATCTTTGACACCTTTCCCCCACAGTTATGTCGAACCTGCAGAATCTGTCAAAAGATTTTGTTTAACTTTGAGGGAGCGCTAGTAATTATTACAACTTGCACCGTTATATTGTAGTGAATAATGATTTCTTAAGGAACTATTCCTACATAGCTTTTAGTTTGACCAGAAGAATACCGTCCAATGCCAAAGAGGGTTTTTACACTTATTGATTAAACATTATTTATTGATTTTACCCTGTGGAACGACATTGTTGACTATGAAATAAAAAGGATGACGTGCATACTTTTATATGGTCCTGGCGTGTGTTGTTGCTTTGAGAGTTAGACACTTGGTGATGTGCCTAAAGTGTGTGGCAACACTCCCTTCCCCCGCCCCCCAACATTGTAATAGCAAGAAATGCTGCAAGCTGTGTTTGTGTAGAGCTCAGTTCACTCTGCTGTTTCCCTCTCTTGGTGATATTGTACATGGGAGGGTTTTTATGAAGAAGATGAGCTGCAAACTTTCTTGTCTTCACCTCACCTTGTTACTGTGTAAAATGGATAACTCCCAAAGCAGCCCTTTGCGGTCATGTGCAAAGTGGTCTTCTTTTGGCAAAGAAACAGACAATTCTAGCTTACCCTGCAAGACATAGGAAGGTTTGTGCTGTCCCAGCTGACTTCACTTTCGATCTCCACTGAAGGAGCTGGTTCCCCCTTAAGACCTTCGTGAAACATGGAAGTCAGAAAGCTGGGCCAAGACAGATGGAGGGGTGATGGATGGACTGTAGGTGTAGGACCCGGAAACATGGTCCTTCTCCATTTATTAGCTCTCTGCACAGGAGGACTAACATGCAAGTGGAGCTTCAGTCCTGTTCCTATTGGCAAAACCCGAGCATTGCTAGACTCTGAAGTAATTTTAACTACCACATAATATCTTCGCCCAATTTTAAATCGGTCCGTCATTTCCAAATTCACCTATTCTAGATATCCTGCAAGAAACATTTGTTAGGAAAGAAATGCTCTCGGGGATTTGACAGAACCCTGATTCAAAGCAATCTATTATTATATGAGCTATTGTAATTCTTTGCAGCAGTCAAGTTAAATCAGGAATTGCTATTCAGGCTCACACTAGGAATTCCTCTACAGCTGCCACACTGTTCCCGTTCTTTTTATTGTTTGTTTAGTTCTAATACAATTAAAGGCTTGTCTCACTGGTGAAAGAAAAACGTGCAGATATTTGGGTCCTTGAAACAGTGTCTCAGTATAGAAGGAATGCTTCTTCCATCTGGTTGAGCGTTTACCCCCTTTTTGTACGTCATGTGCGACACAGTTCTTACTGTGTTTATTGGGAAGTCAGTCCCACTGAGTTCAGTGAAGTTTATTCCCCATACAAGTGTGCACAGGGCAAGGATAACCTTCCAGAGGTATTGGACCCCCCATCATCTCTGATCATCTGCCCTGCCAGCTGGGGCTGGTAGACAGGCACCACTGGAATAGGGTTTTTGACTTCACTGTAGCGAAGAGTTTAATACGCCCTGTATACTTTAGACTCATGCATCCCAATCCAGTGAAAGAAACCTTCAAGTGAAAACAGGTTTTCCATCACCGATCTTCCATATTAAGGAGTTCAAAGGATGCTGGAAGGAAACCCCTCCATGTAAATTCTGTGGGGAGGGTGGCATGTGTGCTAGAAGATAGTTGTGCTGTTACCTGGCGGTGACAATCAACTATTACATGGGGAAGGGAGAGGAAGTAGGTGGTTCATCTCCCTCCTGACCACCCACAGGTGATCAGTGCTGCTGTAGTGCTTTCATCACCTGTTGGGTGAAGAACAAATAGGTTCAATAGCCTCAGCTGTAGATCTCATAACAGGCAAATAGGCTGCAGTTGTAGCTGCATATGACAATCTGCAGCCATTAAATGTTGACACATGTGCTCAATTTATTTTAGGACTGGGTAGAAGACTTTTTAAGTTTTCACAGCCATCTCTGCATATTTTTGGATCTTGATGCTACCCAAAGAAAAGAAGTCACTTCCTTAATTCGTTTGAAGGCTTTCTGTTACCTCCAAGCCTGCTTTTGTTCTTTGCAATCCATAACTTAAATATGTTAATGCATGTTTATTCTCCTTTGAGATTCCGTATATCATCTTAGCAGCAGCTAGGAATTTGTGCAAGAGATCCACTGCTAGATGAAAGCGTGGCAGGCTGCCAAATCTCAGCTCCTCTACAATTTATGCAAAGCCTGCAAATCCTAAGCTCATTTACTGGGAAGTTTGTTCCATTGACATGAGAGCCTTCCATGGAAATGTAGGGAGAGACTGTGGTGTAAGATACGCTCCTCAAAGACTATTGCAAAGCCAATTAAGTTCAGAATTTCCAATCAGAGAAGAAAAACTTTAATTCAATGTTCAGGCCTTTGAATTTAATATAAATCTGGAAACGGTCAGTTTTGTATATGTTTATTCTTATATCTGTTATGTCCCATTTCCACATTAATTTGTTTAAAAAAACAACCCACAAAGCTCTGCTTTACTTTAATTTAGTTTAAATATGTTTTGTATGTCAATGTAAACTTTTATAACAGTATTTTCTAAAATACCCTTTTTTTGTTGTTGTTGTTTAATTGCATTTGGGAGTGTTTATTGAGCTAAGAACTGTCATGCAAATTTTGGAGAGGTATAGAATCCAAACAGTATTGGTTTTCCAATCTGTGTACGAGTCCTGGAGGTAAGAATTAGGTCAGCTTGTTTGTGGACTGAACTGAATTCTCCTCAGTTCTTATATTGAATGTAAATAATGAAACCTGCATCTATATCTCTTGGATTAGATTTCAGCATGGATTTGAGGATGTGGATAAACAATTATATGTGGAGCGTGGACATCGGGAGACGGAGCCTTTGTAAAATGTTAGCAGGTATGAAAAAGAAGATGTGCAAAATATTAAGGGTCACTGGGTGCTCAGTCAAAGAACAAGTGTAGCTAACATCCTCAATCTCTATTTATTCTTTGTGAAAGTAAACCTTGCGCTAACCGTTTGAGCACTTCTATAGTTAATAGTTACCAGCTCAGTAATGTGCTTGGCAATCTGAGTAATTATCTCCCCCTATCCCTCTGTTTTCTGTTGAATCTTGACTACTGGATTCTGACTCCATGAAGCTTTTGGTAACTAGCAGAGTTATTTAAGAAGGTGATATGCAGTTTTTTTGCTGGGCTCTAAACACAGGCCTGCAGCAGGCTTTATTTAATTCACTGATCATAAATACAAGCTTCTTCATGTAACTTTTGTTTCCTCTTCCCTTCCAGCAGCAATGCCCCCCTTTTAAAAATCTTTGTTTTGTGTTGGGAATTCTTAAGCATTTATATCTAGGTGGTTATTAAGTTTTACAGGAATCTGTAGGAAGGAAGGATAAGGCACCTTTTAAGAGTACACGTCTGAGCAAAGGAAAGACAGCTTTGGCATCTAGGAACATCCTTCCACCCTCCCAATGCTTCAGGATATAATTTTGTATGGTTTCCTGACAAGTGATCCTAAGGCGATGGTGGTTGTTTTTAAATCTTCTTGATCCCTATAAAATACTATGTGAAAAAAGATAATAGCTTATTGTTGCAACCTAGAACTTGCACACTCCTAATGATTCATCCACAACTGTTATACCCTGTTTTGTGTACTCTGGGTTGGTGATGTTACCTAATCCACAATGTTTAGTCATTTGCTATTGTTGTCGAAGATGGTGAACTTTCTCTGAAGGACAAAGAGATATGAGCAAGGGTTACCCGTAAGAACTCCAGCTACCCATTAGTGGTTTGAACACCTAATGAAAAGTGGGAGAAAGCCACAGCTTTCTGCAGGACTGCACATTATCTTGTTTCTCCCTCTGCCTCTTACACATACACAGTTTCCACAAGCGCGTTCCGAATGCTTTTAGCATTCTATTTTTGGAGCAAATTGCTGGAGTAGTTTTTTCAGAGGCACTGTGCGATGTGCCGTCTGCAAATGGATTAAGCTTTAAAGCAAGAATGGGAGAGAACAGTACAGTACAGGGATGTACCAGGCTGTGGTGAAGAGTAAATGCCGCGTTGAGGAGGAAAGAAGGAAATATTGGGGCCAGTTTTATGCTGAAAGGGGGGGGGGTGGTAACATCTCCCATGGAAAAACGTCCTTACCACTTTCACATGAAAAAAAATATGCTTCTGTGTTGCACTATCCTGTTGCAAGATATTTTGTAGTGAGCCAGTGTCACTGTAAACCATGATCTATAAAAGCAATGTGTATTAAAATATTTTTAATAGATTTGTTTGTACAGTGGTACCTCTGGTTATGAACTTAATTTGTTCCGGATGTCTGTTCTTAACCTGAAACCGTTCTTAACCTGAGGTACCACTTTAGCTAATGGGGCCTCCCGTTGCCACCACACGATTTCTATGCTCATCCTGAGGTAAAGTTCTTAACCTGAGGTACTACTTCTGGGTTAGCGGAGTCTGTAACCCAAAGTGTTTGTAACATGAGGTGTTTGTAACCTGAGGTACCACTGTATAGCACTAAAAAGGGGGCTAAATGATTGTTTAATTATCCCATTGTTTTTCTACCTATTGGTCAGAACACTGGAAAATGGTAGCAAATTCTACTTACTACTTGAGGAACTGGTTAGAATGCTGCCTGCATATTTCTGCTGATATCTCCATGGATAAAAGGATTTTAAAAGGCAGAATATTCCAGATCAGAAATGTGGTGAAACAAGCCTATTTCTGGGGTATGACCCTAACAAGTCAAATTGTGGGTTAGATGCTATTAAACCTAATCATTCTATTACTACTTCCAGGGAGATAATAGGAGGACCCATTTCTCCAGAAAGCTTGGTGTAGCCCATACTTTGATTTCTTGAATGTGCTGAGTTAAGAGATGTGCTATGGAAAACCTTTCAGTCACACCACAGTGTTGCTTCTTTGAATTTACTATATTTCCTCTTGCTTGTCGTGCAGCATTGCTGAGTGTTGTGAGCTGATACTCTTTCCTCTTAAAGGAACAGCAGTGATAGATCATGAAAACTGCAACCCTACACATCAGCATTTTAGTCAGATACCCATTTACTGGATCACTGAATACTTGTGTGCATAGTAAAGTGCCTGGACCCAGAATGGAAAGGATGATAGATGTTTGTCATTGTCTGTAAACTTCTATTTTTGGCTTTTCTTCAAAGGAAAGGCTGTGTGGGGTGTTCGCTTGTTTTTGGAAAAATATATCCGTACACATTGCCATCTTCTTCCCCTCCACCCTCCCAAAGCTTGTTGAAGTACAGATCTATCTCTCAAAACAGCTGTAGGCTTCCACATCCAATCCAGTGTGGTGGCTTCCATGATTAAATGAGCTGAACCTGAGCCAGAAGGCAAAATGTCTGTGAAACAAATGAGAATCTCTTTAGTGAGCAATTTCTACAGGGGAAATTTCAG